AGCGATGAGGACCCCATTCAAAATTATCGAATCCCTTTCCCAAAGTGGGCTAAGAAACGGATGAGTACAAAAGTTGGCCAAAATTCATCGAACAGCTGGGTTTAATTCTTGACTTCAGCAGAGCGTTTCTTTCCTTTGGGTTGCAACCCTGCCGATTCAGTCGAAAAAGTTAACCCAACCCACTCGTGGAAATTCGCCTTTTGAAAGCTCTCGGTCGACGGAGGAGAAAATTGACGGTTTCAAATATTGTAAAAACATGTGGAAACTTCGATTGGAAGGATTGAACTTCGCATTAAATTCACGACTCACGCAGTGAAAAAAAAAACTTTCGGATGGTCTCTAAGAACTTTCATACAGCGGAAGTTGCACACAACGATTATGCAAAGTTCCAAGGTCAGACTAGGTTTTTAAGGAATTTTCTAAAGTGCCAATTGGTCGCAATATCTTTTTAATTCCACGAATAATGGGTTAATAAAAAACCATTTTTTTTCTTTTTCTCTTCTTTTAAGTAGGTAATTGTTGTTGTTCATACTTTTAAGTTGATAGTATGATGTTCATTCAACCATAAATTGATACACCACAACTCAGACTTGCCACCGTGATTCTTTTAATAATAAATACGCTTGGCAACCCCTTGCTTCAGTTAAACGCTTTCATTAAAGCAATACCTGCACAGTTCCCAGTCAATCCTCTCCCTGGTCGCACGGGTCTCGCGAAAGCCGCGAAGAATCGCCATGGAGGACTATTCCCGCTTCGCGAACGCGCTGCAGCTTTTCAGCTTCAATTTCACAACTCCGCGCTCAAAATTTCAAGCTTATTGAGCTGAAATTTAACTCTTTCGATCGATTTGCCATAAGCTCTTGGCTAAATCCTCATCGAATGGCATGGGCCCGAATTTCTTTGGCCAGGTTAAGTACGGCTGAAAGTTGCAGCAAAAATGTCGACTTCGTCAGTCGATCGCTGATCAATGGTTTGAACCATTGAGGAGCCAAATATGGCTCGAGCCTGCTGTAAGAAAAGTTTAATTTGCGTAAACAGCTTGAGTTTAGAGTGAGTTGAGTTTTGAGTCAGCTTATTTTCAGAATTTATTGCCAAATTTAGAGAATAGGTTTCACAACTTGCGGTTGACCATGAACCAATAAGATTTCGGCTAAGGATGATACTTTGGTTATTTACAAGGCACCGAAACCTTTCATTTTTTTATAGAATATTGGACGGTATTTTTTTTAAAGGCTTTTCTGGAAAAAAATCAATTAAATAAAATGAAATTGAATCACATATGCTAAAATTTTCTGGAACATTTTACCCGAATCCTTATAGCATGGAAATGTAGCCAATTGCCAGTTGTCATACGGAGGATTTTCTTACAAGTTTAGTTGGCAGTCGGTCAAAAACGACGAGGACGAGAGTACATTGCATATTTGAAACTTTCGAGAACAAACGGACGATCTCTTTGCATAATCACAATTAGTTTTGCGACGCAAACCGGTTCACCTTTCACGGCGTTTACGAGTTTTTTCACGGTTTTTTTTTATTCTTTTTTCCCCTCTCAGTCTGGCGTGAGTCATGAACGTTCAAACCACTCAGCACTCGACATTCGGGCACAGAAAATTTAAAACAAATATCCAAACCAACTTTTTAAAACATGAGAACTGCAATGGCTGCGATCATACATTCACGAGCTTTGACGCATAATTCACTCGGTATTCAAGAGAAGTTAATGTAAAATAAGATCTCGATTGTAACAGATAAATTTAAGAACACCGCAAAATATAGGGATATTTGTTGAAAAAAAAAGTATTAGTGTAATTATAATTTTCAAATAAATTTACTAAAACACGAAAATAGAGCATCACAATTTACCATAGACATACCTATGTCGGTAAAATTATAAGAATGTGAATTTTAAACAGGGACTCTCAGTTTGGGCGAATTCTGTCATTTGAATGATCTTAGCGTTACGGTCTTAATACTCAATAGTTGCTTTTCACAATTTTGAAATTTAACGATATTCGGCACACATAAGATTGCGTGTTATGGAGGATATTCTGTCCACAAGTTCAATAAACTCCTTCTTTAAAAATTTAATTAACGCCAAGGATGTTTGTGACTGACATACGACGGAAAAGAATCATCCAATAACAAATATCAGTGGTGCACTAATTAGCACTACGATGTAAGTCTAATTTCGGATCGCCAATGATAAGAGAAAATCAAAAACAAGCTTAATTTTCTGAATATCATTAACCTCGCCATTTTCATTCATAACATCGTAGTCGATGACTTATGAAGATTAAACGAATCATATATTTTCATGAATGCGTGCTTGGTGTTCGAACAAGTGAAGGGAAATGCAGGGTAAGTGGGGGGATGCTCTTGCATGTGTGAGGGATTTTCGATCGAGGTATTGTATGGTTCGTCAAATTTTGCGAGAAACACGATGTTGCCACTGCTATTCTCTGAAACGAACTCAAAAGCTTAAAACAGCTCTCAAGTTGAGGCCAAAATGGAGGGGATATCCCACCCTGACTGACTGAGGACTGAGGACTGAGGCTGTGGACTGAGGGTCCACGTCCACATCAAGACAAAATCTCCATGCAAAGAGAGGGAGCAAATACATGTACAGGGCTGCCACTTTATTTGGGGACTCCAAAACTGAAAACACCGCAACCCAACTTTATTTGGGGACTCCAAAACTGAAAACACGGCAATCCTGCTAATGTATTTGCTCCTCAATGTATAGAATGAGATATCCCTTCCATTACGACCTGAACCTTGAGAGCTTTTTTGAACACCCTATCTTTGCACGGAGGGTTTGACTTAATAAAGAGGTGGACTCTCAGTATAGTGTCCGGGATATCTTTTTCATTACAGCCTCAACTCTGAAAGCTTTTTTTGAGTTTTTGAGTTTGTTTTAGAGAAAATCCGTGTTTCTCGTGAAATTTTATAGAGGAATCAGTATTTAAATCGCAAATTCCTGACACCTGCAAGAGCTCTATTGGTCCAAGAGAGGTCTCATTGGTAGAGATGGTTTTTCGCTAAGTGATGAGTAGGGGTGGGAGTTGGGGGTTACCTCAACTGCGGATACGATATATGCCAACAATAATAAGTACCTGACCCTACGATTTGACTTTCAACTGAAACAATATCAACGGCAATGGTAACATTTTGATATGCATTTAATTACGAAATAGACCACATGCGATTAGCCCCGATTTCATAAATAATTCCTCTTCCCCGTAAGTTAAAACAACAGAGATGCGTGACTTCAGCAATTTTCCAAATAAAATGTTTTTTTGAGTAGAAATTCTTATTTCTATAACTTCCGGTGGATTTAGAAATTTGGCTGAAAGATTTCAGTGGAAATTTATATGATTCGATCTTTATCATAAAGATTATTGCACGGTCTTAAACCTTTTTTTCGGGAGCTCACACGCCCAAAAAAAAACGTATACATAAGCGTAAAAAAAAAAAAAATGGAAGCGCACAGACACAATATCACAGCTATCAATCGCAATTCGAGAGAAGTCTTCGGGGCCAAAACTTCGGTTCTTCTTCGCGCAGAAATTTAATCCCCTTAAATGCTTCATCCAAATGGCTCATTTTTCTTGCCATAACCGCTGATAAAAATCTCTTGCCACACTTTTGGGGAGGGAATTAAGAGAACAAAAACAAACGATAACACACAAGCACTGTCACAGGCCCCCCTTTCAATTATCAACCGTACTTTGAAAAGCATGTTTCAGTTCCCATGCTCGTGCCCCCTCCCCCCAAAAAAAAGAAAATCCCAAAAATGTTTACTCTACTTTTACCTTCTAATGCTTTTGCACCAATAATTCACCCCTAATAATACCTTATTTTGCAAATGAGAGGGTGAGTAAAAAAAAAAGAAATAATTAGCCACCAGCACCTCATAGTTATTAACCGAACTTTGAAAAGCTGTTCAACACCGAAAACTTCTGTTTTTGTTCTTGCGCCACTCAATTCGTTGAAATTTCTATTCCTTGCATTTTACCCTCAATTTTTTTTAGCGTGCATCCATCTGTGAAATTTCTTCCTACACTTAAGAGATCTTGAGAATCTCTTGCCGCACGCGTGTGCGTTGTGAGGGGAGTAAATAAAGGGAGAAAATCACACCAGCATAGGTCCACTCTCACAGTTGTCAGCCACACTCTGAGATAGTCTCCTTTGAAGCAAAATTTCTGTTTCCATTTCCGCGACACCAATTCCTCCGGAAATATATTTACCCTCATTTTACCGTTAATTTAATCTTATTATCCTTCACCACACCGCCTCCTTAAAACATTTCTCGATGCGTTATCGAAATGAGGCAACTTGCATGCATAAATACTACCATAGGGATCTGAATGGGAAAATTCTCCGGATTTATCAACTTAAATCTATTTTTCCGCGAAACTATGACAGAAAATCTCACACACATGCACATTTACACGGTAAATCACTCACACGGTGAAAAATTAGCAGGAACAACCCCGCGAACTTTCCTGATAGCTCCCGGAAACTTTCTCAATAATTTTTCAGAAACTTTTTTTACCCTTTCAGCAAGGGTGAAGTAACTTCACCCGTGAAAACTTCTTGAGAAGGAGAAACTCGCACGCGGACGCACTTCCCTTATGGAACTTTCCCGAGATAGCACCCGGGATTTCCCGACTAACATCCAATTTCCCGGGAAACTTTGGCGAGACACACATATACACGGTAATCACTCATCATTTTTGGGGAGCCGTCCACGGGATGATTCCCGTCCCGTCCCCAGCAACAAACACATGCACATATCCACGATAACCACTCATCGTTTTGGGGGAACCGTTCCCGGGATATCTCCAGTCCCCCTCCCCGGCAATTAACTTTCCCGGGAAACTTCGATCCTTAGTACTCATTGCGAGTACTGTTTCGTGGGAAAGCGCGTGTGGGGTTTCTACCCTTCCAGAACGGGGAGCTCTCTGAATACCAGCACCGAATTAAGAGAGTGGACTTACTGGGGGTGGCTCCGAGACGTAGACATCCGAGGGGGGGTAGTCCTTGACGCTGACCCCAACGGTGGACACGGAATCCGACTGCGCTTCTTGTTGCTTGTTCATGGCTGCCGCTCTCGTGCAGAACTGCCGCGGATGCGCCGGTCTCTCACCGCGGAGCCGCGCCATGGCCGGGCCCCCACCAGCCGGCGCCCGCGGACCCAGGGGGGGACCCGGTGCGGGAGTGAACTGCTCCAAATGACACACTTTAACCTATCCTCCGTCTCCGCTCCTGCGCTTGCGCTCTCAGCTAACTTTCGTTTGTTGGCTCCTGTAAGCTCGCCATGCAGGGTCTCGTTTTTCAGCTCCTCTTTTCAGTATTGAGGAGGGTACGAACATGTCGGAAATATTGAGGTAGGGAGGGTACGAACATGTCGGAAATATTGAGGTAGGGAGGGTACAACATGTCGGAAATATTGAGGTAGGTCATGGAGCTTTTAGAGCCCAAAAGGTCAGCCAAACTTTGAAATCAAATATTTATTAAAACAATTGAGGGGCTTGGAGGACAAGGCGCATAAGTGCAATTTATCGACGGCGTAAGTCCGCAATCACATATCTCGTTTGCGCGGTGTCTGAAAATCTCCGCCTCCATGTTATTTCTTGACAGGAGAACAAATTGACATAAGACCTTGAAGTTTTTGCAGAATTTTCTTCACACAAAGAAGAAAAATCACGGCAGTTTTAAAGAATTGTCGTTGAGTAGTTTTTTGTTTTAAAAAAAAAAGGTATGACAGGAAGTCTGCGACGTCGCAAACCGAGTTATATAACTCACTTTCTTAGGCTTCAAAATTGAAATTTGGGAGCGAATTTTTCTCAAAATATGCATTACGACCAGTTTCACTCGAAATCATTAATATCTCAATTTTTCGAAAAACTACACTTATGCGCCTTGTGCTCCAAGGCTCTTCATATTGTTACTATCCGTCGTTTTTAAAGAACGTATTTGACTTATGTTTGCATGCATTTACTCATTTTTGCGTGAGCGCCCATTTATGTACATTTTTGGTAATCTTGGTTTGATATTGGAATCTGAAGATTGACAGCGGTATTTTTCTAGTGTTTTTCGTGTTAGCAGGTTGACTGCCCTTTTTTTGCCCTAAGAGCTCCATATTTCGACATGCCCGTATTCTCCCCATAGCAGTGGTGTGGCGTGAATGATCGATTTTCGATATTTCCTCATTTGAAGCTTTGGTAAAGAATCGATTATTATGGTGTTCGTTGCGAACACCCTGTATTTTGATCCTTTTCCATGGGTTTATATGGCAGATCAAACGATACATCGCAAAGCACGCAACGCTACTGAAGGTACTCAAATTTCCAGGTAGTAAGGTGGATGTTCAGCTTTTAGCTCCTATTATCGCTAAGAAGATAATATCCTTTAGGGATCCGCACTAAAAATTTAAGCAATGAAATCGGGCAAGGCGAAAGTTAAAATTGGAGGTCAGGGACCTTTATAAAATACGTAAGGCTTTTGGGATTTGACGAGCCTCCTTCCCTTCTTGTAACCACCGTCACCGTCGTACCTGCATGCGTCACGGGGTAAAAACATTCTCAAAATGGGACCACTATTTTTCTCTATGCATCACGCCGAAGTAAGGTTTAAAGTCACGCAAGGTAAGCTGCTTTAACTTCCACCGATGAAAATAGATGAGGCATCGCAAGAGCAGACCATGATTCCGTCGACGGACTCGTATGACGGACGGACGGGCGGGCGGGCGGGCGATCGGACAGTCTCTCGGCCGTCATCGTGGAGGCGCGGGCGTAGGGGACTTTCACCCATGTTCCGATGGGTGTTTGTCTCGTGGATAGAAAGTTCGCCCAGTTTTAATCTATGCACGGACGCAGTTTTCCTGTCACCGCTCCCGCTGCCCGCTGCCCAGCGCTGCCCCTTGCTCGGGTCTTCATGCACGCCACCCGCACAACATCGCTCACAGCGTTGCCCTGTCGCAAAATTTTCTCTAAATACCACCGTGTTTAGGAGAAACGCCGTATGAGCATCCAAAAATCGGAGTTGCCCAATTTCCTTCCAAAAAATGCCTATTTTTGCGGAAAGTTATGCATATTTTTCCTTGAAATTTCCCGATGTTTTAGATAAAATTGTGAACAAAATTGCCTGAGAAATTGGAGGAATATTATTCAACACTTTTCTCGTGGATCACTTTTTAATGAAGGCAATATGGCAACGCCTGAGGGCTCATACAGCGTTTTTCCTAAGAACGGCAGAATACTAGTTAGAGGTTCAACAATAAAAACGTCAAAGACGTCAATACGTCCATATACTCAATACGTCATTCTGTAGAAAATTTACTCACGAGGAGACGGTCTAGAAAAAGAACGGAGGTACACAATTTAATTAACGAGAGCTGAAGTGAAATAAAGACGAAAGGAGTGTTAAAAAACACAACACAAATATATTTGTACAAAATACTGGTGGGTTTTCAGGAATTCAAACTTATACCTAAGCTTTAATCGTATTTTCTCAAGTAGAAAAGTAATACTGTCATCACAGTCGATTAAGGTTCTTAAATGTTGGGTCTTTTTACAAAAGAGCTCGCCTAAAAAGTGTCCCAAAAGTGATTCCAGAAAGGGGCACATAATGCTCTTGTCAAGACAAGCTCTTCTTGATGTGAGTCAAAGTGGTTTGGTGATAGAGTTTTGAATAACTCTGGGGACCACTCGATGTATACTCATCTAAAATAATTAAAATTTTTCTGCAGCCTGTAAATTTATTATGTGCACGAAGCCACTTTATATAAAATCTATAGAGCTACTTAATTTATGACAGTTTATAATGAATAAAATTCTCCTAGAGGCAGTAATCATATATGGTACATTTTGATTTTCTTTCGTCATGCCTGCAGATGAATTGGACAACATTTTACGATAAACTGCTATTTCTGTCAAATTTCAGAAACACCATGTGTGCTGTTAGTTTCTCTTCTCAGATGCTTGCTAACATGAGTGAGCCAAAAATAGTAGTTTATCTGTTGCAAAATGTTGTTTAATTGCTCAATAGCCAACATAAAATACGAATATTAATCATTATCTTAAAGGTACACGCGCGCAGATGTGGGTAAATATGAATGATTGTTAATATAAAAATTTAATAAAAATGAATAATTTGTAATGTTAAATAACAAACCAATGGCTGCAACGAAGGCTCTTCGATCTTTGGGATGGTTTTATAAGTGGTTTTGCGAGAAAAAGAGCTCTGTTGTTTCATACTATATACGTTGAAATGGAGGGCTTGGGTGCAAAAACGACATTCTCAGTTTCAGTCCCTCAGAATTTCTCTTTAAATTTTCACTTTAAACAGGAAGAATGTCACCGTCAATAAATGGAAATTTAACTGAATATTCTTATAATCTAACTGTATCCTCAGCACAAATCTCGAGATTGATGGCCTAGTATATTTTCCTCACAAGCACAAAAATTCTCAATTGATAAATGTGGTTTTAGAGAATGACGTGTTTCCGCGAGGAAAAATTTAAACGCTTGTCAACTCCTCACTCTTCCTACAGTTAGATAGTGTACCCAGAGAAGTTTCGTTTCATTCGAATGTTCTATGTACAGTGATTTTCTTCTTCAGCCCGATCGAGGAAGGGCACAGTTGAAAATTAGGCAACTCCGCCTGGTATCAGAACCCTCTACTAATTTAAGGCAGGCTCTTCAAGAGTAAAAAGTGAGAACGTCTGTGTGGTTGCCGCGCGTTAGCAGACAAGGAGGCATATTTGACGTCAGCAGTTCCAGCCATGCCATGTACAGAGGTGCTGAAACCACGTCCTTCCGTGGGATTGGCAGAGATCTGTGTGGGGAAAAAATCAACATATGAGAGGAAATAGTGACAGAAAGCTTGCAGACAAAGGAAAAACATGTATGTATGTATATAGCCGCTTTTAAAGCGCTCTGGCGCTTTGAGACTCCTAGCCGCTAATGTCCTCTATCCTCCCAAAGCCCTTCAGGGAGTTGGCAAACCCTTATTTCTTTCTAAAAACCCCTGTCGCCACCCTTTCACTAGGCGTCCCCTTCGTCTCCTCCCAGGAGGAACTCAATCAAACAATTTCTTTGGCAGCCTTTCGTCCGTCATTCAAAAGAGAAACATCACGTAGCAAATACCGAAATGAGGATCAGGAATCATCCCGATTGAGATCTACCGAAGGACCCTCTAATGATCTTATTGAGATTCGTCGGCACCGTGAGAAAGCTTCTATCGGAATCAAACGAAGTTTTTTTTGAAAAACATGGATAAGACAAATGATGTGACAAAGTTACTGTCGGGTCAATCAAAAGAGAATATGCTTACAACAAGTTCGTGTGAATTTAAGACAATGCATGTTAGTTTTTCATTTCTTTAAGTAATCGGACTATGCGGTGACGTCGAGTGGGCATAAGAATAAATTAGTCTACTGGGAGACTTTAACGCAACATTAGAAAAGTAAGACAATTATTAATTAGAATCTCTTATTTCATCGATACCAATGGTTGAAGTTACGCGCACACGTCGGCTCGATGGAGTGATGGTAATTTTGCCATGATGCTTTGAAATTGGCAGCAACTTGAAATGGACACAAGCTAAGAGTGGTCAATGCTGTTGAATTTTTAGTGAGAAAAGTAAGTACTTACACGACGACTAGAGCAGCATCTTTGGAGTTAGCATGGAGAAATTCATGCAATTTCATGAGTCTGTTTGTTTTCTCGGACAATAAGTTCATTTCCTCGTCTCTGATTATAGTGTTTTCTGAACAAAAAAACAAAAACAGGAAACTATTAAATCAATACGGATAAATAAATTCTATCAAATAAAAACGCTCATCACTTTATTATACATTCAATGATTAAGAATTTAATTGGAGTTGTGAAGGTATCACGTATGCCATTTTTGCCGACTTTTTTTTTACCCCTCCTCCTACCTTGTAAAATCACCCTTAAAAGAGATGCTAACCACCTCAATACTATTGAATTACGTAAGACGGGTCTGAAGTCCGCTCCTCGCAAACTTTCCAAAAAAGAAATCAACAAAGAAATCCCCAAAAGTAACTTTAATTGCATAAACAAATATGTTTTAATTATGAATAATAAAAATTCTCTTTATTGGAAAATATAAAATTGTTTTAAAGTGCAAGGAGAGCTCAGACCACATCCTTGATGGAACTCACGTACTACCTGAATGTACTTTTGCGCTGCTAACAATTGGATCATATTTAGCAATTAGGAACTATAATTTCTACCTCAATTTAGAAAAACCAAATTTACCATTAGTGTCCCTATGAACATAAATGTTTTTATAGATGAGCCTCGAATTGTGGTTCCAAATTGCAAGCTGGATTCAAATTATCCTGGAAACCTATGGTTACACATACACAAATTTTACACGGGTCCATTTGCTCATCAAAAACGGACTAGATAAAATCTCATTTATTCACGAGGCCCCTTTACACCTAAACATTGACGATATTGTTATTGCTTTCTGTTTTGCCTGATTGAGAGGATTTAACAGTACAAATAAACTTACCGGTATGCCTAAAGCTGCTAAGGAGACTTTCAAACAGAGTGACCGTTTCTTTTCGCGGTCGTCCGTCTAACTCACTTAAAATTTTCAAACTAGAATAGCCTATACGGAACTTACTGAGTAGATTTGCCAAGCTGAAAACAGAGGAGAAAAAGATGTAAGTTACAATTGGTTATTATCAAGCAACTACACAAAAATCAAATTCTGCTTATGCTGGTCGATAATATCCGTATTTCAACACGTTATAAAATGCGCCATCATTTTCAAGTCATACGACATGAGCTACAAACTTCGTTCACTTCATTGACCTCATCAAAAAGCCACCAAGCCAACACAAAAATTCATCATGCCATCAATGGATTTTCCTTTCATGTTCCAGAACTTGTTCATGATCTTGCTTTGATTAAAGACAAAAAGAGATCTATCTTCTTTCAGTTTTACCGTGGCATATTGTCAAACAGTATAAAATCAGTTTGCGATGCTGCAGACCTCCTGTCAAAAAATTCTCCGCTCATGTATTATTTTTTGTTTTTGTTTTTTTTTAAGGGAATTTTTTTTGCGAAGGAAAAGCTGAATCTCTCGCAGTAAATATTTGTATCATTTTAAAGATACCAAAACATTATTTATTATTTAAGTTTCCGGCTTTGATGCAGACTTACTTTCTTTCCTCGGCGGCGATATCTTGATGATGATTGGTCAGTGCAAAAACTCGTAGATCGCAATCTGACCATCGCTTTCGTGTGCTGACAATATAAGGCAAGAGAACAGTCAAACCTGTGAGATACCAAAAATGACGTTTTTACAAACAATATTTGTATGATAATAATATTGTGAAAAGAAGTAATTTTCCCTTTCTTTAATATTATAAGAAAAGCAAAAGAAAAAAGAAAAAAATTCAAAGAGCGAGAAGCTTGTGAAACTTTGTGACTAAAGGTTTTATAAATTATTTGTTTTTTTTTGCCTTTTTTTTCTCTCTTTTTTTTGAAAATTAGGTTAGGACTTCTAAACCAATATTGCTTAACTTTTTGGTCGTCAGTTGATATTAGAAAAATCTGAGCGTTAATCTCCGAGAGTAATTTTTGTACAACAGGAAAAATATCGATGGCCACAGTGTAAAACCACCTATCTCCGTTTGCGTTGTAAGACTTCCTGCCATACTTCATTTTGCGTTGGCAAATTAGTCAACGTGATGTCTTAAAACTGTCTTGATTTTTTCTCTTTCTTAGCAAAATATTCTGTATTCATGTCAAACTATGAAGTTGGCTTGATAAACCTCGAAAAAATAAAGTAGTATCAGATATTTTGAAACGCTGCAATGGAGATACGAGGTTCCGCACTTTAGCCATCGATATATTGCAGTACGTTGTCTCTAACAGATATTGGCTATGGTCAAATATAAGTCTTTGAGTGCATATATGACCATGCATGCATTATACATTCAAATGCGTAGAACATAATATTATAATGAAAAACATACCACCGTCGTCGTAGAGCCACCAAATATCGATGGTGCCTTTTTGCCGGTGCTCTAAAACGGGTGACATCCCTGAGTTGGAGTAATTCAAGTTCCTGAGATTAATAGTTGCCTCTGAAAAATTTGGAAACAGAATTGTAAGCATTTTTATGCGAGCACACATTATGTTTCGTTGGATTTATCTAACAATTCAAATTTTCAAAGAATGGCGTTGGGCGAACCTCAAAAATATATAAACAATTCAACCTTTATGAAAGAATAAGTGAGTTTATCTTTATTTGAGGAATAATTGATTTTCAGCTTTCAGCCTTATTCTTTTCGTCTTTTTTATGAAAAATTGCAAATATAAAGTGCAGAAAAAGTTTCTCTCAATAGTCTTATTAGAAAGTTTAAAGGAAGCTTTCTAAGTATCTCCCATTACTAAAATAGTTAACCAAAATAATTTTAAAAATTTAGTAGCCTGCCTGATAGGTATATTACATTTCCCTCGATTTATTAGCATTTCCGGGATACGTTCGTGTTTTTATTTGTCTTAAAATTCTAGAAATTTCAAAAAATTCTCAGAGAAACAAACTTAAGGAACTTCGACGGAATAAGTGTATTTGTCAACCAGGCACTTTCCAAAATGCCTGAATTTCTCATTTTGCCTGCGCCTAGTACATTATACATAAATTAGGGTGAAAAAACGAGCGTAATTTTTCTGCAGAAAGATACTGCGGAGAGAGACAAAAAAAATGGATTGCTGGTTTAACAATTCAACTGTTAAAAAGAGTGATTGCAATATTTCCGCAAAATTGCATTTTTGAATAGTGGGAAGCTAATTTATCCGGGGGTGGTTAAAGTAGCAATTTTTTGTTGTAAAATCTACACTAAGACATTGCAGTCACTTAAGTGACTGCGTCAGTTGCAAGTACGAAATTGTTAAATCATCAATTCGATTTTTCCGTGCCCTGAAATGACAAGTAGACATACCTGTGTTCGAGGGGGTCAACGCGACCTCCTTGGTCAGGTCATAATTTGAGTCTGAGGGTAAAATAATGCCAGATACACTCCGGGCGATAGCGAACGAGTTTTTATCGATCAGTTCCGTCTCATCCATCCCTTTATTCACGTGACCGCCGTTACTATTTAATGTAGGCGGCAGTCGTAGGACTGTCACGGACATCCGGTTTTCAAATGCGAATCTGTGAGTAAAAATCATAGTTGATAACAACATTCAATATTATTTACTAACTCAATACCGAGAAAATTGCCTAATTCGTTATAATAATTTGGCTTAATTGTTTGGATGTTGAGTGCGAATATAAATACTCTGCGTAATTTGACTAGAATAATTTGAATCTCCTGTAATTTTGGTGAAGAGGTCAAACAAACACGTTAATTAAGTACTCTCCGGAATAGAACTATCAGAAGAACGAATTGATAACGCCTATCGCAAAATTGGAATGGGCAAGACTAATTTATGAAAGCATCAGGATTTGTTATTTTACTTTAATTGAATCATTATTACAGTTTTGTGATACTTTCGGAAAATTTTTGAAGAAATTCCCCTTGAAGATAAAGCCATGGAGAAGCAGGATGATAGATTTAATTAAATATTTTCCTAATTTTGGGTGCTAACAAAAATAAGTTACAGATACGACCATCTTAGATTCAACATAAATCAGGTAAGAAAATAGACAAAATCATCCTTTATTTCCGAATCATCACCTTCTGACTCAAGACACAGCCTTCGAAGTTTTAACAATTGCAGAGACACGTCTGTTGAGCGTGTCACAGCATTGTTTTTTGAAGGCTCCATCTTACAGGCACAAGTACGTCGAAGCTATACGAGTAACTAGGAGCTTTCTCCGCGCAACCTCATATGTCTCTGCAATTTTTATAACTTCAAAAGCCAAGAACACCTCTCCTAAACGTAACAAGTCCTCGCTTAATTTTTTTTGGTGTTTTCTTTTCCGTCGCATTCAGCGGGTTTTCGTGGAATTTCTCACGCTCCGGTATCGATTGCTCAATTTTGAAAAGTTGAAGATGGTTGAGGAGGTTTCTCCTTCCATGGCCCGGGCCGGTCACAGGTGTAGAAATGGATCAATAGACAATGTGCGAATTCAAGAATTGTTATGAATGTTTCTTAACCAAAATTTCACGTAAAACACGATTGGCGCAACAAAAATTACTGCATTTCTAACTAAGATATTTGTATCTTGACGCGTAAATTCGAATAATAAAACAAAAGTTTACATGAGTCAAATCGCGCACTAAAGGATACCGTAATCCTTGCGGTATGAAAATATGGTAACCTCAATTTCGATGCTTCGGCTTAGGTGTTGCACGTTGTTAAAACTTTGAAAACACACGTTTGAGAGGGACTCGACTAGAGGGATCGATTTAGAAACCTGCCAAAATCGTTGTAGAGTGCGATTTGATTAAACAAGAATATTGTTTTTCTTGTGAGCGGAGATTTCGAATTGTCCGTAACCAATGTATACTAAAAATGTTAATATCTAGTTAGGAGTTGAAATCAGTAAATTCTGTCTCGAGAATCGCGTTCTAGGCAAGATTTTGCATAAAAAAAATGAGAATGCTTAAATTTGGGCCAGTCTACTGGTTCATTGCTCCATTTTGAGATGTTGAAGATGGAAGTTTTCTTCCGTGGCTGATCATAGATGTAGAAATTATGGATGTACCGAATGAATGGTGGGATCTTGAACTGGAGCTTGTGGATTTAAATTAAAATTTATGAAATAACTCACTGAATTGTGTGGAAATAACCGAGAAGTTCGTCATAAGGGCAGTCCCGCCAGTCCTCTTTGAATCCGACCATGAGGATATCGGGTCTCAGTTTCCCGATCCCTGCGGCCTGAATGACGCTCTTGGCGGCTGATTCGAAGGTGTCGCTCTGAACGACATTGAAAAATCCCCTGATTTTGTTGCTCCGAAGCCAAGCGTTGCCCTGATCAATTCGAGCGAGTCTTTGCTTGTGCCCCAATCCGTCCTGTGTTGAACATAAACATTATTGTCATGACAAAATATACCGTGTAATCTCTGAAGATGGCCGACGTCCAGTGGCTTAGCCAGAATGGAGGGGGGGGGGTGTTTCCAGATGGTCTGGGCTCTGCCAACACCAGAATATACCCCCTTTCCCTAAAATGCGTCATTTTTCACATGAACGTTAGTCATTTTTGGGCCGTAGAGCTACGCCATTGCCGACGTGCCATTTTAGGTGAATTGCGCATCTGTTATTATTTTTTATAAAGTAGCCATTTTTACCTTTGATGTTGTTGATTCAAAGAAAAGAACAACAGTAGACTTTTTTAAAAGGTTTCAAATCCGCTCGTTTAAAACATATGACGGGCTTGAAGGACCAGGCGCATATGTGGAGTTTTTGCCATTTCGAGGAGAATACGTGTTTGAAGTTTTGAAATTACATGGATCTTTATGGCAGAAAGAAAGTTCAAACTGACTTTTTGGTGCTTAAAAATTGAAATTTGAGAGCAAAGATTCCACAGAAAATACATTAAGACTTGTTTTAGTTGAAATCATTAATATCTCAATTTTTTCAAAAACTGCACGTATGCGCCTTGTCCCTCAAGCCCCTCATATAATACTTATAAGTAGATACAATCTAATTACAGCGATGACTTTGTTTTTTGTCAAGTTCCCAGCAGAATTATTGTCTAAATGAATCTACGTGATCTAGTGACGAAAGCTGGAACTTCCTTGCGCTGCTGCATGGAGAACCATGGGGATTTCATTGGGACCCATCGAAATTCCTCCGATGGGAACCATGGGGATTGCATTGGGACCCATTGGTACTCTTCCAATGGGCCCCTATGGGATGAATGAGAAGACCAACAGGGGTCCATGGACCAACGTAAATAACTTAAAGGAACCCTCAAGATTCCCATGATGGTTTCCTCAGACTCCCTCAGCATTTTCATAGGAGCCTGGAACCTTTGCTAAAGTATAGTAGGTTTCAAATGAGTTCTTAACAGGTTCCCGTCTAGGTTTACTTGGTCTTCATGCACGGTCTTCTCGTTATACTCACATCGGAGAGATCGACGGCGAGAAGTAAAGAGCATTTCTTGGTGATGCAGTCGGCGAATTTGACAAGGGCTGGACGATGATGTGGCATGCCACTCAAGCATAAGATCTGCGGCCGGTAGTTCTTGACATGGTCACTCACGTAGTTCAGTTTCAGGGTGGACGTCAGAGCGGTTTTGTAGACGTTTGCTTGCGTCGACGAGCCCCAGTTTGCATCTATAAAAAGAAATCAATTAATTTGAATGATATGTGAATTGGGAGTTATAACTGTCAATACATATGTGACCGTGCACTCTTTACAAAAGCGGAAACCACATTTCTTAGCAGCCTTAGGATTTTTGTCTTGGAACTTCAAGTATCATATCTCCTTCAGTTTTTGAGCTTTTAAGGTCGAACTTGAACCAAAATTTTCAGATTTTCCTCCCTCAGGCATTTGATGAAAATTAAGGAGATTTTTCTCAACGAAAATAAGGTCCCTTTTCACAGATCCTGTCACATATACACTGAACAAAATGTTCAACATATGGATTGTATTCGATTTAAAGAAATCTTTTTTGGCGTTAGATACTGATTTTTTTTTTTGCTAAAACAACTTTTTTTTAAAGCAGTACTCTTTAATTAAACAAACTTTTCTTGGCTCAAATGTTTTTTTTTTATTAATTTTGACGACACTTGTATTGTGCAAAAGACTTTTTTCATTAAAAGGTGTACCATCAGTGAAAAATTTAATTGTCTGTAACCGAAAAGAGAGTTTCGAGAGAAAATTTCCGAGAGCGAAACATATGTAATTTTCAACGTAATGATAGTCACAATTTAATGATTTTTCATTAAGAATAATCACTCTAAACGATTCAACAGAGAATGACAACGCCAATAAACAAACCTGGATTTCGGTAAATCACGGTGAAATACAGAGTGAAGAAAAGGACGACGGTCAGAATAGTCGTTATTATATTTATCAACAACATAATTGCCAGGCATATCACAAACCCAATAAAGCTGATCCATTTGTTGTAATACTGAAAAAATTACAGACATCATTTGTTAAAAATACAACAATGTACATGAAAATAAATTTAGCTAATAGATTTACCTCCGTCTGTAGTACACTTACACACGTTTTCCACACTTTCTGTAGTTTCTGTGTTAGATGGTAGTGGAGGGTAGTAGTATGGACCCTCGGAAAGTATATCGACGGTGAAAGTCGGCAATCACATAACTCGTTTGCGGTGTCTGAAAATCTCCGCCTCTACGTCATTTTTTAAAAGGAGAGCAAATTGATATTATTTCTTGAAGTTTTTGCAGAATTTTCTTCGCATTGAGAAGAAAAATCATGAGAGTTTTAAAGAATTGCCGTTGAGTAGTTTTCCATTTAAAAAATAAAGTATAACAGGAAGTCTGCGACGTCGCAAACCGAGTTATGTGATTGCCGACTTTCACCGTCGATATACAACTTTAATGCATTCAATAGTTTGGTATGGGTCCCAACTGAAAAAATCGATAACTATTTTATAATGAAACTATATGCTGTAGAGAGTTTGATTTTGTTTTGTGATTCTAGCTCCAGGGAATTTCATTTGGGTAAATATCTGTAGAAAACTCACAAATAAGAGTTTTGCGGTCTTCACTCCTCTCATTTTGTGATGCCACTTCTATGAGACATGCATTTTGACCTATTGTTTTCTTCTATCATATGCTCACAGTATTGCCTCGCTCCCCCCCTCCACCCAAGAAAAGGAAAAATTCCCCGCTATTTTCCTTGGGAACGGATGAACTGGCAGAGTTGCGTAAGACTTATTATCAATACTCATAATATTCGTAAATATGAAGAAAATTAAAAAAAAAAAAAAATACATTCGATTCATAAAACTAATAAATTACCCGGAATTTTGGTCTCCAGCCAAGAGGTTGTACAAAAGCTGCATGGAATGTGCAAAAGTTGATGAGCGCATATGACGCCAAGTAGAAATTTGAGATCAAGGGAGCGATTGTGTTCAAATTAGCTGCAACAAAGAGCACATCAAATGATTTAACATGTGTTCAAAAAAAAATTCAGAATAACTGACCACCGATTATAGAAATGAATACGTACATACATGAGAGCCGCTTTCACAGCGCTCTCACGAGTTAAAGTACTGTCATTTTTAATTTTTTCGTCGTGCACGACGAAAAAGCTATGGTTTATAAACCTATTAGTGGTAAATATGGAACACCTATAATAGTCGTAAATAAACTACTGATTCTCGGTCTGTGAACCATACTAAGGTCTCTGTACCTAATTAAGGTACAGAGACCATAACTAAGGTATATGTGCTATTATTATATGTAGAGGTACTACTATTAGTGGTGTTCCATATTTACCTCTAATAGGTTTATAAGCCATAGTTTTTTCTCAGTGTGATACAAGTGACAGCACCTTTCATTAGTCTATTTGAGAGAGAAACCTAACACGCAATTTGGCCTGGAGCGGCGCGGCGCAGAGAGCAATGATGACGAGGACTTGAGATGAAAAGGAGAAGCTTTCGGCGCGCCGGTCAGCATGAAACACATATTATAGCGCCTCCATGAATACTTCATGCATTGCGTCAAACGTAGTGCGGTCGGCAGCGGTTGGCGAGAAACGCATAGCGCCTACAAGACTGCATAAATACTTCACGCATTGCGTCAAAAACAGTGCGGTCAGCAGCGGTCGGCGTGCAACGCAAAGTGCCTACAAGACTGTAGGGATACTTCACGCATTGCGCCAAACACTGTGCGGTCGGCGCGGTGGCGGAGATTAAAATTATTGAACCACATTCATGTTTATTCTTTCATAATTTTTTCGTCCATTTCTTATAAACGAAAGGCCTTGTCCACACAGAGATAGGTTCACGGATCTTAACTTTTGCGCAAAGTTCCGCGACATTCTGATAATGCTGACAGGGCTTTCACAAAAAATGTGCCCAACACAAGTGAAAGCGTCTGATGCATCCCATCTACTCCGACACGTTCACTTGATGGTTTGTACCGGTGTTTCAAAACGAATGAGAGAGGGGCGGCAAAATACAGGTGGCCCATGGGCGACAAGAGGGTAAATTCGGCCATGACGGCCCATAGTTGCATTAAACTTAAACAATTAGAAAGATAAAGAGTCATTTATTTTTCTGTATTACCGATTAATAGGAATGCAGAAGAAGCAAAGAAGACGATGACGTATCCCCTCAACGGCTCGCCAGTTTTGCCGTAGGCCTTTGAGAAGAAAATGACGCCGGGGTAAATGCGGTCGTTGCCGAGGGCTTGGATGAGCCTGGGCACGGATAGGAGATTTGTCAGGGCAGTGCTTAGTGTCGCCGCGAAACATCCGATGTAGATGAGAATCCCACCTGACAACGAGCACAGTTGCATCACCTAAAACAATAAACAAGAATGTAATGTGGCGGATCGTTCGATTAATAAACAGAAAAGTATGTAAATAGAGAAGTGGAATAAAATAATTATTCAATTTTTCATAATGATAAAACTCTAATTATCAATAAAGATGAAATATCGCAAGGAAACCGCACCGGTGTGAGGTTTCCAAGTTTAGCCGGCAATATGTCATGCACTCAAAAAGGGAACATCGGGCAAAGCGCGGCAATGTTTTTCAACGCCTGCGCCGATATAACTATTCGTACCTCACGGATGTCCGTGTTGCATATACAATTAATTGTAGGCGTTTTGATTTTTCTTGCCATCAGATTCCTTGTGCACCGATAAAATTTTACTTAAAACCTCTACAGGGTATTTAATTATTAATTAAGTACTGCAATAGATGTTTGCGCACCAAAATTTTACATAGAATGTTATAAACGCATTTAACCGTAATGGCGAGTTCAACTTTGCGGTGAGGAAATCATGTTTATAAAGTACGTCAAGTCAGTTCTAGCTTTTTCCCAATTGGGAAGTTTGAATGCGCTGTATGTAATTGCTTCTTCTTTGCATTGATTTTGGAAGTTTTCAACGTATACAACGTCTTTTGCGGTTATTTTCATGAAAAGAGCCGTTCCTTAGAAAGCCAATTCTTGCCATGTCTTGGTCGACACTTACTTGGTTTTTTATCTTCTCAAAGGAAAGTGTTTCTGTGATCATCATGTGAAATCTCAACGTTTTGCTCGAGTCATAGTGTTTTTGTCAATTGGACTACATTCTGCAATTAAGTATTATAATTCCTGGCTCATCAATAAAAACACTTAAGTGCATACGGAAAGAAATGGCACATATATGGTGTTTTTAAACTAATTCCGAGCCAGAAATTGTATTTTTCAATCGTAGTATGTAGTCCAACTAATGTCTCTGGATCATCAAAACAATAGAATCGGACGCCAAAGGGAACGATGCATAACAGTAAAAAAAGGAAAGCAATGAAATCAAACGATCGCAATTTTGGAAGTACTCACAGAATAACTGTTCATGAGACCATATTCACAATGGCGCGTTTTGCAGTTGAGATATTCACGAGAGGCAAGCTCAGTGACGTCACCGCTTGCATCCCTCACTGCGACGAGACCAGAGTAAAGGGCCAGTAGGGAGTAGGATGCCATCGAAATCAGGAGAGAGAGTAGAGTACCTTTCGGAATGGCTGTGCCAGGGTCCTGCGATAATGACCAAAAAATGATGTTAAAATCACAAGTTATACTCAGTATGAACCAAATTAGGTTTGTGCAATAGGAAAAGGTAGGCTCACGCAAAAACAAAAAAACAAAAACAAAAAAAAAATCCGTTGCCTAACGCCCATCGCAATTGTTAAAATTGAGATGGGCTATTCCTCAAAATTACTTATCTTAGAGTTAACATGAAACACGCATAGGTGGTTTAAAAAGGTGGTTTCCTTTAACGAAAGAACGTACAGTAGACTCTGGATTATCCGGCTTCGTATTATCCGGACTCTGGATTATCCGGATCGATTTTGCAACCATCTAACTACGTACGCATTCCGATAAGTGAGCGGATCCGCGGAGAAGCGGTCGCAAAGCATATTGGCGCCTGCAAGGCTGAAGGAATACTTCTCGCATTGCGCCAAACAGTGAGGTCGGCGTGGAGCGCATTAGCGCCTACTAGATTGCATGAATACTTCTCGCATTACGCCAAACGCAGTGCAGTCGGTTAGTTAGCCTAAAACGCACATTAGCGGCTACAAGACTGCATGAATACTTCACGCATTACGCGCTTTAATCGTTGTATTGTAATTTATCGTTGTCGGCTACCATTCACAATCACCACTGAGTCGTTCAGTTTGGCGTTAACCTTTTAAATTCGTGTTAGTATGTCCATGATGTATACATAATAAGAATACTGTGGTGTTGGTTGGTGGTGTTTGTGTTTACCATTATTATCCGGATTTCTTTTTCATTCGGATCGAGCCCGGCACCAATTGTTCCGGATAATCCAGAGTCTACTGTAACTCCATTCCATGGTTGTGAAATTGACTAAAAAATTCAATTTTTTACACGAATGTACTAACGCAATTTTTTTCCAAAATTTGTTTGATTCTTACATGACACCAGAAGAACAATCAATGACATATCCAGCCAGAAATGTCCAGGATTTTCTTGGTGAAACTGCAATTTACGAGGAAAAATTTGGTGACATTGAGTTCATTCGTGAGGAAGACGACGGTAAGTGCACCTATGCGCGTACCTCAGTTACCTGGGCGAGTAATATTGGTAACCTACACGTGTAACTATACGTATGGAGCAATGCATCGAAAGTTTAACAACCCCAGTGGGTTGGAGGCTGTAAGCTTTTTTCCGTGCTCCGAAGAACTTCGGTTAGAGTGACAGGATTTTAAACACAGGTAATAAACCAAGAAAGGTGAGCTCAATGTATTCATTTTGACTGAACAGTATGGTCATTTATGACAAGATTCATTAGGTGCAGCTAATATTCCTGATCATTCCTTCCTATGGTCAGTAAACGTTACTTCAGGCATGATTAAAATTGACAGAAATGCAGCCCCGGTTGCTATATTTCCCCTGGATCCTATGTGTGACCAGGACTCTAGTGATCGCAACAACATATAACCAACTCTGCCAACAAAAAATTTTTCGATCCCCCCCCCCCCTTCGATCCCAAATAATGGAATAGAGCTGTCTCCACTCGTCAAAATGGAAGCTCAAAGTGAATCGATTTCAACGATAAGTGGTTCAAAGTCGGGACTTGATGCGATTGATGAGTGTTGCAACTCTAAATAGAGCGGCGTGACTCTATCCTGATAAAAAATCGCGAGCAGCTCGTATTTTTCGATTCATTTTGAGCTTCCATTTTAACGCCATTTCAACGAGTGGACAAAGGGCTAATGACAAAATTACGAGTTGGGAAAAAATACATATATCGTCAAATCTTCTGAATTAAATACACCGGTTGAGGCACATTAACAGTCTCATTTTTTCAAGGAAAACTTTATGGACAGTCGAAAATCACAGTTTCTGAGGTTTTAGAATCTATTGTTCTTTAGATTCGTCTTTCACAATGGAATAGCTTTTTCATTAATTGATAAGACACTTCTGCAAGCAGTGACAGTGCAGCGCACACTTTAGTTGGAGAATGAAGTCATGGTGAAACAACTTTCGATCGTAGGCGTAACTTGAAATCAGTAGCGTGGTGTGAATTGCGATATATCGATTGTTATGCCATTTAAACCTATGGTAAAGAATCGATTATTAAGGTGTCCGCTGAAAACACCCAGTTTATCGATCCTTTTCTATACGTTTAAATGGCATAGCAATCGATATATCGCAATTCACGCCACGCTACTTTTGAAATTGTTTCTAGGAGGACATGGAACCGGAACCCTACACTCATCAAGAAGTCAAGTGGTATTGAGTGGCCACACACAGTCAAAATTTCCTTGGCCCAGGCACGAGGCAAGGGTGCGCCCACGCTCTCACTGAGAAGTAGAATTGATGAGTAAAAGTAAGAGCTTTTATCAGCTTTGCTTAACGAGATATGTCCATATCAAATGGAAACTTTAACTGAAGGGAATTCTTAAAGTAAGCAAATCATAAGGCTATTTTTTGACGGATGATAATTTGTTCCTCCGGGAGAAAATTTCAAATGTTTTTTGAGCCCGAGACTAAGACTTCAGCCAATCGAGCATTTCAATATTGTTAGATTTTTGACAGAGGAATCAATACATGAAACTTCAATCCATGCGCTCTTCAAGCGTGACCACCCAGTATTTAGATACAATTGACTTCTATGGTACCTATGTTGCAAGAGAAGAGGCGATGGCATTTGCATTCTTTTTTCAGCATCTCACTATTTTTTCTCCGCGATTTTTCTATGATTCAAGGTTCATTCATCAATTCTGCTTTTAAAGCACATAATAAAGAACTTTTTAAGATATAGACGACGAATATAATTGGTCAAACCTTTAAATCTCCTGAAATATTAGCTCCAGCTTGGAGTCCGGTAACACATGGAAAGAAAATTGCAAATATTGAGAAAAAGTTCTGTTCCTGTCCCTCGCTGAAACGATAATCCGGCCAAAAATTGTCTATCAGGGTTTGTGCTGAAAAAATAACCCAGAAAGAAAAAAATCTTTAGGTGAGGAGAACGGATTTTCCACATAACACAATTCTGATTGTAATTTTCCACATAAACACAAACACTTTCTTTGAGAGTAGACTGAGAAATGTCTAAGTTCTTGAATGCTCAATCAAGTATTCTCTAAACAGGAGCCGAATATTTAACATGTTTCAGTTTTTTTTTTTTTTTTTTTTTTTTTTTTTTTTCCTACAGCAACGTAAAACAGAAAAAGGAGGTCTTTATTTCTAGTGATAATTTAAATATGTATTTCTCAGCCTACGGTTCTACGGTTGTCTTTACCCCACGAATTATAATAAAAGTCCGATGAGATTTGAGAAAAAAATAATAAGAGGACAAATTAATTGCATGAATAAGGACATTTGAATTTTTTTGTTTTTTGGGAAAGTAAATTTTAGAGGCGGATTGTGTCTATTAAACTGGCTTCTTGATGTATAAATAAATGAAGAAAAATACGCAAAGAAAGTATTCAGAAAGCTCATACCTCACCTTTAAAACCCGTGAAGCCCCTGGCAATCTGCAAGTCGCTCATTGGACCCCAGCTTGCCCCGATCAAGAAATCTCCCATTGCGACTATTATTAAAACAATCAAGACATTCTGCGCCTGTAACAAACAAATGCATTTTTATTGAAACGTAGAAATCCACGCAAAACCTTATAATAAGAGTAAATCTGCATAATACTCAGCTATTGAAATGGATGATTATTTCCGAATGAAATAATATTTTAGCACATAAAATACAAGTCTTTTAAAATCAAGTGCGTTAAGGAATTTTTGTATGACCATTTCAACTTGAAGCCTCATAATTTCAAATGCATATGAATTTTTCAAGCATGATATTTGTCTTTTTTCCCCTTCTGAATGTCCTACTTAAGATCTCTCCAACATGTAAACCTTCCTCTAGAAAAAAGGTTAAAAATGGAACGAACATGATGTGAGCGGGCGTGGAAATACGTGTATTAATCATGGACCCTTTTGAGTTATGATCTAGTTACACCTCGAAGGATGCAACTGTGCAATACGCAACCCATTTACTCAATAATGATGTTTACACAATTTCTCACATTTGACCATGTACTTGTGACGCATAGTATCATCGTTATCTATAAACTATTCTAGTGCACGTTTTCAACCCACTTGCTCTTAAGATAGCCAAGCCTAAACAGGTCAAACGATGCTATTACAGTTTATTATGTCAGCATGCTTTCTTTATAGAGCAGTATTTCAAGGTGCATTTGTCTGTGAATAGCCTCTTGCACTTTTTGACTCGTTCATATCATGCAATCTCCAATAACTCGTGGAAAGTTACGTTGGTAGAAATTTTAAGTTTTAGATCAACGCATGACCTTCTTTATATGCGCATGTAAATATAGAGAAGTAGGTAGCTGAGCCCGAAAGTCAGAATGAATACCTTCATTAGCCCCTCACTTTCTACCATTTTATAGACCTATCATGTTACAGGAGAAATTGCGAAGTCACAGAAGTTTAGGCAATCCCAAAACCTTCCTTCCTATTCTGCAATGTCCCTAATCCCTCAAGAAAGATTGTTCTTTATCGATCGTTTGGAGGAATATCACGGCCTCTTTGGCCGGTAATCTTCTCTCTCCTAAAAAGAAATATTTGAGAATGAAATCATTTTTGTTTTAAAAATATTGCTAGTTATGCATGTCTGTTGTGGAAACGTGAGGTGCTAACTGCAGTTTTTCTCCAGTTAAAATTGGAGGTCGACCTCCAAACTCAACCTCTGCTCCTCATCCAATTATGTATTCCCTAATATTTTTAGTGCAGGGTCTCTAAAGTATATTGTCTCTGTTAGTAACACCCGATAAGTACAAAATACGAGAGCCAATGAGGCATGGATTCGTACATTTCAAACGACAACAATGTTCCCTTTACTTCGAGTGATGTTTACCTTTGACTCCCATTCGATTCCGGCGGCGCAGATGAGGACCATGACGAAGATGGCGATGACGCCGACGAGGCGGATGTCGTTGACGCCTCCGTCGATGATCTTGGTGTCGTGGAGACGGAGGAGGTCGTTGAGGGACTCGCAGAAGCCGATCGTGTTCATGGAGGCGGCCACCGTGTTGGCAAACGCGAAGATCACCCCTACCGAGGCTCCAAACTCGGCCCCAAGTGACCGTGACACAATGAAGTAAATCCCACCTGGAACCATTCGAAATTTCACGAATAAGAGAAACTACAGAATGTAGTGAGAAGGCACCCACCTCCAGACCAGTCTTTGTGAAATAGAAATGAAGGGCTTGGAAGACAAGGCGCATAAGTGCAGCTTTTGAAAAAAATTGAGTTATTAACGTTTTCAAGTAAAACCGTTCTTAAGGCATATTCTTCGAAAAATTCTCTCCTAAATTAGAATTGTTAAGCACCGAGTAGTCAGTTTGAACTTCCTAAATCAGTTAACATCCTAATCTTAATCTAACAATACATAAGTTAAGTTTCCTGATTTCCTCTCTTATTTTATTCATTTATTGATTCATCAAAATCTGAGCAAAGAATTTTCTAAGACCCCTGTATAATACTTTGCAGTTATGACAACTACAAAAGCAAAAGCAAAACGCTCATTGGGTTTTCATCGGAAAAAGAGATCAACTAAACCAAAGAGGAAATCCAGCAACATGTCACATGGTTACGCTACCTCTGATGAAGTTATTTCTATTAAAATTGGACGTATTTCTGTCCAACGGAGCTATGCGTGTTAAGACATGAGCCCTTAGACCCATTAGAATATATGCATAAGAGGGCTCACCTCATAATGCACACAGTTCCGTTTGACAGAAATACATCCAATTGATCGGAGGAAACAGTAAGCGGTCGACAGTAAAAGCTCGATGCCAGCGCATATAGGAACGACGTACCTTCCAGATCTTTGAGGGCGATAAAGAAGCCTTAGCGCCTTCAGTTATTCGTCTATGCAACCAGCACGTCCATTGAACACGAATAGTCGCATCAAAGCGCCTTAATGAACGTCGCATTGTTCTGTATAAGTAAAGCGATCAACCAAGATAACTTGATTATTTACACGCATGGAGCGTAGGTGGCCTTCGCCTCCTTTTCGCCCCCCCCCCCCTCAAAGAAAAACACTTCCAATAACTATAGCACGGGATTTTAAATCGATTAGTTGAATTATTGAAAGAAAATACATTTAAAAAAATTATGCGGCACTGCCCTCTTCGGTTAACGGTAGTAGAACCGTATTAAAGGGAAGCATTGGTGGCAATAATTGTCATCGTTTTAAGATGTAAAATCGGAAGAATTACGAACCTCCTTTGACTTCGCCGTTTGTCGTGATGGCCGCCAGGGAGAGGGAGGTGATGACGCAGACAACAGCCGAGATGGCGATGATGAGTTGGGACTGCCAGATTCCTGCCTGACCTGTGACCCATGACAACCTGAGAAAGAGCATGACACCCCACGTGTTGAGGAGGCAAGGGATGAGGACCCCTTCGATCCATCCCAACTTCATCCCCGCATGCGCTGGCACTAAGGCCAGCTGATTCTCACCCGTTCCCCCATTTGCCACTCCGTTCCCGTTCTGAAAATCACACCGCACATGATCGAATTAGTATATTTGAAGGTTTAAAACTAAAAGTAAATAAAATCAACCACAACGTTTTATCTTTTCTTGCACAGAAGAAACTATTATGTAGCTGAGCTGTAAGCAGTGTAGGTTAAAGCAATCAAGAAACTAAAACAAAAAAACACGAATTTTCCAGTTTTACAAAAATTTGCCGCAGCATTTTAAAAATAAAATTCCCGGAGGATTAGACACAGGCCTAATGCGAGGCTGGCCCTGGTCAAATTTTATGGATAACTTGCTCTTTTTGATCTTTTAAATAAGAATCTCAAAAACCCTAACGCCCAAACGAGAATAAAATCTTTATTATGAAAATGAGGTGCTGAGTCAACTTTGCATATTATCTTTTTCTTTTCGTTCACTTCCGTCGAAAATCGTATAAGCTTCTGAACTTCTGGGTTTGGAATACCCTTAGACCGACCCGACAGTAGGGCCCCCCCCCTCCTTGGAAAATGACCTACATACGCCTATGTACATGGACCACCACCATGTAACGCCGCGCCGTGCTGGTTCCCGTTGATTTTAATTTCTTTTTTATTTTTGTACACTACTGTTTTTAGCGGTTGATAATGGTGTGAGACACCTAAACGTCCCGTGTAATTTCATGTACATATGTATTTTAGCCATGTTTCCGATGTTTTCCTTGTTTTCGATTTATGTACATGTATAGATATTTCCTCTTTACCCAGCAGTAGATTACAAATCATTCGAATTGGATTACACCTTGAAAATGCAATGACACTCCTCTCACCCGCATAGGCAATAATAATTCATTTTGATTCATCTCGAGAAGAGATCACGCAAGAATTGAAAGAGTACGTGAGATAACGAGTGTCAACTAGATCAGTCATGACCAAACAGCTTGTCTAGTATGGTCATACTCAAAGAATGGCGGATGACAGGTTGCCTAAGAAGGTGCTTGATTGGGACTCTCTTGGAAAGAAACGAAGGGGACGCCCAGCAAAAACATGGGTGGATGGCATTCAACATGAAATCACAAGATGCAGTTTGCCAGGCAACCCCTGATTCGGTAGGCTAGGGTTGTGATTAGGTGTAAAAAAGCACAAAAGCGTGCTGTAATGTGCTGTTGGGAAGTGCTATGCCTTGAGGTATCGAAATTGACTCAAACAATTCAATTTTCACGAGAGCACGTCTCATGCAGTTTCTGTTTAACATGTTGCTGATATTTGCTTGAAAACAAAAGAACCAAGTTTAAATTTTCTTGGTAAAAAATACATTTTCCGGTTGGGAAATTAGGCCGCAGCCCTTTTTGGCACAAAAAATAGCCGTTTCGGCACAAAGCGTTTTAGTAACTTCTTCCGAAAACTAGTGTAAAAATAACCTTTTTCGGCACGAAGAGATTATCACAGAGCTTTCAAAAACTTTACTTGACGTCAACACCATGAAGGAGAGAGAAAGCAATGGCTTTACCTATTCTATCGGAGTGAAGCGATATCTCATGCCACGCAAAAATGGGGATCCGATAATGCTTTTACTTGTATTTTTGTGAGGCAAAAATTGGTTTCACACGTATTGCTCCTGTTGAATTATATCTTGCCTCATGACGGAGGGTTGAACTTCAGCATCCATGCAAGTTCATGCAGCAGCCCTTTTCAGTGGCACCAGGGTTTGCTGTTCCTGTGAGATATTTATTACTTCAAAAAGCGAGGGATTCGTAGTTTCAAATTCCGAAGAAAACTAGCTGCGATAGTTTTCAGAAGCGCTATGTAAGATGAAATAACATGAATGATTGCTAGCTGAAACATTGCAACACCATGCTTTGACTTGATTTGAACTCCTAAACATTCCAATAGCTCTGTGATAATCTCTCCGAGTTTATACAAAATGGTTATTTCCAAGTTACTTTTAGGATGAAACGACTTAAAGGTCTTATGCCGAAAAGGGAAATATCCAACATTTCGCGATGGCGAATTGGACTACATTTTGCAATCCGGACCAGGAACTATAATTTCTAGCTCACATTAGAGGGAAGGTATGTACCATCAGTGTCCTATAAATGTTTATTTAGGCGAGCTAGTTTTAGTTCCTAAATGCAAAATGAAGTCCAATTCGGCCATGTTAATGCAAAACTCCGTAAGAGGATTCGAATGTTGTCAAATTTCCTCTCGGACAATAACTGTTTTTAAACAGTTATGAATATTTATTATTTAAATTTCTAGACTTTTTAGATCAAATTTCGAATATAAACCGCCTGAAAAATTTGAGGAGAATATTCACAAATTTTCCTGAAAATTTGTTCTTTTTCGAGTGAAATTTGGCGACACCTGATGGCTAATCCGGCGTTCTTCCAATAGAATTGCAGTTGCGATCCTCTCGGAAAAGACGCTTGAGAACTATATCTAGACGTATTTCTATCAAACGGAACTAAGCGCCAGGGGGAGGAAGGTAGAGGAGGAGCTTGGATTGGCGGCCGCGGAAACGGGCGTCCTGCTCGTTCCGTCCTATACCCGCAATGCTTTTCCATGGCGCTTCGTTCCGTTTGACAGAACGCGCTAATCGGGATTCTAAATTCCTCGAAAGGAACTCAAATTGGCGCTTAGTTCCGTTCGACAGAAATACGTCCATCTGGAAAACGATCTATTATGAAATGAATTCTGACCTTAGCGGCATCGCCGTATAGCTCGCCGATGGAGGGTCGTCGCTTGGAAAAGCTCCTCCTGTAGTTGGCCAGCCGGGGTAAAGCCTCGAGGTTGAGTTGGTGGAGGACTTTCCTGAAGCCGGTGGGCTCGCCGACCAATTGCGCCTTGGAGCCGTAGGCGGAGCCCACGTTCGTCGTCTGGGTGTAGCTCCCGTCCACGGACGACTCCACCGCCGCCACTTGGGTCCGCCCCAGCTCCACGTCCCTCAGGGCCCCACCACTCGGCCCTTCCGGACGCGCCTCCTCGCCTTCTGACATTTCAGGGTCTTCCTGCCAAAAGAAAATAGACGGAATCTTACTCCCAGAAACAAAATATTGGATACATATCGACGTGTATCGATCGAAAAATAGTAAAGCGATCCCATAATCTACAAGGATTCAACTTATTGTATTACAACTTATTAAAAAGCCTTATGTCGAATTGGACGTACTTCTGGTAAAAGGAACCAGCGGTCTGATTGTCAAAATTGATAGACAAAGCGATGGACAGACACGGAAAAAACGAGTTTAGGGCTGGTGCCTGCGCCGAAGGTCCCAGCCCTAACCGGGTAGGTAAAATTGCTTCACCTCCACCGCCATGGGGGCAGGCCCGGCGCGCGTAGAGCCCAAATCTGCCTGCTTCAGGGTTCAGCCCTACCTGGTAAGAGCTAGACCCTGTCCAGGTAGGGCCGGACCTTACCCACGCAGGGCCTGCCCCTGTGGCGGTGGAGGTGAAGCAATTCTAGGGCCCAGCCCTAATCTCGTTTTTTCAGTGGAGGAGACATAGAGGAGTATGGAGCAAACCTATTGGTTGAAATGGGTGACTTTCATAGACTAACGGAGAAAATGATGGACTAATGAAGGGTCTCTCGTGGGTTTCCGTTAGTCAGTCTATTACCTACCTTCTTTGTCCATTGTGACCACCCGCTTCCACCGATAGGATCCCTCCATATCCTGTATTTGTCTTCTTTGTCTATGGCTTTGTCTACCAATTTCAACAATCAGCCCACAGAAACGGGTTCGATAGAAGGAGCGTATGCTCGTTAGTTCTCGGGCCGTAAGAATGAATGGGAATTATAAAGCGCCAGTGACGTCAGCGACGACGAAGCCGCCGCCGCTATCGCCCGTGATGGTTTTTAACTCATGAGCTCTGTCCACAACGCTTTTGTCACATGACCACGGCTCATGAGTGTATTTTGGCGCTTCCTTCGGTTTGATTTAATATAAAATCTCACTTTCCCATTTCTACAAAAGGAATCACGTCCACTTATACAATGTTTCTCATCTAGCTTTTCAGAGAACGCTCCATATTTTCTACCCGCCTCCAGTTCGTTTTAGAAAAACGTACGTTCAATTGATAGAAAAATAAAAACATGAACCTATCGACAGCGACTCGATTAATAATTATGATTGATTTGCGGTACTGTCGATCGATTCTTGGAATTAATGACAAGTTAATAGGTAACATGAGTATTGAAGGTCAATAATTGAATCGGTCATTCTAAATGTGACTTAAGCACCAGAAATGAAAACACGAGAAAAATACTAGAAACTGTGATCATCGACCAGTTTTAAATCGTAGATTTTAAAATAATGTGATTGATCAATGCACCGCTTTAATACTTTAAAGCTCTGAAATTTAGAGCGGGTCCATTAAAACCATTTTTACTGTTTTTTCTCGGAATGTAGCTCCTGGCGCTTAAAATTTTTTTAGAATGACCTATTCAAATTGGTGAGTTTCTCGACCTACGAATACCACACTGATTGAGAGTTGATTGTGGCGCCTTGGTTCAACTATTCGTGTCGCACGAATGTGCATATTGCATGTTCAAAATCGAAGGCACTTTCGTTTTCCTCACCTCTTCAGAAATTCATGGGAGCTGTCGTTAGTTGTAGCTCTCTAATAACATGTTACCTGTGTAGAGAAACTAGGGGTTACTTATAAATAATTTTACTGGAAAAAAGTGCCGCTCTCTTATTGGTCAATTCATAACCAACAAAAACTTAGAAACAATTGACTATTGCCTAAATTGTTTTGATAATGATCCATTGATCACCTTTACGAGGGAAATTAAGGTTCCATTTATTTACGACTTATCGATTTTGACATGTGACTGTATCGAATTCGAAACCGGTAGTTTCGTTTCGATAAGTTTTTCGGTTAATGTGGTCGGACAGGCACGGTTTTCCGGACACATATGCCTCAATTTGGTCATTCACAGCCACAGGCAGAATTTCAAGGCGGCTGCTGTCCGCGGCGACCAATTAGCAATGCAAATTGACGCGGGATAATCGATAGAATTGTCTACAAACTTTTCGATGTGGTTTTGCTCCACTTATTGGTAAGTAAAACTTGCATAATTGGGCATTGATACAAAGAAGTTTGAAATGTCTCGAATAGTACCTAACTATAGAAAAATAAAGGGACGGTGAGTACGTAAATAACACGACTGAGTATCATATTCCTACCTATACTTGAGACAACTGCGCCTCTTATAAATTGATGTCGCAATTCTAAATGACTCAATTGCGCTCGTCAAGGAATCGTGTTTTGATGGTTTAATGTTATAAAGGTTAGAAAAAAATCAGATCCGTTTAAACGCCTTTTTTACGTCCAATATTATCGGAGGTATCGGTCCAAAAAGAACACAGTGTATGACATCATCTACCGCGGTAGTGCATACAATGATTTCTTCCACTTTAAATTTACCAGGTAGTGATGCACACATTAGCATTGGTTGCGATCGATACAAAACTTGGGTGAAGCACCGCGGTGGATGACGTCTTATTCTGTGTTTTTTAAAAGGCTACCTACATCGCCGTAAATATTGGCAGTGAAAACTTAGAGTTTGGACCGAGTTTTCTGAACACGATCAAACGATTCTGTAACTAGTGCAACTGACCTATTCTTGCATTTTCGTCTTCAAAGTAGCTAATTTTTTGTGACAATTTATACTTTAAATCTGAGAGTGAATCATCGTAGCCTCAAAATTTATTTTGATATGCGTTCTTTTGAGAATACTCATTGAAAATTATATTTATCATCTTTCCTCAGAAAAAACAAAACAAGAACGGAAACAGATCATTGCATACGAGAGGCCAAGTTTTCTCTTTCCACCAATTTTGTGGTTTTCTCAAATTTCAGCGTATACGTTACTGAATGAGATTATTATTCGAGCCCTCTCAAGACAAAGAAGAATCAGCCATTGAATAGTTACTGATCGATTGCCGTGAGGTTATTTTAAATTCAAAGTTCGAAATGTGTAGGTTATTTTGGTATTTAACGATTACAGACTTGGATTTCGAGTGATATCGAATTAACATAGAATTGAAGACCATGTAGAACAAAATACAAAAACTGAAACTCTATTGTTCGATCATAGCTCTTTACATCAAGACTATGCTAGCCCTTGACACGCACCTTAAAAATAATCTGTGGTGATATGCATAAATTTACCTGATTATGTAAAAAGAGGCAAAAATTGCTATGAGATAGACCAAGTGACGATAAGAACTGCCTTCTTGATCACAGAATTTCTTGGATGGCACACACAGAGTTATAAGTGACGGCAGAGCGGAGTAATTTAGGCACAACCTAAGGTGTATAGTTTGACGAAAAGTCGATCTCAATTCAGAAAAATCTCGTGGAAATTGAACGGTTATAAGTTGCAATTCGATTCTATTGGCTTAACTGAAAGTTACAAAGTGTGAAATTTTGTTTATTGACGTCCTTTTGGAATTTTTTACTTGTTCTTGACTGCTAAAAATGCCCTGGTCTCCCATTTTCATCGCAAGCCATTCCGACTGGAGCAAAAAGTGACCCTAAAAAAGGACCCAAAACCCGCACTGTAGAGGTCCCTCACGCGATTATTAAAGTATATTTTTTCTAAAATATCAGATGTCATATGCAAAAATGAAGGCTTCGACTAACTGTTTTCACACCAATTCGAGATGTATTTCCGTCTTTTGAACCTTAACACGTAAATAGATGTCAGACTCTTTAATTTTGCGCAAACGTTGTACTGTAGTCTTTATTATTTAATATTTCGCGGTATGACCGATTTCAACTCCACAATTTCTAACCGGCGAAGAGGTCCTTTTTTCATACACGCGCGGAGCATTTTAAGTAGGAATAGAAGTACATTTTTGATCACTAATTTTTACAACAAAACCTCAATTTCCGTCTTTGTTGCAGTAAGGTTCTGCTCTTGTTGCGACACGTTTATATTTTCAATATGTTGACACTTTCTATCATTTCGAAATTGTGAATTATTCTAATATTTTATGATCGTGTAGTTTTGTATTTTAAAATCAAGGCACTTTATTTCAATTGATCCTTTTTATTACGACACTTTCCATATTTCCGAAAATTTTACACTTCCCGTTATCTTCAGATGGTAGAAAAATCTATTCCTTCAAAAAATCGATTTTTTTCTAATATTTTGGGGTAGCGTCCCTCTCTATTACTTTAAAGTAGAGACACTTTATTTAAATGTTAATCAATGATGATTCCAGCTGATTGAAACTCGCGAGAGAGGTCTGCCCGTGAGCGCGCGTATAATTTTAACCAAGTTCACCCAGGTAAGTACCGAGTGACAGCGTTAATGACAGTATAACGACTGTCTCAACTTGACCGAAATGAGTGATGCCTCCGTAAAATTTTTCGAAGCGGCACGATAGTAGCGCGGTGAAGATGTTCCAGAGTTGTAAGTACAAGGAATTATGACACCCGATCGATGTTTAGTGCTTGTTCCTCGTCAACGCGCGTTCGAGAGTCAAGCGCTCAAAAAATCCGTTGAGAGGAAATTTCTGATAAGAGAGAAGTAATAAGGACGTATTTCTGCTAAAAGGAACTATGTGCTCAGGATTTGCGAGTAACATAGTTCCTTTTAGCAGAAATACGTCTATATACAGTGTGATTCAGAATTATGAGCACAGAGAGTTCACGAATACATTTTTTTTATCAACACAAGAGTGCAAGTGTTGGCTAGTTCAGATTATCGATCAGTAATCGATTAATCGAACCTCTAATAATTGATTAAAGTAACCGTTGGCTTACAATTAATCAGGAATTTATGGTAATGTTAAATAACGTTTTCTCACGCGAAATAATCTACTATTCAAGCGATTTTATTTTATTGGAGTTTTTTGCCAACGTGCGATTTTAGTTGTTGAACTAGCCACTTTTAGTATACTCTTCGAATAGAAATCGACCAATCATCGATTATGGATTAATCTAGTATTTCGCTGTCGATTAATCGCTTGCTCGAGTAGCTTCATTTTTCAATTACAAATCATCGATTATTCGATTTACAAAATAATGGAACATGCCTGCAAGAATTATTTTCTAACATATTTCCCTAGGAAATGGTGACTCTAAAATTTGAGGAAAGAGTTGCAACTTTAACATCAAAACGTCCATGAATCAACTTTTAAGTGGATATCATCCAGAAATATTTTAATGCTTAATGTTTCTTTTGATCGTAAAAAGCAGAATGATTACAGATTTAATGACATTTGATCCAAATGCGTGTTTTTTCCATAGAGTACATAGAGTCGTAATGTAAATGGGAGAGCTGGCCCCATGTTCTGGCCGACGAGTTCCGAGCCCGGTGTGCGCCGAGTTTCGGTCACTTTTTCGATACATGTTCGATCCATGATGGCGGTGTGGAATACGTAGTAATTCCTATCTTGTTTGTTTACATCGGATGGCCGAGTCCCCGTGTATCGAAATCATTCAATTATGAATCGAAAAAGTGACCCGGCGTGACACAGGAATTTCGAACTTCGGGACCTGGAAAATGCTTAAAAGTGGCGCCAGGTCTCTCACTTACATTTCTATGGTTTTTCCTCCCAAAAAATCGGACAATTTTTGAATGCCAGACGTTACTTTATGCTTCGGCCCCTCCATTCTTCTCTTGTAATGCAGCGCTACACAGCCACTTACCCCTCTGTTCCTTACATAACATTCAAACGATCTCGACTTAATATTTGACAACGGATAATATAGCATAAGAAATGGGCAAAAAAACTATGATCGGCGCGGTTTGAGTGTGTTGTAAAACTTCCGACCTTCGGGGTCCTCAGGAGGCCTGAAATTTGACGGAAACACCTACCTACATCGTTAAGCATGCACCAGGAATAAATTTTCATATGCCCTCGTAGGTTTTTTCGTTACAAAGCTGTTTTTTTTTATACCACCGATTAACCAATCTGTTTCTTCAGGTCGCGGCTCGCGCTAGACACCTCGAGACCTCAGATTGAACCGTTGAAAATTATTCAAGTACTTTTTTATTGCTGATTCGGATACACCAAAAATTTTATCTTCAGAACACAACTGCCAATCTGCTTTCCTACTTCAAAATTTTAAAATTATATTTTAGCCGATGCCATGTGAAGTGCTGTAATTAAAATGTTTTTCAAAGTCGCTCCGCTCAAAATTTTTGTAAAAAAAACCTCCGTGCATGGAACTCTTTTGGTCTAAGGACGGTTGGACCGAAATTATCAGAAAAGGCACTCACTCACATTAAGTTGAGTCTGAGGAAAATTTTGAAATTAAATTTCTTCATATGACTGGATGAAGAAAATAAACTTTAATCCCTTTTTTCAAAAACTATTTTTCTTTGTTCGACGTATATTTTTTAGCAGGAGAAAATATACGACTAATGGAACTCAAATACATTCTTAAGTAAATTTTTTCGAAAATGTGGGTTGGTTCCTTTCTGATAAACTCGTCCAGTTACAGCATGTGTATTTTAAAAAATTACGTTGGTAGTACTCTAATTACATTTTCCGAGGGAAATCTCACTAGGAGGGGGAGAGGGTACCTATCAATTGTCACTTCAGCCCTACCTGCACATGACAATGTACCTGATGCTGACTATGCACATTACGTATCGAAGTTTAAAACAGACTGTTATCTTCAGTCGAACCTCAATTAGAGTGATTATTGAAAGGATTACCTTAAGAGAGGCAGTATTATTTTATTAGCATTTACAAAACGTTAGATGCGGTTCATGCAATATTCAAGTGTGAATTATCAGATGACAAACGTAGCAGTAACAAACACGTATGCTACGTACAGAACTGAGGACATTGATCGAAATAAGTTATTTAATTATTAACTATCCATAATATTCGCGGGAAAAAAACAAAAAATAAACTAATGGCGGCCAACCGAGCTGACAATGAACTCATAAATGTTGACCTTCTATATTTTCCTGTCTTTCATTTTTTCAGGTAAAAGATATTACTGATTGGTTCAAATTTTAAAATCTCACAACCAATCCTTTCTTTGTTATCCTCTAAGAAAAATTGGTAACACAAATAAAAAGTACCCCTTTCTCGCAAATTTGTATAGTTTCGTGTTCCTGGTCGTAAATTATGTGTTTTTAACGGATCCTAACAAAGCACGATAAAATGTATTAACACACACGTCTTTAGCAAGAGAGTTAAATTTTAATTTCAATTTTAAAGCTCAAGTTTTTTTGTAAAACATGTTTTCTCAGGATAATGTTCTTTCCTTTTTCTTGGAGTTTTTATCACTCACCCCAGGTACCCAATGAATTTTAAGATTTAGCCCAAATCAGACCACCAGGAAAGAGTACAATTTAGCACATATTTCCTTTTGAAAAGTGCGCGCAGAATAGGTTTCGTTTGTTTTTAAAAAAAGTTGAGTGAGAAGTAAGTGTTAACAGTGAATATGAAAATTAGTGAATTAAACTTTCCCGCCTATGAAAAAACCACGAACACAGCTCTGTGCCATCAAAAATAATTATTTATTCATTCGACATTGATCACTTTAGACTTTAATGCAAAATACTCCCTCTTACTCTAAAACACCGTATTTGTTCCGCTGTCAAGAACGATATAGCAGTTAGAGAAAAAAATCTATCCCGTGGAACATTAAAATTAGTTCAGTTAGGTCCTTTTTAACACGTGTAAAATTTTTTTCTCCTCGCAAGCAGAAAGTTTAAAATAACACTCACAGGGAACGTTTATTCTCACCTGGATTCGAAATTTTATGAAGTTTCCTTAATTCCCCACGTAAAATTTTGATAAGAAAACACGTGCCGTAGTGCATTTCCTATCCTGTTTAGTGGTTCTCTATTTTTGCGAAAACAACTTGGTTTTCTTTCTTCAAAAACACATCTCATCCGGAAAAACTGAAACTTCGTACTTGCGCCTTTCTTGCTGAGAACGACGTTCAGCCATCGAATTTGAATCGTTGAATTTTCCAGCACGTGATAAGGCCGTTCCGTAAACTCCCGTGGGTCGGGGCTCAAGTATCCTCATTACGGAGACACTGAGCATATTTTATCACGGGACCAGAATACTAGCGATTATGGAGATATATGGGTCATTAAGACGAAACCAACTTAAGTGGCCCGTCTTACTCACAATTGGGGATTAGCCCGGATTCATCCGGTTTCAGGCAGATCCAACCGACTAGCAGCCAATCGGGGGTTACCGCTTCAGATTAGTGGATTCTGCTAATTATTGTGCTAAATTTGCACGTTTTTTGAGCAAATAGAGAACGGATGAACGGGCAAACACAAAGCGCCATTGACCGGGGCGGGGTGAAGCCCATCGGGCGTACAAACAAGCTTCTCGTTAATGCGAACAGATCTATTCGTCACGAATCTTCAAATTCAGTTTCAGGACTTCTTCAAATCGACACCAACGGTCAAGAAATAGGCGGTGTTTCTCGAAAGAAAACCGAGTGATATCAGCTGCTGCCAAGTTTCACTGGACAATTTGTATTCTTTTACAAGAATGAGTTTGTTCCAAAGTGGCCGTTCGAGAACTTCGCAAGGCATTTTTGCCGACTCCCTTGTGTTTTCTCTCCCTTTACATTGTAAGATACCTAATCTATCAACATTTCTTTTGAATAAAGTAAGACTGGCCTGACCGCCCTCTCATCTGGGATGTCAAGCATCCCGCTTATCAGCCCTGTTTTCAATTGTTTCATCCATTCACCAAAGTTTTCCAACAGAGGTAGTCTTAAATTTTTTTTTTTTTTTTTTTTTTTTTTTTTTTTTTTTTTTAAGTAGAGTGGCAGGCGTATGACTGGATTTGATTCCTCCCCTTCCTAAAATCCCTTTTATACAAGTTCAGACTCCATACCCCTTTAAGTAGCTAACGTAATATTTGAACGACCCGAAATATTTGCTAAAGTAAAAATTATAATTACTTTTCAAAAAAAAATGACTTGAAATTCACCATGAGCACATTGCAACCATCCGGCCAAAGCATTACAAGCACTTTTTATGTTTAGACGCTATGTTACCGAATATCTCAACATTTAATTGTCTCTTTAAAACGTTTGTATTTTTTTTTCGTGAAAATTTCAGCATTTAATTTTGATGGTAGAAGAAATATTAGGTAAAATTGGAAACTAATTTTGTTCATTAGTTTTTTCATACAAAATTGAACAAGTTTGAGAAGTTTGACAACATAAAGCCTAAGTACTAGATGCTTGTGATACTTCAGCCGGGAGGTTCCGACATCGGCAACGTCTGAAGTTCATTTCGGAATTCGGAATATGCGTAAAAAATTAGCGCATTTTTGAGCTTACCGCTTGAAAAAATACATTAAGGCGAAGACATGGGTCATTTAATAAGGACAAGTCACCTCAGTTTTACCACTCCACGCGTAACTTAAAATGGCCACCACCGTATGTCTCCGTTCCCAATTAACATAAATAACATAACTAACGTTATTTAACCGTAGAGTGCGTCGCCTTTATAGATAAAGTTTCCTGCCAATTTGAAACACCATGCGTTAGAGTTTATTGCAATTTTCCAAGTATGTGCTAAAAAGTTAATCCGCACATCCCCACGAGTAAGAGTTTCTGTGTGAGTTTAGGTAGCAAATTAAGTTTTTTCCGCAAAAATTTGAAATGTATCCCTTTTAATCAATCTCAGGTGTCGCAATTGTCGCATATTTTTAAGTAATGAGGCTTACGAGTTGTGTTTTTGATGCAACGTTTTTCGCCTTCACCTGAACGATTAGGCAAAAAGTGCTACTGCATGTCAAATATTTGCTGCGGTGACAAGCAAATTCACGACAGCTAATCTTTGAACTTGAATTCAACAAAAATCCACTTCCAACTGTTGATCTATAGCAGCGTCGAAACATTATTATCTGTCTGTTTGGTTGAGCCGATACTTGACTTAGAGGAGAGCCTCCACAGTTAGACGTCACTATTCAAATAGTCTTCATCTATAACTCATTTCCCTCACTACTCATCTATTTGACCCATTTTATAGCCAAAGGCCAATAGTATTACAATGCATCTTGTCTCTACGGGGTATCTCGATCTTCTCGACTGGAACAGTTAGTCGGTAGAATATTTTCCTTTTGAATATGCCTCCTCTGCTTGCATTATGTGGTAACCAAGTAATTTTTAATGGACATGCATATCGATGCCTGAGTTTGGCATAGGCAGATCCAGGCTCTTCGAACAGGGGAGTTTGGAAGGAGGCTGGGGAGTTTCTTCTAAACATTTTCTGAAGTTTTAAAGCATCTAATAAGCATAGTTAAGTCAATTTCGTCATGAATAATTATGAAATGTAAGTATCCTTCCTTCTTCTTTTCTCCGTTTCTTCATCTTTCATTCTTTACTTTTCCTTCCTCTTTTTTCGGACAAAGGGAGGGGGCGCACACTTACGCCACCCTTAGGATCCGCCTATGAAGCTTGAAAACCACAAAATCCATTCTGCGACATTATTTCATACTTCATGCCATTGAAAGTTGCTTTTAATTTGTTTTAATTATTTCAAGCGATGAAGTTGCTTTGTTCCCCAAAAGATACAACAGAACGAAAATTTGTAAACACTGCTATTAAAATATACAGGGTGTACCAAAAGTCCGTCCCACCCCTGCTAACTTTTGAACGAATTGAGCTAGGGTAATGAAACTTTGGGAATGTTCCTATCTCAAAGGGGACCATCTTTTGGGGGGGTCAAAATTTTGGTCCCCCCTCAGGGGGGGCGCGGGGGGCCCCCAACTTTTTTTTTTCAAATGGCAACCCCTATCTTGTGATACCTCATTCGAAAGAACATAAAAAACTAAGAATTTTGGCGCAAACCGCAGATCAATATCTTAATTTTTGACCGAGTTATGATAGGTCAAAGGTCAAATTTGACCTATTTTCAAAAAATCATAACTCCGGTTCAAATTATCGTAAAGAAAAAAATAAAACGGAAAAATTTACCAAATTGTGTCCGCTTTTGAGTAAAAATTGCAGAAATCACTTCGCTGTAATTTTAAGGGGGGGCTCGGACCCCCAAATACGTCAATTCAAAGGTCATTCAATTTTCCCGCGAAAAAAGGCAATTTCCCCTAGATTTGCTTCCACATTATCTCAGTAAGGTCAAAATTAGTTCAACATTACGTTGGCAAGTCCCCAAATTTCGGGAAAAGTTTAAAAAAACGAAATTTAAACGGTCAAATTTAATCACCTTAAATTTCGTTTTTTTTTTAACTTTTCCCGAAATTTGGGGACTTGCCAACGTAATGTTGAACTAATTTTGACCTTACTGAGATAATGTGGAAGCAAATCTAGGGGAAATTGCCTTTTTTCGCGGGAAAATTGAATGACCTTTGAATTGACGTATTTGGGGGTCCAAGCCCCCCCTTAAAATTACAGCGAAGTGATTTCTGCAATTTTTACTCAAAAGCGGACACAATTTGGTAAATTTTTCCGTTTTATTTTTTTCTTTACGATAATTTGAACCGGAGTTATGATTTTTTGAAAATAGGTCAAATTTGACCTTTGACCTATCATAACTCGGTCAAAAATTAAGATATTGATCTGCGGTTTGCGCCAAAATTCTTAGTTTTTTATGTTCTTTCGAATGAGGTATCACAAGATAGGGGTTGCCATTTGAAAAAAAAAAGTTGGGGGCCCCCCGCGCCCCCCCTGAGGGGGGACCAAAATTTTGACCCCCCCAAAAGATGGTCCCCTTTGAGATAGGAACATTCCCAAAGTTTCATTACCCTAGCTCAATTCGTTCAAAAGTTAGCAGGGGTGGGACGGACTTTTGGTACACCCTGTATGGTATTTGAGTTCTGTCATCGATTCATGGCCTATCGATTTTTGGGACATAAACGATAGAATTGATGGATTCCATGGATTCGGCTACGGCTGGACAGTGCACGCAGTTAAATATTTACGTGTGTTTGGTTAATTTGGTTAATTTTCTTTTGGTTGGATCATCCAAAACAATTCGGTTGATTGACCAAATTCCTGATCATATCAACCGCAACCTTGAGCTATTCGTAGACACCTCAGAACGAAGAAAGTGTCTTGCTGCCCTAGTGTACTCACTTGTTCCTCGTTTCGCTCTTGCCAGTTGCGCGAGTAGTTAGCGCAATGGATTATTATCAACTAGTTGCGATGCTACCAGGTCCGAGTTCGATTCTAGACATCCCTCCTTAATTTCTACGGGTCAGGAGTTCGTCAACCAAAAAACTTGACTGGTTTAGCCGTGATAAAAAGTAACCCACAGAAATTAACTGAAAACGTGTTTTCCTGCCCACATTATCATTTAAGGGGGTGCGCACCCTGACCGCTTCGCGGTGTACCCCCCGCCCCACCAAGCGCTTCGAGCTCCAAGTGTCATGCGTTACTTATGATTTATATTATGGAGTATGGTACAGCTCACTTTTTTTTTTACTGTGCGTATCTAAAACTCTTACCTCCTCATCACGCCTGCGCTTCTTGACCTGTCGCCTGAGGCAAAATTTGGCGAAAATCAAAGGATCGAGCACGTTCATAGTAAATCACACATGACACTCAGAAACCACAGCTATGGAACATCCACCGACAGACGCGGAATGAACCAGAAGTCCGAGCCGCCAGCTCGCAAATGCTCCAAAGCCGCAAGGTTAAAAAGGTTTACGTAACGACTTTTTGTATAACCCGTCGGATTCTTTTTTTCCACGTTTCACGGCGGTCATCCGCAGGACCACTCGGTGGGGAAATCTTTGAAATTTCAGGACGGCGTCGAGGTGGGGGCCCGGCAGGGATTTTCGGTGGGAGGAGGGATTCCTCCTGGTTCCATTTTGGATTTCACGCCAAACGCTCGGAACTGGGATCGGACTAGATTCGAAGCATGACTGCACAAGATCTTGGAGCCGCGCCAGCCTCCGCGACGATTGCGCGATAGTTTTTTTATCCCCCCAGGACAACGATGCGACGCAGTCCTGGTCATTATAGATGGAATTCCGCGGGTGGTTAGATAATCGATCCGTATAGCTGATCGCTCGTTAATGTCTCACAAACACCGAGCTGTGTCTTTAAGAAATGTGCGGCGGTTGATCCGAGTGTGAAGTGATGTGTGTGAAAACGGCCGATGGTTATATTTAGTCCACTCTTATGCGTTTTCCCGCGTCTCCCATTGGAATTATGTTTACACACTGATGATAATGCTGCCGTACTAAGGAAGAACGCCGTATGAACCTTCAGGCGTTGCCAAATTTCCTTTGATAAAACTCGAATTTCCTGGTAAACTTGTGAATATTTTTCTTCCAATTTTTCAGAGAATTTTGTTTGTACTTTGGTCTAAAGTTCCTGAAAATATCAAGGAAAAATATTCATAATTTTCCTCAAAAAATAACATTTTATCAAAGGAAACTTGGCAACTCTCGAATGTTCATACGGCGTTCTTCCTTAGCACGGCAGAATGGTAGAGTCACTGGACCCTCTGTATGGACGCTGGACCCCCTGTAAACACTCTGAAAAGTCTGCTTTATAAAAAAGCGAGGTTTCAGGTTACCTAATCATGACAGTAGAATCAGTGACGAGGCGTAAATGATCGATCATCGATATTTCGCCATTTGAAGCTATGGTAAAGAATCGATTATACAAATGTTCGTCGCGAACACCCTGTTTATCGATCCTTTTCCAGAGGTTAAATTGACAAATCAATCGATACATCGCAAAGTACACACTCCCCCAACTTCCCAGCGCCTTAATATTTTTGAACAGAGCTTTACGTAATATTGACGAATAAAGTCGATAACTACGCACCACCTTGCTTAGTTTTCTTTCCCAATATTAGAACTTAATTGTAGATATTGAAACGTTGCAATGGAGATGCGTATTTTTTGACTTAAGCAATCCATATACTTGTTGGGGCAATGCTGAATCATGCTTACCAATTATTTAATTAGAGTACGTGATAGTGCTTCTCATCTGTGCTTTCAAAAACAAATTCAATTTAATTGTCACAAAGATGGAGAAAAAATAAGAAAGTTGGTGAAAATTGCACGGAAAAATGACCTAAGGAATTCGCCATACCTTTGCTTGATTTATGGAACAGAAATAACATAATAAGAGAATTTCTATCATGTAACTATTGTTGAGTACGTTGACAGTTTTAGTTAAAATAACCGCTATGGTCTCACACTTTTAAACACAATTTGTGCTGCCTTTTTGATAGTATGGGTATTGATACTTCTGTATCAAAATTCAATCGAAAGTAAGGAAACTAAACCTCTGCAAATTTTGTCTGTATGGCTGTACGTAAAATATGCCTTGTGACAAAACATGCCGACTTAAATCAATTTATTGTATGCAGAGTGTCGATGTAAAAGTAACATACGATTTTTGAACTACCATCGTTGAAGTTGAAAGTCAAAAGCTGAATACACTTATGGCATATCTTTCGAAGCCAGTGCATTCAGAGCCACTTGAGACAATTCAGGACAATTCGGTAATTAAACATCGTGATACTTGAAATACGCCAGAATGATTTATATAGCATTGTTAAGATTGAATACTCGTATGATCAAAAATAAAAAAAATATTTATATACTTAGAATTTGTGGCAAATCCCTGAATTATTTGTATAGCATGCGCCTATAACCGTTTGTGAGTGTTTGATGTACTTACTCACAGTTAAACCTGTAGATAACTGTGGAGAAATTGGAGTGGTAAAATGTTTAACTGGAAAAGCGATCCTCTCTTCTTCCTGCCACAATCGCCATCACCGGACCTCGAATAGTGCATATAAATATACATTATTCGATCAAATTAAATGCATCAAATATGTAAAAAAGAGATTGAGGTATACATTTTTTTGGTTTGAATCTATATGTACCCACTAAAATCACATGAGGGAACAAACAACATTAATTGCTCAATGATGGATAATTATGAAAATTCATTTGCATCCATGTTGTATAATATTTTATATGGTTCAATATCGTGTTTCCTGAAAACTAAGATTTTGTCATTCTTATTGGATCGTTTGCAATGTAAGTCAAATTTAGTAACTATTTGTAAACGATGCATATAGGTTTTGCAATACTGCAGAAATTGCACGTGACTCCATACATCATTACAGCTGACCAATATGAAAGCCCGACTAGAACTCCCCTCCCCAAATCTTCAGAGCTGTTATTCATTTTTCATTAAAATAGTCACTAATTTTTTCTTTATTTACTACAAATTACATAAGACGTTACACAATCTGAGCTAGCACCAGAATCCTATGAGTCGTTTCTTTAAAGAACGGCTCATACCTAATTAGGAATTTCATGGTGCTGTATCTGATGACGTCATTAAATGACGCTCAGAATGGTCACCTGGTATACATGCAGTAGCCATCATCCCCCTATATGTTTCCCTCAAGTTTTTGGTCCCAGAGTAGTTATTGAAATTCTTAATAATTTTACAAAATACGTCATCAAAAAAAATATCTCGTTCCCATTTATCGTAATAAAATGGGCGTGGTCTAACCCTCCCGTCAAATTGCCTGTAACTTAATTTTCGTCAAAAGTTTACGGTTCACGGCGGAAGGGCTTACAAAGAAGTTGTGGACTTGTTTTCAGCGGCAATCCTCGCAAGTTGACCACACTTTTTTTCTTCATCTACATGCACGTAAAACGACCAATTCTAGATGAGGTAACCTGCCTCACTTATGATCGATATTCACCATAAATGCAAGAATAACAGTGTTGCCAACTTGTGCTAATTGTCACTGTTTGTTATTGAGGGAAACGTTTCGTCTAAAGCCTGCATAAACTCGTCGGACTCTGATTGAATGTTCAAAAAATCTACTTCGTCAACGAACGGGTATAAACTGTTAACGAGATTCGTTAACAGGTAGAGGTAATATATTTTAGAGACCCTGCACTACTACCCTTTCAATAGTCCTTGTAATGTAGAGGCAACGTACTTTAAGTAGTCATTCGATACAATGTTTAAAGCGTATGAACGTGGCTTCGGTTCTGCAAGCAACTATTACTACTCCTAAGCCGCCCACATTGCCTACTTTCGCATTGAAGGCGAACTGGTAAGAAGAAGCGCGGAATAACTCACTGTTAGCAGATATTAGCTTACTAATGTAATGTTTGATACGAATAAACGTAAACCCTCGTGCACACTGCTGCAAGCAGCAATTACTGCTCCCAAGCTGCTCACATTGCCTATTTTAGTATTGAAGGGGAACTGGACAGAATGAGCGCATAAGGCGAACAATGAAAATATGCTTCTAATTTACAAAAAATCTCTTGGCAAAGTGCTTCACCCGACATTCAGAGGCCATTTTATGCTCAACAATTTGATGATCAATCACCATTAGGGAAAAATATAGTTGACCCCTGACCTTAAATTTTGCCTCACTCGAATAGATCGCTCAGATTCTTGGTGGGGAGGTCTCTGAAGTATACATTGTCTTTGTCAACAAGTGATGAACGAGAATCCATATGAATATTTAAGAGAGTTCTTTTCACACTTACCATACGAAACAAAGACTTACCGGAATATTGGAGGAGTACCTGTTATTACCCTATTGAGATACCCTGCATTTTGAACAATAGTCTCAATAATGCCGTACACTCGGAACAAGGGATTGGTTCTGGGCGTCGTGCTACAGTTTTCCCTGGGCTAATTTGCACACAAAACGCTGAAACTGATGCGATGATAAAGATTCATTGCACTGGATTATTTATGGATTAAAGCGCTCCGAAAAGTGGTGTAATCGTTGGATGGGTAGATTAGAAATTGTGATCAGTGGCAATTAGTCAGTATGGGATCAATCCGGAATGCACTAGTTTCCACCCGATGCAGACGGAACATAGCTTGAGGCGGTATTGCTAGATGGATGGATAATGTCATCAGTTTTTTCGTCCTTTTTTAAACACCTGTAATGGAAAAAATCCGCTGAAAATAATCCTCGATAAAGGTACTAGCGATTATGGGTGGGTTACTTTCCTCAAGAATTTCGATCAACCCTTGAGTGCACTGGACCACGGGTTAAGGCTGGAATTGAAATATTTTGATACACGTTTCCCTAACCAAAATTGAATGTAAAGCAGACGGAACATCGCTTGAAGCGGTATTGCTAGATAGATGGATAATGTCATCAGTTTTTTCGTCCCTTTTTTAGACATCATCCAATGGAAAAAATCCGCTGAAAATAATCCTCCATAAAGGCACGAGCGAATTGGGTGGGTTGGTTTTCTCAAGCATTTTGATCAACCGTTGATGCACTGGAACACGGGTCAAGGCTGGAATTGAAATATTTTGATACACGTTTCGTTAACCGAAATTTAATGTAGAGCACTATTCGTGCAACAATAGTTGAGGCACTTTGTGCGAAAAGGGCACTTCTCGGTTGCAGTGTTTCAGAGTCTCGTCTGATATTTCATTCATCGTAAGGAAAGTGAATGCATACATTTCACTAAAACTTTTATTACTGAATATTTCCTATGATTCTACAATTTTCCATGGAAAGAATTCTGGAAAAGTCACCCATTGAATTCTTCTCTAAGGGATTAATTCGCAACAGAGATTCTGAAACACCGCAATCGAGAAAGTGCCCTTTTCGCATCCAGTGCCTCAGTTGTGAAAAGCAAGTCCTACCTAACATACTAACGTTTTCAGTTCACATTAGTCACGGGAATTTTGAATTTCCCGCTCTCAAGAAAAACAGCTGTCTAAAATCAAATCGCGAACTAAAACGGTGTAGGCAGGCTTCATAATCGAGCAATGTTCCCTCTCCACCTTCTGTTGTTCAAAGTGTAAACCACGTGCAACAACTTAGCCTAAGCACCGAGATTGAGGTTGCCATATTTTCATAGACTTTTGTTTTTTCATGAGCGGGAGGTTTGAATTCACGCATCGAAAAACTTCTAATATCTTCGTTAGGAACTAACTTCAGTAATTTTCGTTTCGCAAATCGTATTTTAATTGACATAGTGATGAGGGAACATATGTTTATCGGAATGCACACACTCGCATCTCGTTTAGTGGTCAAGCCTTTGCAGTTCGTTGAACTTCGTGGCATTTCGTAGCACTTCGAAGAACTTAGTTCCCATTTTGCTGCAAATAATTGCACTTTCTTGCGGTTCCTGGCTGTTCCTTGCTGTTCTTCGCGCTTCCTTGCCTTTTCTTGCACACTTAGATAAAAATCTGATATGCCATACTTCCATTAGTATTTTCTTTCAAAATGTAGGAGGAACGGAAATTTTGAACCCCCCCCCCCCCCATATAAAGATGCGCATTTTCGTAACCGCACCATCAATATCTATTCTTTTAGTTTATGTATTTAAAACTGTCATCATCACTTTATTGTTTGTGTTCTTTTGTTGGAGCGGATGGAAAAAAAAAAATGTTATTATTAATTTAAAAAAAAATATCAATTCGACAAGGAAGAGGCAACACCGCGATACAGGTGGATGCCCAGCCGTGACCTTGCACTTGGAAGTGGCAAACATAGTGACCAGCTTGGCGTCGCGGTGCGGTGGTAGCGTAGCGTCGTAGCGTGATACGCGATGCCTAATTAATGTGAGAGGCACTACAACTACTCTGACTAAAACTAGATGTGTGAACAAGATGGTAAACACGTAGGGAGGAGTTGCGGTACTTCAAATTGAATGGGTGCCTAAATTTTCGACCGGTATATACCTACGGGGTCCAATGTCATGCCTCAACGTCGTATGAATGATGTCAAGAACATAGAGAGAGGGTGGAGGGGATCTTGGTAATAGCACCTGTTAAAGGCCTGGCGAGGTTGAGAAGGAACTTCAGCCTTAACCTTTAGGTTATATATTTTTTGGAGGAGGGGGGGGGGCGCTGGGGCGGGGTGTAACTTCTTCCAATTTGTTTTCCCAAAGTCCCTTCAAAATGAAAATGCTTGTTTAAAATTTTGGGAGGTAAATTGATTTTTTAAAACAAAATTCCGACTCACAAATTAAAAGGACATTTTTACAAAGGAAGAAATAAAAGACAATGGTTCGTTAGTGATTATTTAGATCGTTAAAGTGTGAAACCGAGTATCTCTTTTTGCGGAGTTTTTTTTTATGCTCCTACTTCATTTTTTCGAAGAGTAACAAGTCCCTTTTATAGCTTGAAATGTATACAGAATATTCTGCTATTAACAGAGAGGAAGAATCAAGGAAGTTTTCAAGAAATAACGTTGACTAGTTTTCCACAAAAATAATTGAGTATGACAGAAAGTCTATCAAAACACCACTAGTCGTTATTACACACCATTTTGGATTTCATTACCTTTTCAAGCATTTAGAATACAAATTTTGTGGGGGAGGGGGAATTACCATTACTTTCTTGAAGCAATGAAACAAAAAAGTAAATGCTACAATATCGTAATGCGGGCACGTGTGCTGTTTAGGTTTACCATTGATGCAGAGCAGGATTTAGCCTTGATCAAGTATTTCAACAGGGCTTTATTATATAATATTCTCGGACCAAACCTGTAGTAAAATTGATGTGAATTTTGAACTCATTTAACTTAAAGTACGCCTGCGTCGAAGGGACTTCTCCAAAAGGATGATAAAATGACTCGTCTTTGAAATACGCAGTCCAGAAACTTGAAGTGAAACAGTTTGAAATGAATATCATTTCTATGAATGCGGTAAAACATAACCCTTCGATATTGAAATCATATCTGTTCGACGACCACTTTAACTCAAACTTAACTCTAAAATATGTCTCAGTGAAGCAAATGTGTTGAGAAGATTCTGACAGAAGTTAATCTTATATATTTTTCAAAACTGTTTTCCCTTCATTTTACATACTCCCTTCTACCAACAGAAATTAGTAACTTTAAAGCTCCTTCAATCTCGCTTAATACCATCCGATGGGCAGTGATAGTGTTCCGTGTGCTTCCTACAACCTACAACTCCACAAGCGCACAAGCCTTCGTTCCTCAGACGAAAGAACGCAGCTACATTTCCATGTTGAGACATTTTTTAACCCATATTATTGGTACTTTTAATTGGAAACTGTTGAGTACTTCTCACTGATTTTTCCTCTTAAAAAAACTTAAAAATCAGCTAACATTCACGCCAAGACGTGAATATTTTTTAGGTATGAAAGCGCGTGGCTATTAGAGCACGACTATTGGTGAAAGTGGAGTGAAATATCGTAATTGTCAATAGCAACTTGTTGACAAGTAAGTATCTACTTCAATAATGTAAATTCACTGCACGGCTTAGTTCAAATATGATGGCGCATGATCGCGTGTGAATCCAGTCCCTTGACAAAAAAGAAATCGCTATCAAAAACAGAGACTATTCTCTGGCGTTCCGGGGACGTATTTTTGTTTGTTTCCTGCTGCTAAATTCAAAAATTACCTTTTATTTTTCTTCATCATATTCCGGTTTACTGGACTTCGGAATTTTCTCCAGGAAGGCTAGATTTTTGAGGGAAAATCCCGTTTTTTCTGGCAAATTTTATCTGCCCGATGAGAGTTAAGGTCAGTTTCGGAAACAGCGCCATATACTTAAAAGCAAATTTCAAGAGAAGAAACAAATGTCGACCAGCTTATTCTTACAAACAGGCTTTCAAGAAAAACATGAGGAGCTAAATGAGATCATTTGCTGTATAAGATCTCTGCTGGAGGCTCTTATCCTCGAAAAGTCAGGGTGGAAAACTGATTTTTGAAAAATGTTTGTGTTGACTTACTCGTCCGCGTGTAGCTCATAAAATTCGTCCGCAAATGGTAGGGACGAATTCATGAACTAGGTATACGCAGACAAGTAGGTAAGTCAACACAAACATTTTTTTAAAAATTAGTTTTCCCCATCTCCATTAATACCTATCAGGATATTTCTTCAGCAAGATCATCGTAGAATCAGCAATCATCATAGCTAAGACTTTAAAGGCAACTGTATCCACGAATCCCCTCTGCATCGTGGGGAAAACATTTAATCTCGGAAAATAATTTCAAGATTCCTTTAACTCCATCTTTAAATTCACGAATCCATCCACTTGGCTGAATGATATGTTCAGTCGCAATTTTCATAGGTAGCCATATAGTTTGAATTTGAGGAAAGCCGAGAAATCTAATGTTATAGCTTTTAGAAAATACAAAATGTTGTATGGAAGAAATAAATCAAACCATAAGAATCAAAACTTAGAGACATTAATGAAACATTAAATTGAAAAATGTTCAATTATTGAGGTATTTTCTACCAAAAGACCGATAAATGCGAAAATCTTCACGTGATTTGCCCATGTTTGAATCCGCAAAGCATATATTTGTACGTTTGAGACATCTGTTCCCCGGTTGTCACAAAAGCGTTACTGTAACTTATGGTTTAGCCCTCCAATTTTATCGGTAATCGTATTCTTAGTCGTGCGTTTTAAGATAAAAATGAGTTTTCTTTGTCTTGCCATAGACAAAATAGATAAGAGCAAAGCGCTAATGTATTAACTAATTTAAAAACAATCCTCTTCATTGTTCCACGTATAATGGAGTCTGAAATAGCGTAATGAATCATTGCCTAAGAAAAAAGTAATTCAATTCGTCCGATTTATTATATGAATATTAATGAAGGAATGAATGAAAACTCGATGAACTTAAATTTGACGGTCACAATTGGTTTCTAAGTTTAGCTGGTCGGGATCTTGGGCACCTCTTCTTTTACTTCAGGTAAGTGTTAAGACTTCACCAAGATTGTATTTAGCAAATTATTACTGTACATACTTTGAAACGAAAATGTTCTATTTGAATCACATAATTCCTAAAATTCCGTCGTGTTTTTAAAGTTGAATATTTAATGATTTAATGTAAAAACTATAATAAGAGTGAATGGTATACCTATTGACAGAATGTACTCTAATTGTACGTTGTAAATAAATGTAAAATCTAAATAGTCTCTACTTGCTGGATGAAAAATGTTCCCCCTGTGAAAATAAGTATCAGAATTAATTGTTTAATGTGTATTCCATTTGAAATCTAGAAATAAGTTTTTTTCCTCTATCACCAGACATTTATAATCATGGCAAATAAAGGTTTTGGTTATTCAGCAATTTAAGGATAAAAATTAAATTTTTGGAAGATCTGATGACATGTTGAGAGGATGTCTGCATGAAAACGGGTCAAAATAGACCTGGTGACACGAAAAAATGTTCGCAAATTTTCTCTTTGGGCACCCACAATGCTACGTGCTTCAGAAAGTGGCCCACAAAAGTCCTCTAGAATAGGGTACTAAGATTGTTTTGAAAAAATTAAATATTACGGTCTCGAGGAATTTTTATTCATCGAATCCCCACCCCCTTTTTCGAACCGGAGCGCGGAGCCTTCCAAGGCCCAGACCAGTTCCAATGGGAATTTTTGCGTTTTCTAATAATTCATGCTAGTAAAAATGGTTGGTAGGCTAAATACGTGAGCTTATAAATAAAGTTTTCAAAGTGCTTTTATAATTTTTGATCAGTGTACCTACTCATCTCCGAGTTTAAGTAAGTACCACTGGATAATTCGATTTCATGGGTTGGCTGCGTTTTTGGGCCCCGAGAGCTACATGACCTAATCAAACCTAACCTCCGAATTTTCGAGTATTCAATACTCTCCCCACAAAGGTACTCTAGTAAAGTGGGTTGAAAAAAATGTCCATAAAATGAACCAAATCCAGTCGCGTGAAATTCGCCTTATGTTGCTTTTAATTTCAGGTCGGCGAAAAGTGAACGGCATAATGCTAGGAATAAGGGTGGCTCTGGTGATTACTCTGGTCGTGTTTGGTGCTCTCCAATGCTGCGCCCAGCTTATCCCCAGCGAACCTGCTGTGGTCGCAGTAGAGGACTTGGAGTACCCCAACGAGGACCTCGGCTACTACTCGGGCGGTGACACCGCCTACTTCGACGTCCCGCAGGCGGAGCCCTACTTAGCCGAGGAATACAATCCGCTCGACGAAGAGATCATCGCCTACGACGACGATGGCCAGGCGCTTGGACCCCCCATGATCGAAAAATAACTTAGTAGGGTGTAGCTCGATATCAGTGGCGTGGCGTGCTTCGCGATATATCGATTTATCCGTCATTTAAACCGATGGAAAAGGATCGATCACTGGGGGAAAAAACACATTGGATCTGGAGTCCAGACCCTTGAAACCATTGACGAGAAAAAGGACTCTTGATTCAATCAGATTTAAGCTTAAATCAAAAGGAAATCCGCTCGAATTAAGAAGCTTGGTTCTTGATTTAAGTTTAAATCTGATTGAATCAAGAGTATTTTTCCTTGTCGATGTTTTTAAGAGTCTGGACTCTAGATCCAATGCGTTTTTTTCCCAGTGATCGACAAGTTGTTCGCTGGTTTGTTCGCAACGAACACCTTCATAATCGATTTTTACCATAGCTTCAAATGAGGGGATATCGATAATCGATCATGCACGCTTTGCCACTGCTCAATATGCTTACCTGTCAAATTGTTTGTAAATTAACCTTGATGTTTAAAATATAGATTAAAATGTTACTATTCGAATGAGTGTGTTTAATATAATTATTATTAAATATGTTAAATATATTTTTGTAACCAACTCAGCCAACATGGTGTTTCCTCTTGTTTTGAAGTCGAAACTTAAAGACTATCATGGTAGAACCCTCAAAGATAACAACATTCTTGATTTGAAAGGTACAGCCAGTTTGCTCGTTCATAAAAACTCTTATCTGCACGAGGAAACTAATAGCACGTATGATGTTATCTCTGAAAGGTACTATTTTATTATATTTTGAGCTCGCCCACTCGGGAGAGCTCTTTGCGATCGATTTCTTTTAGCATTGGTAGTGTCCGTGGCGACGAATGGATGGTTCTCGTTGCCGTCGGAGGAACGGCCAAAATCCCATTGATTTCAAGGTCTAAAAGTTGAATTTTCGCGGGTTACAGTTTTCCTCCGTCGAACATTTCCGTTCCCTCATTCAACTGAGGATTAATTGTTCCTCGTTTGCTACACTAGAGAGCAGCACTTTCCAGTGGCCGAGCATATCATAGCATGTTGCTATGGTTTTATATCAAACTAGCTGCTCCGGGCGCCCTACGGGCGCCCTCCACAGCTAGCAATGGTGGTACAGTAGCTTATTTGGAATCGGAGCGATTAGTTGAATCTATTTAATAATGATGATGATTCTGCGGCAGGAGATCAAGGAATTTAACTGCCTCTCTGCGTTACAGGGTGGAGACTGCCATTCTACCGAAAAATGTTATAAAAAGCTCGCATTATTAATTTTTCTTTTTTTTTTGTGTTACTGTTTAAATTTTTTTTTATTTTTATTTTTTGATTATTTTCTAATGACTATGAGGCTTTTGGGATTTATAAAAGATCGAAGCACCTCTCTGTGCACGATGTTTTTTGTACGGTTGCCTTTGGGAAGAATTTGGACTTCAAAATTTTTGTACGATGTAGCTCGTGAGAGTGCAACATATAGTTTACCATGGCCAAAAACTGTTTGGGGTAAATAAATGCCGACTCGCTTCAGTGTTTGACCCTTTAGCTTTGATGATGGTCATGCAGAACGCAATGCGAATTGGAAATTGTCGCCTCTTAAAAGAGAAAGGGAGAGAGGAGTCTGCAGGTGACAAATCAATTCTTGGCAGTGAAATTCTTTCACCGGCCTTCTCGCCGGAAATGACCTGCAAATCAAGACAATTTTCATAACGTTTCCAGACGATCAATCGGGTACCATTCGATAAACCTTTAGAAACGTTGAGGTTTCTTAAAAGCATGACAAAAACCCCCTCCAAAAGTGTGAGTTTATGCGGTGGTAAGCCACTAAGATTAAGACTGTCCAAGAATTCGAGGGGAAAATTGAGAGCCTCTCCCTCTTCCTCTACAATGAGCCTGTTAACACTGAAGTACGTTTTAGAGACACCTGAAAGAACTTCAACAACCTTGTCGTTAATTTCATTGCAATGCTTATTTTTAGGGGCCAGAATTGCGCAGTTTGTGAAATCTACGTTCGAACATGAGGAAGCTATCTTTTCCATAAATTTCAGTAATAATATCAGTTTCAGTAATACTGCTTGTCGGTAAATCAATGAATTCCGGCATGGCCTTTTTTAGCAGAAAGGTAAACACCATCACCTATTTCGAGTTAAAATTTTGCAAACTCCGCTTCGTCTTGCAACGTTCTCATATTTTGAGTAAGTTTTCTGATTTTGAAAAGAGGTCAAAGTGGTGAGAATTTGATTGCATTTTGCACCAATGTTTGGCGAGAAGCATGCGGAACAACGGGTAAAACCTGTCTAAAATCACCACCCTAGACGACAATTTTTCCTCGAAAAGGGATATCATTACCCATTCTCTAAATAAGAAGTCGGTCGATGCATGCCAGAGCATGCGTGATAACCATGGGAGCTTCGCCCCAAAAAATGATCGTTGTTTTCCGAATAGTCTCAGCCTCTCTTGAGCTAACCGTGAGACTCGACACAGAATTCTCATTCAGAACCGAAGGAATTTTGAATTTGCTATGAACCGGCCGACCGTTAGGTAGCAACGATGCGGCGATACCTGTCCAAGCAACGGAGATGACGTCTAAGTTTTCCTTTGTACAATACGCAGTAAGACATTCTTAAACGAAAGTTTTTCCCGATCCTCCTGGACCATCAATGAAAATCGCATTACACGTGTAAGATGGATTTTGGATGAGACTAATTATTTCAGAAATAATTTGATGTTGCTCTGGGTTAGCGGCAGAAATTATGGAATCATAGTTTTAGGGGGAGGAGAGTCAGGCTCTGACCCTTGAAGATTCAGGTTAATTGGAAGCAATTCCGGAAGATCAAATGATGATATTGAAAATCCATGAAGTCTTAATGTGCTTTCAATAGCAAAAAGCCGATCAACGTAGTCGACCGACCAACAAAATAAAGAGAGAGGAAGAAACGAAGCAAATTTGAAACAAAGTTGGAAAGAGAAAAGAACAAATAAGAATGAAATGTCCATAACAATACATGTTGTTAGCAATACGTGTGCGCACCGCTGCAGTTAATAAGTCAGGGTCAGTCAAACCGCCAGGATGCCCATCAAGAAGTGGTGAAGCGGAGTAGCTGAGAGATTGCGACGGAATGTGGGTGGTGAGTGACGAACGACAATGCGACCCAAACCTTCTTTGAGGTTGGTGGGAGGAAAGCTATACGAAAGAAAACGGAGATAGCCGAAAGAACGTGGTGGGAGGGGTGGCTGAGACCCTAGTGGGGGTATCTAGGGACGGGCAAGCAGGTAGCGGCCAGATGACCGCTCGAAACAGCTGAACTTTACTCGTCGATAAAAGTAAGAAAATTTGAGAAAATCGAAAAAACAATTACAGCCTGCAAATTTACAGATCAGAAGCTTTCATTTAAAAAAAACCCCATGCAAATCGGTCCGGTGGTTCTCTCAAAGTTAATGTCCCAAAATGCGGACTTTAGTCTGAATAAATGGGAGAAAATTTGAGCCCAGCTAAACTTCACTCGTCGATAAAAGTAAGACAATTTGAGAAAATCGAAAAAACGATCACAGTCTGCAAATCTACAGATCACAGACTTTCATTTAAAACAAAAATCATGCAAATCGGTCCAGTGGTTCTCTCAAAGTTAACGTCTAAAGATTCGGACCTCCGTTTTAATGCATCGAAGACAATTTGAGAAAATTATGGGAGAAAATTTGAGAAAATCGAAAAAACGATCACAGCCTGCAAATCTACAGCTCAGGGGCTTTCATTTAAAAAAAAGATCACGCAAATCGGTCCGGTGGTTCTCTCAAAGTTAATGCCCCAAGATACGGAACTTTGCATTTTAATATATAGGCAAAGTATAACCTTAATTCAAGTTGGCGACTTGATTTAAAAAAAAAAATTAAAATTAAATCATATGATTTCATTATATTGTTGACAAGTTAAGAAAAAGCTTATCAACGATGAAAGCCAGAAACAAAAATGCGATGGCAAAAATAGCCATTGCAACATTTGCCGCAAAATCACATTCATAAAAGATAATTCCATTTCTCTCTCTTTATTTCTCTTTATTTATTGTAATGTGAAAAATTTGTCATATGAAATTACGTCATAATATTTTGCATCGGCATGTAACCTCTGATAATTGGGTAAAGATTCATTTAATACATATACAATATCAGAAAAAATCATTAATAGTTGTTAATAGTTTCCCAAAGGCGAGCTCTCCAACACAGTAGTGTTGGGACCAGCAGCTTGTTTTTTATTATTTTTCTATTTATTTATCCAGCTGGGGATGGCTGAGTTTTCAGCCGAAATGTTTTGGTTCGATTCGTAAAATTTTAGCCTTGTTACCTACCCGCTTTTTAAATTGTTTTTTTATTGTAGAACCCTTAAACCTGTTGGGTCGAAAACCTCCCGTAATGGGACACATTTTGAATATTATTCTTCAAAAATTTCAGAGAGTTTCCTCTTAATTTTACCTCAATCAATTGAAACTGTCAAAGAAAATTTTTCTTTAAAAATGGTATTTTCAAGGAACATTTGGCAACATTCGAATGCACATACGCCGTTTTTTCTTTGCATGACTGTGCACTGGGCATTTCTGTCAACTTATTGATAATACCTCAAGAGTAACAAATAAGTCCTCAGGACAGACATAAACATTTCAGAGTACAGCCAATCGGTGGATACAACTTAATTAACTTCTATTCGAGGTTGGGTTGCATCGCCGAATTTGAAGGCGAACTGTCAACGATTTTGTTTTCAAGCGACGCGCTTCGTGTATCACCGTAGTCGTTGTTCACGATTAAGAAGGATTTCCTTGTAGTTATGAAAAATATTCATAAGTTTCCTCCAAAATTGTACTTTATTGAGAGATATTTGGCAACATGCGGATGCACATGCAGCGTTTTCCCTTTGCATGGTTGTGCATGCGGCTGTCAATTTATTGATAATGGACCACTAGACAAGGTACACATTTAAGCAATCTGATACATGTTTCTTAACCAGAATTTCACGTAGAACACGATTCACACAACGAAAATTACTGAAACCAACTCCTAACAAAGATATTAACGTTTTTATTTCACATTGGCGCTACAAGGAATTCGAACTGCCCGCTCACAAGAAACTCAAAGCTCTACGCGAGTCAAATCGCGCACTACAACGGTTTCAGCAAGCCTCTTAACCGAGCAATGTTCATTTTCCACCATGTGTTGTTCAAACTATAAACAATTTGCTATAGCTGAGCCAAAGCGTCAAGATTGAGGTTGCCAGATTTTAACATCGCAGAGACTGTCACGATAACGTTTAGCGCGCGATGTGAATCACGTAGAGCATTGAGTTTTCATGAGCGGGTGGTTTGAATTCATGCATCAAGAATCATTAAATATCTTCGTAAGGAGTTAATTTCGGTAATTTTCTATGTGCGCATCGTGTTCTACGTAAAATTTTAGTAACAAAACATGTATCAAAATGCTGAAATTCGTACCTTGTCTAGTGGTCCATTCCTCAAACGTAAGTATTAGGTCCTCGTTGTCCATACAAGCAATGAACACATTAATGAGACATATGGACTTAAATAAAGCTAAGGAATTGAGAACTTGCAAAAGTGACCTCTATATTTCTAGCTCCGCGTTAAAGTCTCCTTAAAAGTCCCTTTCATACTGCTCATGTTAACCTCAGGATGCGTAGAAACATTCAAAACATAGAGAATCGGTGGATGCAACTTAATTAACTTTGGTGTGAGGTAGGGATGCATCGCTAAATTTGAAGGCGAACTAGCAGCAAATTTGTTTATTCCTACACCAAGTTTTACAAAAACATGACAGCATCTACCTATTCAATAAATATATAAAAAGAAGAAAAAAAATCAAGGAACAGGAACTTTTGAAAATTCTCATAGGATAACTCATAGATGGTGCACAATTACTGAGATCCTTTCCGGCTTTAGCAAGAAGAGGTACGTGGGAACAGCCCCAGTTTACAGTTGAGCAAAATAATTGTTCTATCCTTTCAGACGAAAAACAAACTACTCAGTTTTACAAAGGAGTATGAGGTCAGACCGTTCATCGGAAGATCTTGGTATTAGATACAACAAGGAAAACTGTCTGGGCTTCTCTACCCGCGAAATTTTGGCTGCTGGATCCGAAGAGACATTGGTTCCAGGCCCGCTACATCCCATCTTGGGCTCTGGTACCAGTTTTAAGGTCCGGGCCCCAAGCACGAAGGGGAGGGGGTCCGAGGGGCATCCCCCGAGAAATTTTAGAATTTATACGACTGATCGGGCGCATTTTGAAGTTTCCATTAAGAATTTTTCCATCAATTTCTGCGGAATAATTATGTTTTTTTTTTCTACTTTCGGCACAAAATACTTGCGAATTGTTGCATTCAAACATCTAAAAAATTTTTATTTTTTTTTTTTTGGGGGGGGGGGCAATGATACTATTTTCAGTTCTAAGAGGGCCAGGCCCCCCTGGACTCCCCCTTCCTTTGTCTATGGCAAGGGAGTTGAGCCATGAGCCATTGAAGTCGAGGATGCCCAGACTGGAGAGTCTTAGCATCTGACGACGGAAGAAAATGAAACGCAGTTACTAAAAATATCCCTCTGTACTGAAAATCTTATAACTGATAGAAATCTTCCAAGAAGTATACTTCTTTGCAAATTTAAGAAAAATTCTACAGTGCCCCAGCGTGTTTCTGAAAATCTATTCACATTTTGCGAAATTTTTAGGGTATATTTTTCACTTTTTCTTACGAAACGAGGGTTGCATGTGAATTCGTAGTGGTTTTTCAACGTAACACGGAACCCGGTGCCAGGGACCCAGTTTCCCCCCCTTGTGGCGGGCCTGCCTTCGTGCACGCTGGGCTTGTCGATTTCCTTTGACATTTTTGCAGTGGTGAATGCATAGCTGAAGTGCGCTGCAGCTAGAATTGTATTTAGAAAATGGGTGGTTTTTCTACGAGGATTATAAATAAACATCTGGTTAGAAATGAAAACAAAATACTAGGAACTATGCAAAACGATTATTCAGATATCGGAACTTGGCTGTTTTGAAAACGCCTTCAAATGCGGCGTGATACCTCACTCATTCCGGAGAGTTCAAATAGTTGTATCATTGCGCCTCAGAAATGCGACGGAAGATTGCAATTGAAATAGCCTTCATGCACGCTGGACTTTTCGATTTCCGTTAACATTTTTGCAGTCATGAATGCGCTTAAGTGCGCTTCAGCTAGAATTGTATTTAGAAAATGGGTGGTTTTTCTACGAGGATTAAAAAAAAAACGAGTGGTACTGAATAAAACAAAAAAATATGAACTATGCAAAACGATTATTCAGATATCGGAACTTGGCTGTTTCGAAAACGCCTTCAAATGCGGCGTGATACCTCACGCATTCCGAAGAGTTCAAATAGTTGTATCATTGCGCCTTAGAAATGCGACGGAAGATTGCAATTGAAATAGCCTTCATGCTATGCAGGAAATTCACTGAAATGAGCACAAAAATCCAAACAACTGTTTTCATGTAAGAAATTAAACTGCCCAATTAAATACAGCAATAGCTGATGTGGCTTGGTTCCTTTCTGCTTGACGTGGTTCATTCCAGAATGAGATGCCAATATTGTGCTTAGATAATGTACATACATATAATAGATATCAAATATGACGACATGCAGTCTTATCATGATAATAAGCTATATTTTTTCTCGTGAGCTATTTATTGCGTTTGTATCATTAAAACAATAAACAGAAAAAAAGAGACCACATAAGAATAGATTTTTGAAAACCCTGTATCTCATGCTAAGGTAGTTAAATTCTTGACCTCACTTCTACTATTAAAGTTTTTATGTAACTGTGCGTGATACTGGAAGTACCTACTTAATTTATATCAGTATGCTAATAGGCTAAATACAATTTTTTCTCTTTTCCTTTAAATTCAAATTTTTAGAGTGATTATTGGCATTTATTATTTTCTTTCGGTAATCTTTCCAACGCCATGCGTAAGCAGTTGAAAATTATATCACTGCAAAAAGTAGAAACAATGGAGTTTATTTTTTTCTAGCTTGAATTGGGAGGGTTAAAATGAGTTTTCATGCATGAAGATATGATAATGATTTCAATATCAACATTTATGTATAACAATGATCATTGAACACACGATATAAAAGGTTCAGTCTCCCACTCAAGTTTAACAGTACAATAGTTGAGATCATCACTCAAAATTGTAAGTGAGTAAATACTTCTTAAACTTGATTTTTAAAAACTGACACGTGCTGTTAGGTGCTTGTAAATCATTAAACTAAGACGGCCACACGATAAAAACCAGTTGCGTTGTTCTATAGACATGACTAAGAAGGGGTCCATGGAACCTCGAGATCTACTGATTTAAAAATTCCTTCTGAAATGGTTATTTTTCACAATTTTTGGCAATATTGCAGTGCACGTTTCAATCAAATAGTTAAGTCTAACAATACTTTTTTACGGGTTCTTTCATTTGAGATGCGTCGCATGCTCCGCAGCCCGTGGTAAGATATAAAATAATGAACGATTTAATAGCAGGTAACGAGGCTTTTTTCCCACAAATGACACCAAAACCTTTCGGCTGAAAACACAGCCAGCGTTGGATGAAAGACAAAACAAAAATTTTAAAACCTAAAATTTTAGTACTCGGCTGTACCTTAAAAACGGGAAGAATTATTGTTTATTATAGGTAGTTGTTTGGATTCCAGGCGGGAGGGGGAGCCCATTTTTTAGATGAGCCCCAAAATGCTAGTGTCCCTGCGTAACCCAGGGCTTATCTCAGGACTTGTTCCCTTGTAGGAACAATTCGTTCATTTAATGAGGCAGGAATTGACATGTTACGTGTGAATCAATTGAGGGGCTTGGAGGCGCATAGTGCAGTTTTTGAAAAAAATAGAGGTAGTAATGGTTTCAAGTAGAACTAGTCTTCCCGCATATTAAGTGAAAAATTCGTTCCCAAATTCCAATTTTTAAGCGTCAAAAAGTCAGTTTGAACTTTCTTCCCGCCATGAAGATCCATGTAATTTCAAAACTTCAAACACGCATTTCTCGAAGTAGTAGGTAACAACTGCCCTTGTGTGCTTTGTCCTCCAAACACCTCAATTCTGCTATTAGGATCTTGTTTCGTTTTTTTACGGCTTGGATTCTTTGAAAATGCACTGCTTAAACTTGTATGATATTTTCAGAATAGTGTTCAAAGCAGGACGTCAAGATGCAGCTTTTCAGCGCAGCCTTGTTTACCCTCCTCGTAGCGGGAGTAATTGGAATGCCCTGTGAGGAGGTCGCCATTGACCCGACGTACGGCTCCACACCGATCATCCTTCAACCTACGCCTTATAGTTATGGTATCGATCCGAGAATAAACGAAGCCGAATATTTGGCTGATGAGCCTCTGTCAGAGGGTTACCCTCTACCTGGTGAAGGGTTGCTTGGTGAAGGAGATGGCATTATATCATACGACCCGCATCTCCCGGAGTATTGAACTGAACCAGTCTTCGGAGCTCATCCAATGGAGAATTTGTACGCAAAAATTGTATTGCTTCATCTGAGGGTGCTGACTGCTGAGTGACTGATTAAAGAGTGAAAAAATTTATCGACTTGTGACTTCATCAGGCGATATTTTTCATATACCTACATGTATATTGGCAAATTGAGTCATTTGGTCTTATCTCATCCAATACGTGTTCCTTTCATGGACCAAGGGTAATTTCATACGCAGTTTTATCAGTAGTTTCTAATTGAACATGAAATTTATGTAATTAAAAAAACTTGGAAATTCTACGGTGAGACCGCTCACTTGGGAACAAATGAAAATGAAAAATAAAGAAAATATGAAGATTATATGTACTGGTAATATTCGTTTATTTTAAAGCAATTTTGGTCATTAACACGTCCGTTATTAGGTTACAGAATGTCTATGGAAATGTAGAATAGTGATTGAAAATGTAAGTGGTTGGCTGAAGGAGCGGCTTTCCTGTTGATTGTAAAGACACATGAAAGGGGAAGAAAAATAATAACACAAAGAGTAATTTTAATAAGATATATTTTTAAAAAAATAATATATGAGGTATAATTAAGTGGAAAAATAAAAAGTGAATGATAGAAAATACGTAAAATAAAACGATAATACCAAGTACTCAAATGCTTTGATAGAAAAATATAAAACATAACTGCAAAAAAATGGATTCAGATAGATGCTTCACGTTAAGTTCCTGAAGGGTAACAACACTTTGAGGTAAAGAACTTCTGAACTTTGGTTAAGTTGGAAGCATTTCAAAACTAAATTTAGAAACAATCATAAACCTTAAAGTAACAGGCACTTATGGCAGCTTCTTAAATTATACAAAAGCAGAAAACATCCTCTGAGTCCAATAATAATTATAACACTTAAAAATAACTCGGTGGTTTTGAAAATTAATACTTTACCAAAGAGAGGAACTTGAATTAATTTAGAAAAAATTAAGTAATGAGGTAACATTTGAAGCAAACAAGAGATGGAAACCAATTAAGCTGCAAATAAATCTGGTCCACAAAAATTCATAGCGTTATCTAGTAAAAATAGTTGTAAAGTATTTATTTGTCGTTATATACTTTTTTCAAAGGAGATGGAGATGGAAAACGGTGAAAGAGACTTCATTTTAAAGGCACTTAAGGATTAGCTATTTAAGGTTGTTGAAAAAAATCGACCAACGCTGCTAAAATAAAAGTAAAATAACTGATAATTAATTGCTTTAAACTTACAAAGATTATATAAAGGTGATAATAGAAACTTATGGCAATAATCTTACTAGTAATAAGCCGTAACTAATTTATCCAAAATAAGAATGAGGGAAAATCTACATAGAATTCCAATTGGTGTTGAAAAAAGTTGACAGCAAAAAAGGCTCAAAAATAAAAATTTTAATGAAAAGAATAAAGGAGTGGGTATGGAAAGAGTTATTTATTTTTGATACGGTCATTGAGATTACGACAAACCAACATGGAGAAAAATGAGGAGGAAGAAAAAAGTTAACATTTTAGAAGATCAGCAAATAAGATACAGGGCTGAAAAAAAGAAAAAAAAAGAGAAAAAAATGGAAAATGAAAAACTGAACTTGACAGATGAAAAGGCAGCAGGAATCTCATAAACAAAAAATAGTACAAAAGAACTTTGAAGTACGAATGAGGCACAAATTGAGGAAGAAAAGGAAAGAAACGATCTTTCAAAAATAAAACTACTCTTCAAGACTGCTGCTTTTGACAGAAATGTAACAATCTCTATACTCTGTCTAATTTAGAGATGGATAATAAACAATTACAACAGAAAGGGAAAAAACAAAACATACTCCTACATAAATTCAGGGTTCATGACAGTTTTTTAAAAACATGATCACAGACTTTTCAAGAGTTCAAATTAGTAAACTTGATATGTGCAATGGATCGTTCTAGAACTTTTGAAAAAAAATTTCAACTACATTCAAAGAAAATTACGGAGGATCCAAAGAATGCATTAAAAATAGAGGGGAGCCCTTCTTATCCCTTTGTTCCGTGTTCCTTGTATGGAAAGAAGCCAATGTATAATGTAAGGAAGACGTTCTTTGACATTTTAAAAGATTTCATGGCACAGGACAAACTAAACAATTACAAACAAATTGGCTGGGTGGGTTGGATTCAAGGTCCAAAAAGTGCATTTGTGCAAATTTCTGAAACTCAAAAATTTTGAGGGATTTGAAAATTCGCAAAAAAATCAAGGATTTTTCAAGACGTTACAAACTCTGTTATTCAAGGTTGTATAATCATCAGCAAGTAATGAGTCAGTTGCGCTAGTTACAGACTTGTGTTTTGATATTTTACTGGAGAGTTGCAAAAAATAATAAGATCTGTCCAAACACCAAATTTCTAAATCCTCTTTTAATGGAGATTTCACCCATAAAAATAAACAGCGTATGTATCAATCAGTAATACTTTCAATTGCACTGGTTCTGGAGTTAATTACAGCTGAAACCAAGATTGAAAAAACCATGGGATGCACAACCGAGGTGGATGACATTATTCACTCTGTTTTTTAAAGAGTATAACTTGGTTCATTGGTTGTAGAAACTTGAAGTTTGGAAAAACCTTGTTTTTTTCTGCTAATTTGTAGGCTTGAACCATCAAAACGATTCTGTGACTAGCACAACTGACCCATTGATGTATGTACTTTTATAATTGTGTGATATTTCATAAAACATGAGAAAATTTGAAAAGGAAAATTTTAGGACAAGTTGGTTTGATCTAAGACTTAGGAGTAAATATCACAGAGATTTTAGGATAAAATCATGAGTTCCTTCTCCAAATTGAGAATGGACTCCAATGATGAGCCTACATAATCTTTTAATCTGCCCCTTGTACCCACCCACTCTCGGAGGGTGTTAAGATTTTCCCTCATCGATTTTGATGATTGGACAATTAGTTCTTTGTAAATTTGATGGAGGCTTTCCAAAACATGTTCACAATAGATTTGAGTTTCATCAGTTAATGCAAAAGTAGGAGTGTCTTCTGAATTATCTGGAGCCAAAAGTTTCAAGAGCTTTCTAGTCATTGTACCAGAAAAATCTAAATACCCTGATCGAATGAGGACATCATATATTTTCTCGGAGACATTGTCATCAACAGGAAAAATTGAGTTTGTGAAACATTTTGGATAAAGACGCCCAACAAATTTTGTTAGGCACTGCACCTCACTGGATGACTTGAACTGACACTCTCCGGAAAATAATTTGACAATAGTTAGTAACTTCTGCTCTCTCTCACATACTAAGCTACCAACCGGTAACTGGGTTTCCCCATTGATGTCATGAAGATGAACTAATAGATTATTATGGTTGAGTTTCTTATAACATTTAATCTTAATTTGAGCGGCTTCTTGCCCAGATAATAAGATAAGTCTGGTGGTTCCTCCGCCGCGATGAATAAAGATCACATCGACAGGGCGTAAATAATTATCAAGCAACTCTTTTCCTTTGACCTCTACACTCTGAACAAAATTACAAGTCATGTAAATATCAGAGTGCCAAAGAATATTTTTTATGTCAGCAGGTATTTGAACGTATTTTTTTATGAAATGAATGGGTTCAATATAACCCTCCCTTCGTGCTAGCGCTACAAAATCTCGTCTAAAAATTAGGTTCACATTCCAATCAAGTTCCGTATAAAAGCTTCGACTTCCCACTTTAGTTGAAAATTCCTGTTCTTCGATAATTTCAACCTCCACTTCTTTTTCTTCATCATTGTCAAGAGAATCTAGTACGCGGCCAGTTTGAAGGTAACTGACAACTTCTTTGCAGATTTTATCCAACTCTTCTCTAAAGATTCTCTTGTCTGATGGATTGGTTAATTTTTTGTAAAAGTCTGTATTGCACAACTGTTTGATTCGTAATTCCCTCTCAATATCTTGATAAAATGCTTTTACTCGTCCAGCCACTAGATAGTACAAACAATTAGCTAAATCCTGATCTTCAGGTGTAACGGCGTAAAACTCCTCCAATGAAAATCGTTCTTTATCTTTACAGTACTTCAACAAACTGTCGAGTTTCTCTGGTGCCTCTTTCAGCCAAATCTCTGCTTTCTTCAAAAACTGAAAATTTATCTTTCTCACAGTAACAGGAAACAAATCTGAACTAATGAGGTCTATCGTATTTTGCGTCACCCATTTGATAACCTCGTAACTATTAATCTTTGCTTTTTCCACTGAACTATTTCGTGCAATTGCTAAAGTTGTAGCTTCTGTGCCCCACAAAGAAACTGATTGTTTTACTGCCAGGTGTCGCAACCGCATAGCTGCTTGCATTAGCTTGTCTTTTTGCATTCCCATACCCACCGTTAGTATGGCATGACAATTCAAAGGGAGTTTTATATCTGTGCCACGGGTGTGGATATCATCAAGGTAGGCAAAAAGACTTTGTTCATCAAGGAAACAATCTTGTAGTGGCATACTCTTGTTATTACGAGTTAAAACAGTCAAACTATTTCCTTCATCACTGAAATAAAGAACTCCTAGAATATTCACAGGTAGTCTTTCCAGTAAAAATAAAGCTGTTTCATAGTTGGAGAGTCCTGTTACCAGAGCGCCAGCATCAATGAGAGCATGACAGTGAGACTGTTTCGAAACGTAGGTACATAGCTGCTCTAATAATGTGTTCGTATCTTCAACCTGAAGTGAGTGATAAGAACTATTGCGTTCTTGAGTTAACACAGACAACAATTTTCCATTGGTGCCTTCTTGAGTTGCTGATCGCAGGGACTTAATCTGAAAGGGCATTGTCAGTTTTCTATCGTCCGTTCCAGAAAAACCTAATGCTGCATTGTAACCGACCAGAGAGTGTGCATTGGCACTGATTTTATACAGGTACTGCATTGCATCTAGCATAAAAACAAACTGGTTCAAATAAAATAAAATTGCAGGAGGGTTGCAAGATAAAAACTGGTGTACTTTACTGAGGCACTGTTCGTCTGATAGGTCTAAATGTTTGAGAGATGTTAACATTCGCGGAGGAAATGAATCCGTTAAAGGTTCAATCCATGTTCGACTCGCTTCTGCCCATGCCTGTAGATGGGAATCTGCTACCTGATGGCTGAATTCATCTTTCAATCGCAAAAATGTTTCTTTCAGCTGCTGTTCATTCAGCCCTTGATAAAGGTAACTGATGATAGTAAATCCCAACATGACATCTGGGTGACTAAATTCAGATCGAGGGGACGGAGCGTCTTTGCCAAAAAAAGGGATTGCGATTGATTTCATTCTGTGACCTTCAAGCTGTTGATTAAGATTCAAACCATATTGAACCCTGTACTTTGCATTAAACACATGAAATAAAATCCCATGGGATAGCCAGCCTTTTGCTATTAGAATTTTATCTTTTAATTGTCCTTTGTCAGCTAAAAAATGAAATAATTTCTTTTCTGCATCACAGGAAAGTTCTGCTGCTACATACTGTCGTAATGTACATGTTTCATCTTCAATCACACTTTCGTCTGCCTTTACATTGTATTTTCGAAGGCTTAATACAATTTTTGTGAAGTATTTCTCAATAAGTATAGGTTTTATGTATTTTTCATAATACGGTTCATTTAATAATTGTATGAATGGGACACCACCTCGTGGACTGTAATTTAAATTAAGCACTGTGAATCCATCAACTTTTCCTTTAGAGATAATGTCTCGCACTTCAAGATCACAGAAGATGGCCTGAATGAAAAATTGGGGAATTTCCCAGCGTAGCTCTTCACCAGCAAACACAAATTTGTCACCTACTGAGTAATTAAGTTCTGTGCCATGTTTTAAAATTTCGTCCGACTCGTCTAACAAATCCATGATTGGTAGTTCATCAATTTTGTTAAGTAAAGATAACTTTTTACTGCTATCTGCATACCCGAGAGTTGAATTATACAATAGCTCACGATATGCAGCTTTTAAACAGCTCCACTCCCGAAATGTTGGGTCATTGATAGTTTCTTTAAATTGAGCAAATTTTTTTGATCCTTGTCCAGAAGGTGGCACTTTTAGAATCCCATCTTTTGAGTTAAGGTACTTTTCTTTCTGTAAGCAGACACGTAGGCACTCATCTTGTTTTTTCAACAAATTCTCCTTTTCAGCGCTCTCCAAATCCTTGTATTCTTCAATTTTGCAGGGAACTCTTCTACGATAAGTCTCCCAATTAAAGACACCTGTCGCCCCTATCTGCTCCTGATTCTCAAGCATCAATTCCCTCAATTTCAACTGTAAACATAGGTGGAATTCTGGAGTGACAAGGAGAATATGCCTGTCTTTCTGGCACTTCTCAAGAACTTCAAGAATTAATTTCAAATTTTGTGGAGATACATCCGTGTCTCTTTGAAAGGGCAAAGTATAAACATGTTTTTTAATCAAACCTGAAAAACGCTGACGCAAAAAGTTTTTCATTGTGGCTAGCAGGGCTGACAGGACATTTATGCGGAGTATTTGTTCCCCATTTGCAAGATTACTGCAAAGTAGTGGGAGGATGACTGATGATTTTCCCTCACCCATATTGAGTTGATACATTGCCTTTTCTTTCCCTTTCAGCATTGATTCGATGAGCTCACACTGATTCTCACGTACAATGATCTCATTTTCGAATTGGAACAAAAACCAGTGAGGATAGCGAAAGGAAGCTGGATTTATATGTTCTTTCAAGCTACTGACCAGACTCTGCAAAATAGAAAATTGTTCAACTTCACTTCCAGATTTTTTGGACTGCTCTATGAGCGCCAAATCGCGATTGATTTTTGAAGCCTGAATTTCTAAGCTCACATAGAGTAACAATTTCTGAATAATATAGTCATGCTTATCAAAACAATCTGGATTGTAGGTAGCAAGTTTGTGCGGTTCTACTAACAACTGTAGTACATCTCCTTTGTGATAATGCAACACTTGCCCAGTATGCCAACGCAAAGCAAAATAGTTGTCAGATTCACTATTTGGTCGTTGTTTCAATTGCTTGGAAATAATTCCCCAAATTATCCGTGCTTTTTGGCAAATTTCCTGTTGTTTCATTTGCAATGTATTTTCCAGTTTACCTTGACATTGTGGATTGAGCCAAGAATAACTGAGCTGGGTCTCATTGTGGTATATCGTCCAACTTGCTTTCAGTTCCTTGCAGAATTGGTACTGATATTCACTTGCTGGCTTAGCCATTTGTGCATCAAACAAAAATTCTGTATTTGGAAATGACAGTGGGTTGCTTACAAAATATTCATTCAAATCGATGAGCGGCTCATGCGGAATGGTCCATTTTTCCCAGTTGACTGGTTGCGCGATGGATGTGGCGAATTTCTCTGCTAAAAATCTCACTGTTACTGAGTTGCCAGTGAAAGGAGCTATGCTCCATCCCATTGAAGATTTATATTTAAGCCGATCACAAAGTGAAAGAACTCTTTCAAAGAACTGATACATAGAATCGTTATATGCAGCCTCTAGATAAAGTTTTCTGACTTTAATCAGTTTTGTAGCATCTCTAAAAGTAACATCTTTTTCGTAAGTTAGTTGGAAGTTTATTGGATTTTCAGGAAACCTTTTTGGTCTTGACTGACTGTCTAAATCGGATCTTGAAAAGTTATGCCAAATCACTGAATTTTCTTCATTATGCTGTATTTGTGCTTCTCTTCGGTCATCTTGTTCTTCTCTCCTAGTTTCATAAATTTTTGTTGGTTTCCAGCAGAATTCTCCAAAATTATCCATCAGATCATTTCTGGTGACCCATCGCTTAGACAGATCTACATATTCTGCGCCTACGCCAAACCAAGGGGGCGGATCAGGAAAGAAGATTGGGTTTTCTACCACAAGAAGGAGGACTCGAGCTAACATCATCACTAGTTTCTTTGGAAATCGATCATAATTAATTTTGGCCCTGAACACCATATGATGCAATAGATAAAGATATTTTTCTATGGTGATGGCAAACTTCTTGGCGCATTTTGCAAGCTTATAGAGCGTGATAAAATTGTCTAAACCAAATATATTGAGTAAAATCCTGTGAAAACCTGATGAAAAATCTACTTCATCTTGCGTAGTAATGAAATTGAACTCTGTAATGTTTGTTGTAAAAAGGTGTACGAAGGAAGTTTTGACCATGGACTCTTTGTCGAACAACATCCCGTAGTGATCTTTGTAGGATTTATTGGACTCCATTGATACATCTATCCATGGCTTCTGATTAAAGTAAAGTTGTTTGTATTCTTGAAATAAATCAGGGCATCTCCTCATGATTGTTTCCTCTTCTTCAAAGCTGAGTCTGACAGTCAAAGAAATCGTTGACTTGTGCTGTATATATTGTGAGATCAAATACGGAAGGTATTCATCACATTTTCTCAGTAATGCATAACTTGTATCTTTGCTCTCAATACTTGGCTTGTCCATGTACAAAAATGCAAGTTGTACACTACTACTCAACAAAGATATGACTTTCAGGTATAGTGCAATTCGATGGGGGTGAAAATCTCGCATCCTTACAGGATCAATAAATTGGGCGATGATATCCAGTTCAACTTCATCAAAAGGTTGATCTTTCCAGCAGGCCTCTAAGTTTTCTCTTGACAAATGATATGAATTAATATTGGATGCATCATGATCATCTAAAGAAGCGCAACAATAATACAGTAAAGCTAAATAAAGTTGAGCACGCGTATGATGACATTTCAACAGGCCTGTTTTTTGATCAAAATCATAAACAAAATATGCTGGAGTCTGGACCTCTTCAAGGTTGGTGAATACTGTCTTATCCCAGAACTCATCACTGGGAAACACTTGGCGGTGAGGAATGACCACTTTGATTTTTCGTGATGTTGAGTTGGGTTCTTTTTTTTCTAATATCAAATAATTAGAAAAACCATACAGAGAGTTAATACTCTGTAATTTAGCAATATAATAGCCATGAATCTGTTGACAGTAAAATTTACCTTCTTTCATATAAAAATGTAAACCGAGGCGAGGAAAATGTAAGGACTGGAACTGAACTAAACCATCAGGAAATGTTTGAGCTATCACTTCAATCCAACAAGAAAGTTCAAACCCCTCAAGGCAATCTTTGAAGGTGGAGTTTTTAAAATTTTCCCATGGAACAACAAACCCGCTCTCTTCTTGAGAAAACAAGAAATTCTTCTCCAAATCCCATTGGTACATTACCTGACGATTTTTATCTTTCACAAGTAGTAATTTCTGATCATCAACTAGCCAATGTGAAAATGATTGTTCACTATCAGGCGACCGTAGAATGAAAGCAGGGTAACAACGACCGCCAAATAATTCCTCTGCAGGGATAAATAGTTGATAACTACCTTTGATGAATTCTTCAATCAGCAAAGTATCTTTGGTATGAGTTAGCCTTGTCTTTGGCGAATGATCAACAGAATGATAGCAAGGCAACTTATATCCGTCTATTTTTCGAGTGCCAGGCATTACTGCAAAATTAGCCTGGCTTAAATAATCTTTGAAAATCTTGTGATTTAAAATACTGTTTGGTAACCCTACAATAGGCCTATTTTGGTAATAAATGGTGCCAAGAAGTGGCTTAACTGTATATTCTTCACAGGAAAATAATGACCTGGACTCATCCATTAGCCATTTATTTTTTTTGTTCCAATGAGGAATAACACTTGCGAGTATATCATTGAGGAGGTTCTCATTCCGTTTCAGATAATTTTGGATTCTCGAACACCATATGAAACTTGAAAAATACATTTTAAGTAATACATCATTATCCAGTCTTGAACCCTCCGCTTCATACTTCTGTATCGCTATCAAAGCTTTCAATACTGTTGGCGTTTCTAATTCTAGTAATTCAGGTTTAACTTGTACACTGATAATTAGGTATGCATTTAGATGTAGCAAAGTGGAATCACTTAAGTGGCTTGGAGGCTGTACTATGAACTTTTTTAAAAGGTAATATATTTCTGTTAAATGCTTTATAAATTCATCTTTGAATTCTACTGGATAGAATGATAACAATCCCAAACTAATTTCGAGAATATTACCAAGTGCTTGATGTTGAGTCAATCGATGTTGCATCACAAGTGCTTTCTCAATGAATAGTAAGCCAAGTTGATGAATTAAAGCCGGATTTTCATTTGCTGTCCATTGCAATAAGCTGCAGGTCCCGGCTCCTGTATTCCGTAGGGCGCTGATTTCAAACAGAGTTTGCTTGATCAAAATGCAGTCTTCCTCACAGCAAACATCCAGTTGTAGCTCTTTGAGGGCAATAAATAAACGCTCTATTTTCAGCAGAGGGACACTCTGCAGAAACCCTAACTGCAAGTAGCGAATGCGGTCCATTGTACACGGTTTCAAGTTTTGACTTGCGATTATCTCATTTTCTGAGCGATGACAGCTACTGATGGATGCCGGCTCCCCATCTTCATTCTCAATGACTTCATCTTCCATGAGATGATCATGAGGGGTGAATACATTTTCTTCGTTGATGATTAGTCGTTGATATGGACCTTTCAGGCAATAGCTTGTGATCAGATTCGTATCAGGTTTGGTGCTTACAGTTTTAGAATCAATTTTAAAGTGGACAATTGAGCGCCAATACTCTGTTCTTCCTACAACCCATTTTGGTGCATTATAGAATGTAGAATTTTTGAAATGCCACCCTACTTTGATTTGCTTATTATTTTTCCAAGATGGAATCTTTATCAGAGAAACTTTGGCAAAATAGGCTATCTTTAATAGTAAGTGATAAATAGTGGGTAAATATTCATCAGTGTATGCAAGTTTTTGCCATTTTCTGTTGTATTTCTCAAAACCTAGATGGCTATTATCATTAATAAATTGAAAATATTTTTGCAGATCTGTTTGAAGTAAGAGATAAGCAAATTCCACATCCGTGTTCTCTGTCTCAGCATTGTTACTGATTTCAAAGGAGAAGAGAGATTTGTAAAACTTACTGTGAGAAAATAACGATTTTTGGCCTTCTTTTTGTGTAAAAAAAGATTTAAGAGAAAGTAAGACTTTAAGCCATGCTGCATTGGGAATTACAAGGTGAGGTATGATATCGATCAGGGAAATTGTGTCACTTATAGCAACACTTAAATTGTAGTTTTTTAATAAATCCATTATTCGCTGGTCTCGTAAGTTTAGGGCAGCTACTGATGCATAGACAAAGAATTGAATTATCACATTCTTTGCAAACAAATTAGGTTGGTAAGGCAAATTTGATAGAAAATGATCCAATAATTTTCCTTGACAATTGTGGAAAGCTTCAGCAAGATCTATTAACATTTTTGCTAAAAAAGTATCATCGCTACAGAATGGAGAGCCTTCTGATGCTTGTAAAATATCAGTGTTTGCAAGATAATCAATAAAGAACATTTCGATGCCAAAACTAAGTAAAGCTACATCAACTAAGTCATTTGAATTAATCAAAACTTCCACAAAACTGTTCTTGAATTTTTTCAAATAAGCAATTATGTTATCATCTTTGCTAGGTTTCACAAATTTTGGTTCAACTTTCAAAACTGGCAAACTAAGACATTGCGAAGTAAGAACATGTTTCTTCAAATTTGGCGCACAAAAGCTAAGCGATGAATCACAAATTTCACTCAAATGCAATTTTTGACTTGCCAGTAAATCTTGGCTGTGACATGTTTCCTTCATGAATTCTTTGATTTCATCGATCAACTTCAATGAGTGAAATTTTTGCTTCTCACTACCATGATCAAATGCTTGCTGTGCTAATTCGCGGCAAATTTCTTGCAGTAGAAAATGACTTAACTGAGTCCCACAATTTTGATGAGATGAAAATGTTTTTTCAACTAGAGATATCTTGAAGCCTGTAAGTAATGTTTGGTGGACAGTGCGATAGGCTTCACCAATAAAGTGCTGCAGAAGATATCCAAATGCCTGTTCAATCACTTGCCATGTATGAACAAATGAAATAGGTGAAAATGGAATGAAATTGTCATCATGATGAGATTGAAAAGTTGTCTCCCCATTCAAAAACACCAAAAGGCATTCGTACAATGATACTTCCTTATAGTACGTATCATCTGGCAGGCTCACTCCAGGTTTGATGGCTTTCAAACCCACCAGTAAGAACAAAAAGTCCTCCGTTATATTAGCGGGGTCTATCTTGTTGATTTCAAAAACTGAACTAACGTTCTGACCGGTAAGACTTCCACAATGTTGGTGGTAAGCACTACCAGGATTCACATGAATCCAATCAATACAATTATCTTTATAATCTCTCTTCAAAATGGCAATGTTTGCGTGATCATGAGATCCTGTAATCTCATTCATAATTTTGTGACTGTGAGATGTTGATATTAAACCACTTGGAATTATTGTGCAATCTGTAAAATTTTTGATTCTTTGGAGAAAATACCGGGCTACTTTTCTTGCTTTTTCCTCTGGACACTTGTGATTTCTAATCCAATAAATATTGCTCAGATCACTTGACCACAGTTCCAGTAACTTGCAGATAGCAGATATTTGACTTTGAATAGGACCATACAAATCCTCTGTCCCAGACTTTGACAATTCACTGCGCAAATAAGAGCTGAGCAGGTCAACTAACAACTGTTCACGGTTACCTGTCTCTAAAAAAGAAGCATTTTTAAAATTTAAAAAAGAACCTCCAAACACTGAGGTAATAGCTGGCAAAATTCTTTTTAATTCCTCCTCCATGTTCCGTTTTGTAAAGAGATCTTACCTTAGTTACAGCTTTAAGGTATTTAAGATACAGTTTGATTTTACATCAATGAAAAAGTTCTATAAGAAATTTCTTTTCTCATGATGAATACTTATGATAAATTGGGGGTGATGTAAATATTTGAAACAGTCCAGGGCTTTCCTTCGTTTGGATGCAAACCATTTCATTGCAGATTGAACGACAGCCTGAGGTCATCCGTATCAGGAAACTATTCAGCTATCTGAAAAAAGTCAGACAAAAGTTGATGTAGGGAGAAGGATTTTAGTAGTTGAAATATTTGATACCGATCAGTTTCTCTTCAAGTAATGCAGAATATTTGCACGGATTTGATACATCCAAAAAGTGCATACACTAATTTATTAAAAGGTTGTCGCTTAGGTTCTTGGTTTTATACTGTTACAAGGTAAATGGTGCCGAAAAAATCTGAAATATGATTGACTAAATGAATAGGATGTTCATTGGAGTATCAGTATGGTTTGTAGATCAGTGATTTTTTAAATAGCAAACCTCTAAGAGTCATCCAAGAAAGTAAGTTAAGTAAGTTTCCAAGTTTTATAACTTTAAAATTAAGCCGGAAATAGATCAACTTGATTAAAAGTTACATGTCAGATACACTCTCAGCTTTTAAAACAGACTAAAAATTGGAACTCTCTCGTTATTGATGCACTGGAGGAAAGAAAAGAAATCTTATATTTTCTTCGGTTGAAAGCAAGAGTGCCATAAGTAAAAGTGTTGATATCACTTCGTGAAATTTGAAAAACTATATGTGAAATTGGATAAAAGTGTTGAATTTGAGTATTGTGGTTTTCAAATTTTCAGCTTTAATTGGGTTTACCATACCTCATTCTAAAAATAGTACATTTGGAAGTCCTGTTGTTACCAATTTTGGAGGTTTCAGTTTGATCCACTGGTATGTCGAGGTGTGGGCATTTGAAGACAGGGTGCAGTCTTAAGAAAATTGGGATTTCTTTTATATTCTTGACTGCCGGTCAAAATCTTTAGACTTTTTTCAAAAATTAGAGAATTACGGAGGAAAACTGACAAAAATGGTATGACTTCATAATAATTGTGTGTGTGTGTGTGTGTTAGTATTTTCAAATTTGTCCTAAAAAAACCTTCTGTTACAAGGAAACCAACCAACATTCATCCCTTTTAATTTGGGAGTCATGTTAGAACTGTGAAGCCCGACCATTGCTCCTTGACTTGTTCCGGCTCAGAATTTCAATAAAGTGCTTAATTCTGACAATCTCTGGGAAATTTTGCATACAAAGTGGACTATATGTTAGTTTCTTGTGTACTCTCCAAGTTTGTATCCAGTTATTATTGAATCTCTCAAGATATTCAAGATATCCATGAAGATTTCACCTCTGCCCTGTTTTCCGTTTTGCCAAAACCGCAATGGCAATTAAGACTGATATGACTTTCTTAGTGAACTTATCACAGGAGTGATAAGGAACTGGAATAATTTGATCGTGATTATGACTGTTGATTGGCCTTGTGGAGCAGCAAATGGTAGAAAAAGACACAACAAAAAAAATGAGACTGATGGGGACGGAGAGGAATACAAGGATCTAAAGGACATTGACATATGACTTGACAAGGATAACAGACACTTCCGCGCTAATTAGACTTGTGGACATGGACTCTGGAATTCTGACCATCATATTTGACCAATTAATTAAAATTGACCAAATTTTTAAAGTTCACTATGTTGTACTTTTACCAGAGTAAGTTTTTACTCAGTTCAAAAAAGTTTTTCCCCAAAGAGATTTTTTCATTAAAGCTAATAATGACATTCTGAGAGAAAAATTCTATATCACTCCTTAGAGATATCCTGAATATGTAAAATACTTTCAATTTACTTCCTAGTGATTCTGAAATAGGGAACATGCTTAAACGCAGGATCCATGCTGTGTTTTATTACATTGCATGACATTTCTTTGCAAACTAAAAAAAACATCCCTTTAAATTTTAGGGCGATTGTAACTTACTATTTGAAATTGATACTGAAAGAAAATAGAGCATGACAATGATATGATTTTTGTGTAATAGAGCAATGTGTGTGAGGGGTAAATGCAAAATCTAGAATGGAGTTCCAGTGTGCTTGTTTTGAACAGTAGAACAGGACTCCAAGCTTGAATTTCTGAAAGCCTCTGATCTGTAGATTTGCAGGCTGTGATCGTTTTTTCGATTTTCTCAAATTTTCTTACTTATATCGACGAGTGAAGATTAGCTGGGCTCAAATTTTCTCCGATTAATTCAGACTAAAGTCCGAATTTTGGGACATTAACTTTGAGAGAACCACCGGACCGATTTGCATGGTTTTTTTTTTTTTAAATGAAAGCTCCTGATCTTTAGATTTGCAGGCTGTACTTGTTTTTTCGATTTTCTCAACTTTTCTTACTTTTATCGAAGATTAAAGTTCAGCTGTTTCGTCCGGCCGCTACCTGCTTGACCGTCCCTCGGTCTCAGCCACCCCTCCCGCCACGTTCTTTCGGCTATCTCCGTTTTTTATCCTATAGCTCTCCTCCCACCAACCTCAAAGAAAGAGGTTTGGGTCGCATCGTCGTTTGTCACTCGCCACCCACATTCCTTTGCAATCCCTCGGCTGCTCCGCCTCACAACTTCTTGACAGCCTGGCATCTTATTCTCTGCGGCTTGACTGACCCTGACTTATTAACTGCAATATTGCGTATTGCTAACAACACATATTGTAACAGACATTTTATTCATAATTATTAAATAGATTCAACTTATTGCTCAGATTCCAATTAAGCTACTGCACCACCATTGCTAGCTGTGGAGGGCGCCTGTAGGGCGCCCGGAGCGGCTGGTAATTTTATAAAGCTAACAATAGATAAATGAATAAATATAAAATTGGTTACCTGTATTTTGATACTTAGCTTACCTAGTTTAGGTATCCAGGCTGTTGCTTTCATTTTGTAAATATTACATACTGCTCCTGAACAGGTGTCGGCTGTGTGGAAAAGATTCTCGATAAGAAGGGGTAGCAGGAAAAATCCAAGGAGAGGTGCAAATCTTCAAAGAGGGTCACTCTTCCCACCTGTAAAAATCAACAAGAGTTTGAAATTTCCGTCAGAATAGCAGGCTGCAGCCTTTTCCAAGGCTTTGGCTCCTTTTGCTCACAATGATCCACCCTTCTGCATCCCCAAGAATATGGATGTAGAATGGAAAGTTGGTCGAATTTAGATTTTACATTCAAGCATGGCCCAAGGATTCTTAAGGTGCTTTATTGAAGCACTGGGTAGGTACAAAAAAGGCACTCTTCTGTCGCAGGGTCTCAGAATCTCCTTTTTGTTTCGTCTATCATGATCAAAGATAAATGAATATAATTTAATGAAACTTCTACTCAATAGTCTTCAGGATTTGTTGATTATCGGAAATAAAAATTGAGTGTAGAAAATTTGCCCAACAGCTTCTTCTCTAAAATATCGATTAGGCATGGAGATCCTGAAACACCTCGACTGAGAGGTGCCCTTTCTGCACCGGTTCACCCAACATGGGCACAACTAGGAGGGCAACTGAAGGCGTTTTCAGGGAGCATGCTGAGCTGCCACTGTAGAGCATGATTAGCAGAGGACTTGGCAAGCGGTTTGAGGAGAAGCTTAGCATGCTGTCTGATTGTACCTTGACGAAACCAACCAAGAACATAACTCCATTCCTCCATGGTCTTGTCTTGTTTAGTTGACGAACACAAAATATCAACAATTGGAATGATGCAGATTACCGTAGACCTGAGGCAGATGGTTTCTTAGAGTGTTCGGATTTTCGAGAAATGAAACGCATCGTCAAGGACAGCAACAACCTGGCAGCGACTAATGGCATGTGAGCCCCCAATCACATTCCAGGCAAGCTGTTGGATTGAATGTCGGATGAAGGTGGATACCGCAGACTTACATGAGAAGGATGCCTGAATCATGTGGCGTGTGTCTATCTGGCAATTTTAAAAAGAGTAAGTACTTACTAGGGGCTACGTTTCTTATCACGTGAAGATGGGGTGCCAGAGATGACATAATAGGCGTAAATGACGATTAAGATCCGACGAGCGAATGATTAAAAATCTGACGAATGATAGAAGAGGATTCATTGTAACATTGCACACTTGATTTTTTAATAACTAATAACATAATACTTACATTAAAGTAGTACGAGTTGGGATCGCGAGGAATGTTTTACTGATTTTGCATTTTGCACAACTCAACAAGCGGACATGCGGCGCAGGCGCGTAAAAGGACAAACGGTAATGATAAATGATAATGATCTAGATGATAACAATGTGATAACATCAACAATCAAATGCAGTGCCGCCGGTTTGTTTACAATCAAAAGGAAAAAGCTGATTGGCTGAGTACTTTTGGCGGTTAAATCGCGGTGGGAAATACAAAAACTGGCGGGAAAATTTAAATTGACGGACATGACAACAAAGGTGCGCTTCATGTGCACTTATTTAGAGGTAGCTACCGCTAACTTGATAAAAGGCTCAGCAAAACAAGTAGCTCAGCGGGAATCGTACCAAACTTTGTGAGATGATTCTATAGGTTATCCTGAACCCAAATCTGCCTGAGTTTAGGTAAAAACCATAAGTAATCGACGTTGCCATTTTTCTAATTCGTATAACCTTTAAGTAAAAATCCATAACTATCGCAAAAAAATCAGTTATAGTATAAATACCCAAAAAGCGCAAGAAATTGCGAATGATCGATGGTAGAGTAAGTAATATTAATTTTAGCCCATTGTTGCCACATTTCGGCCATTTTTAAAATTTTCATATCTCTAATAATGTATATGTTACAGCTTGAGAGTAGGTGCTTGTAGTTGGCTGGGATTGAATAAAAATCTTTTGAGATTATTTTTCGTTTGATTCCGCACCAACAATGTATTTTACCATTCTCAGAAGCTGGCAAGCTGTCTTTTCTGAAAAATGACGATTTTAAGGTGTTTCAGCACGCCCGACAAATTCCCGTGCGTTTTGCCACTATGTATTCAAGTGCAGCACCTTAAAAATTTTCGAAGCCTAAAAATTCGAGGAGTCAATTCATGTTTTGCGAATTTTTGAAACCCTGACACGAATTTATGGAATTTCATTGAGGCGGAGTTGCCAGTTTTCAAAAAAAATCCACAACCGCATCAATGAATTCACTCTTAAATCGATGGATCGTATTTTTTTCATTTTATTTTTTTGCATACATATGAGCGTTGTGACTATTTTTTTTCCTTCTTTTTGTGCAAAAGTCGTGGATTTTATAGGTTACAACTTACAAAAATAGCAACATCGATTACCTGTGATTTTCCTCCTAAACCCAGATAGATATTTAGGCTCAGGATGACTCACAGAGTCAAGTCACAAAGTTTAGTATGTGTAATCTCCGCTAGGTTACTTTAGGGGCGTTTAAAATAACCTGTTTTTTGTTCTATTTTAGGTACATTGTTAAGTTATTAAGTACTTCTACTGTTTATGGGAGCCCGGGGCAACCCTGTGGAGGGGTTCGGGGTCCCCTTTTGTAAATCTTACCGTGGGGGCATCCCCCGTAAATTCGACGTTGGCTCATGCATATCTTTTCAAAAGTGCTTTATTGACGTGAATTAATAACTGACTTTTACTTAAGAGTAATCCGTAGAGCCAACAAGATGTCCCCAGCTGTAGATGAATTTAAATAATTGGTAAACATTGTGTGCCTATTCACACGGTCACTTGAAAGTGAAGGATGGTCTGAACTGGATGCTCTGAGCTTTGTTCTTGAACTATGGTGTTCAAGGTGATTATAAATGTATTTTAATATCGTATGAGGTTTCTCTTTTTGAGCCTCAGCTAGCATGCTGCTTACACTGAAAATATCAGTGCCTTTTCCGAGCCAATGCGGCACAGAATTTAAATATTTTATCGTATCTGTGTTGTATGTATCGTATACCAATAGATATACAAAACAGCCATGCAACCAAGGTTTCTACCGCGTAGATTTGACCGAATCCTGTAAGAACTGACTGCATGGGTAATTGCTATGTTGCTAAATTTTGCAACATTGCCTGTGTAACCAAAAAAGAAAAAATACAGAGCAGAGAGCACAAAAAATGGGCATTTTTTTTTTTAAAAAATACATATGTACCTTACATTTAATTCAACTTTCGGTTATTTTACAGAATTAAATAAGTCTACAATCTCATCAGAGGTGATATAAAATTGAGTCTTTTTGCTTCGATTGTTCTAAGAATGGTCCATTTTGCAATTTTTCCGTGTAATTGTTGGATTTTTTCATCATGAGAGGCTCCTGAAGGAAGGCAAGCTACACACTGGGCAAAATGACAACAGAAGTGGTCTCACTGTTTGCTATGTGGGCTGCAGGTGGAGCTGTGAATTACCTACAATGAAGCCCTTCGAGTAAGCCGCAGGCGAATAGTTAATATAGGTATTTTATCAATTTGTCAACTTATAAAGAGGAAGTTTTACGTTTTTAGAAAAAAAATTCAATAATTTGAATTCAAACACGAGTCAAACGATGACAATTTGACAATAGGAGTCCACTTTATGGACATTTTGTATATATATTGAATTGAATACTGCAAAACTTTGAGGTGAGTATTCATTCAAGCGTCTTCATTTCTAATCAGCTACAAAAGCGCTGAGAATCACTTAAATAATTTTTAAATCATCCTCATTATTACAAAAACTTGTTATCTCCAAATACAAAGCATTCTTTGGCAGAACTGGCCCCAAAAAGTAAAAATAATTGAATATTGGCCACAGTGCCCAATTTGCCATTAGCCTTCGGCAAATGTCTTATTTACAAGCTCAACGGCATCTAGAAAATTCAGGGCAATATTTGCAAGTTGGTATCATTGTTTTTCTCCATTTGAATCAATTATAAACAGAGACAACAAATTTTAGAGACTTGCGCTGCTGTCCTCTCTATACTGAAAAATAAGGTTCAGATCTGCCGAATGATCATTGATGGCCAAATTGTTGAGCGATTGATTTAGCAATCCAACCTTATGTTTTAAAAACTCATCGAAAAAAGTGTTCAACCCGATGTTCATTTATTTGGTAAACGGCGTGCTGAACAAGTTTATCAATTAAGAATCACCATTAGGCAAAAAATATCGTTGATATCCGCACTAAACTTCCCTTTATTTGCTTAGATTATTTGTGCGAGGTCTCTAAAGTATGTTTCCTCTGTAAAAAATCGATACGGGAGCACTGGTAGAAAAAGTCGCTTGCATCTAGAGTCCAGACTCTTAAAAACATTTACAAGAAAAATACTCTTGATTCGATCGGATTTTTGCTTGAATCAAAAGGAAATCCGCTTAAACCAAGAGGCTTGGCTCTTCGATTCATGGAAAAATCCGATTGAATCAAGAGTATATTTTCTTGTCAATGTTATTAAGTGTCTGGACTCCAGATCCAAGCGACTTTCTTTCGAGTGAGCGTGCCTGGAAAGGTAACGATTAATGGAGTTCTTGCGTGTGTCAGGAATTTGCACCATGAATGCTTTTCTTTTGTAAAGAAACACGATGATGTCACTGGTTTTCTCTGAAATCAACTTCTCAGCTCAAAAGAAATCTCTTAAGGTTCAGGCCATGAAGAGAGGTTATCCCACGCTACGTTGAGAGTCCTTATAGACATGTATTCAAACTCTCCATGCACAGATAGAGATCAAATACATTAGCAGAGTTGCCATTTAGTTCAGGTTTCCAAGATTGGAACCACGGGCAACCTTGTTATGATGTATTCAATCCCTATCTGTGCGAGGAGAGGTTAAAGGTGGACTTTCACTGTAGCGTGGGATATACTACGGCCTGGATTTTGAGAGTATGTTTTGAGCTAAGGAGCTGATTTCAGAGAAAATCAGTGGCACCTGGTGCCATTTCCCAGATTCAAGATGTCGGAACTTTTTGCAATTTCTTGTTCAACTTCACTCGGAATCTTCGGAATTCCCGGAATTTCCTCGGAATTTCGGGGTTTTTTCGTTTGAGCGGTTGTTTGATCAAAGTTGATTTTTTTTTTTTTTTTTTTTTTTTTTTTTTTTTTTTTTATCTATCAAATTTGACGATAATTGTGACTAAATTCGGACGTACTTCGGGATTTTTTCCGCGGAATTTTTGAAAAAATCAGAATTTTTCTCGGAACTGTTGAAAATTGGAATTATGTACAGGAACCCCCAAATCTTTGGTAAAAGAATATGGCACCATCGTGCTTCTCGCAAAATTTTGAAAATGCTTATTTCACAAATACCTCATACACGCAAGGATTCCATTAGTAAACATTGAGCTGCTAAAATCCAGTGGTGCCAACTTGCGCGAATAGCTACTGCGGAAAATTCACGCCCAGTTTTTAAAGCCGCGGAAGAAGAGACTTCCGACAAAGAAAGCAGCAAGGGCAGCAGTAACGAGACCGCCCATACTCAAAACCCCTACTAAGGCCACTGCGATCACAATACCCAGAGGGCCTTTCTTGATTAAATCTTTTAAATTAGGTTTGAGGAATATTTTGGCTAAGGTTTTCAGAACGACCGGTTTCACAGCCTTAAGGAGTAGTCCCTCTTTTGGTCCTAAGGCGATTGTCGATATTACTAATATGGATTTCAAGATGGCAGGCAGAAGGAACTTCTTGAGCATTGCCGTTGAGCCCGCTTTTGCAAGAAGCGTCACCGGGAAAGGCATCTGTAAAAAGCCAAGCATAAATGATGATAGGTTAGAATACCGGTTTAGCGACCAAAAGCAAATTTCCAAGAGTGGATTTGTTTAAGTTTTTGCGTGACTTACTTCTCACCTCCGTTACAACAAAACAAAATTGCCCACAAGATTTGGTTTTCACGCTAGCAGCAACGGCGACCACGTTCAAAATTCTCCTTAGGAGATGGGTCGAAAAGAGGATCATCCAATCCCTGGTAAACAATTTGCGATAAGAGCTGCGTTTCAAAATACCATAGGAATTCTTATAGCCGGCTAAAGAAGGCTACAGAAAATCATATAGCTGGCTGTAGAATGCGGAGAAAATCATACGGCCGGGCTATACGAAGCGATAAAAAATTATGCAGCCGGGCTATAGTTCCTATCGCCGGGCTTTACACTTTATCGCCTGGCTGTTGCTTTTTCGCCATCGATCATTAAAGGCTATAAGAAATTGTGTAGATATTCGTGTGCTTTGGAAATCATTAAGTTTGATACGGAACCACCTTAATATTTACAAAACACACAATATATTTTCCCTTCAATACATATTTTTTTCATCAATTAAAATGAGAATAATCCATACAGGATGTGCAAAACATTTCAAAATCATGAGTTGAATAACGCTGACTCCGCCAGATTAAATATTAGAGCCTAACACAAAGCGGAGCGGCGACGCGACGCACTGACGCCTACAAACCTAACAGGGATACTTCATGCATTGGGCAACGCGTGAAGTATCCCTGTTAGGTTTGTAGGCGCCAATGCGTGTTTCGCGCTGGCTGCCCGCCTGCCATGGCGCTTGAAGCAACTTTTTCACACCAGAGGTATGGCAAGGTATCATACGAAACTGAAGGCGCTCTATTATATTAGTAATGGCAGGCATCCATCAAAAGTACGGAGCTTTCCTCGCAAAATAAATCAAGATACTACGGCCCAAAAAGAGAGTGTTAGTCCAAAAACTCACTAAGTCCCAGCATCCGTAATTAGTAACGTTTAGCATACACTATATCGCCTGGCTGTTGCTTAGTCGCCATAAAAGACTATAAGAAATCATGTAGCCGGATATAGAAGTTATTGGAAATCTTACAGCCGGCTGTAGGTCTGTGGTATTTTGGAACAAAGATTCTACTGCCAATTTTTACCAGGGATTTTATTAGTACAGCACTTAAATATTACAAAAAAAAACCTTAGGATATTAAATATATAGATTATACAGATATTTTTCTACCTCTCTATTTACTAAGGCTATTAAATATATTTTTTTATATTCCTTTATTGAAATATATTTAAATGCTGCATTGTGATCCAGATGTGATACTTACTTTTCGGCGTTTTCACAATCAGACAATTTTGGCAGATTGCAACTGGTGACTCGTCCCGGTGACTATGCACTTGACAATTTTTTTGAGGAAAAGGAAATCAAGCCTTCATTCAAAGTTGATCCGTGGAAAGTTCATGATTGGTGTTAGCAGTGGACTGAAAGCTGTGTTCAATGTTGACAGATTTTTAACGAAAATTGCAAGTATCCTTTGGATGATATCTTCAGGTCTTTGGGCTTCACTTTGCTTTGACCTGAATCTTTGATTCTCCTGCAAAAAAAAACACGAAATGGAGTGAATCGTTTTTAAAAGGGTATAAAACTAAGACCGAAGGCTCAATACTTCAGTCTTACAGCGAAAGGAGCTCAATAGGTTGATCAAATTAAGTCTCATGATCTTAACAAGGATTTATTAGTTTTAATAATCGTAAATTTTCATGTTACAAAAAAAAAAAAAAAAAAAAAAAAAAAAAAAAAAAACTACATACAAATGCATTAAGGTGCGTAAATGACGTTTAATAAATGAAATAATGCAGAGACAAGCAAGAGTGGAGAAAAAATCACTTGAATAATAAAATATTTCATTATCATTTCAACAATTCTGTAACCATTCCCTGACGTAAAAGTACCTATAAGCAAAAAGCTATGCAGCACTTGAAATCATAATATAACCAGATGCCTCATTTCGAACTAAAAAAAGTAAAAACTTTTGAATGATGTATCTTTTAAATTGTATTTACATTTTGACATATTTTTCTGCGAAAATATTTCCTCGGCTAGCAAAACGTAGTTAGCCAATTAGCACGGCAATGATTACTTATCTCAATAACGGGAAAATATCTCAATTTTAGTGATGACCTCATACTCTGCAAGACAGTCAGAAAAATAAAATTTAGCTAATGCTGCTACTTAAATTAAAAGAAAAAAAAAATCGGAATCAAACAATAACCAGAGTCAGAGTCTGTTTTCAACACTTTTAAAAAAACATAGGACATTTATTATTGACCCTAACAGATACAAACTCCAAGCAATTTCTATACCACGACCTTCAGAATAAGTAAAAAGAAAAAATTATTAGATCTTATTTGCTGTAGTGGTGCACATCATGGGTTCTCCCAAGTTTATCTTGTTAGTAGTGCACACATAGTTTTAAGAGCGTTTGAACAAATTATGGTAAGCAATTCTACGATGTATCACGTAAAGCACATTCTTTCTAATCTAGCGATAACTTGATCACGATCCCGTGTAGAAAATTGACGTCTGGTAAAAGCAACGAAGTTCCTCCCCTCGATGCGTCCAAAAAATTTAACCCACCAAAACAAGGGCCATACAATTGTTAACCGCTCTTAACCGTATATGGATGTCTCTTCGTGCTCATTGCATGAGCAAAAATAAAACCTTTCTACACTTTTGAAATGACACGTATCTACACAGTGGCATAGCTAGGATAAGGCCTAAGAGGTTTGGACTCCCCCACGACTAAAAATGCTCCCCCCAAAACTTCAGTTTGCGTGGTCTTTCAGGGATTTTTTTTTTTTTACCTTGGCGCCCCTTCTCTCACCCTGGGAGAAACTTCTGACCGTAGACTTCCGCCCTCATTAGAAAGAGGTCTGTGCAAAAACGGCAAAATCCGCCCACCCTCAGATTTCAACCAAACTTCGGATTTTGATAGGCCTATATGCCAATAGTAATCCCTGAAAATTTCAGCCCCCAAAAATAATTACAAGAGGGGGGGCGGGGGGNCCTGGCCACGCCACCGGTACGCGCTGTTTTTATGAGGTCATTGCTGTCAAATAATTTATTCTATTAAGTGAGGGATATTAATTACAAATAAGTTGCAGGACTTACCTCAATTTTATTCCTTGGGCTCTTAAGGAAACTAAAAACAGGGTTGAATATGAAATATTCAAATTATAAGATAAAATATATTCAAGCGCACTTCTGCATCGTTTTTCGGGACGATTATCCTGCAGCGCACTTCTGCGAATCACGAACACCTAGGACTTTGAGTGAGTGGTAGTGGGACTTCATTCGTGAACATTCCGTTTAACAGCGAGCATTAATGTAATTGATCGTCTCATTCGCTTAAATTCACAGCTTTCCACTAGCATTAAAGAGTAGTTTTAGCGGATATTAATGTTCTAGAGCTAGTCAGTGTTCAAGAATTCGACAGAGAATCATAGTTTATCGAGGTTCGGGGCCGTATTCACAACAGTTCATTAAACGCCTCCTTTTACTAGGAGACCCCATATAGCGAATTAAATATACATTCATAATAATTTATCTATTGATATGGGTGCTTGTTATAAGATTTATATATTAATGATGAACAGGATTATTAGATTGGATAATTTAAAGTTTAAGGATAGGAGTTTACGTTAGGACTCCCCTCTTCGTACAACCTTAATTTAAAAGTTAGTATTTAGTTCGTGATTAAGAGGGGCTCTAAAAGATCCTTTGCAAAGCACCGTAAAAAGGAAAATTGTAAAAAATTTCCGGTAAAATTAACAATAAAACTTAGGTAATGGCCGCAAAAAATACAAAATATGCATGAAAAATGTCTATTATTTTAACAATTTAATTGATTTAATCAAGTTGATTGCAACATATGCAACTAACCATCGATTTATTTTTGCAACATAGAGAGATAAGGAGGAAACAAACGTTTGAAAATTATTGAATTCACACGTGGAAAATATTTGGCGAGACTGTTTAATTATTTCGGGGAGGATTCCTCAGGTCTCTCTTTCTCTCTGTTTCTCTGAGCAAACCTGCTTGCCTCCGTCCTTGACGCGTTGTTGAGAAAAAATACCGTATCAGCATTCGAATTTTGCCAAATTTCCTCTCAGAAAATATTTATTTTTGAAAAAAAATTACGAATATTTTTGCTTGAATTTGTCAGACTCTCGTGATCAAGTTTCGAACAATATCTTCCGAAAAAATTGGAGGGGGAATTTTCACACATTTTCTTGGAAATTAATTGTTTTTCGCAGAACATTTGGCAACGCCTGAAGGCTCATACGGTGTTTTCCCATAGTGCAGCATATTGCTGACAACAAACATTAAAATATGCACAGCAGTCACTTTAGTGCTCACTTTGACTCGAGTTTCATGTGAGCAGGAGCAGGAGTTTTAAATTGATGTATTCAAAAAGCGATTCACTCACTTACGAGTGAAAATTTTAGTGAAGAAACATATATTGAGGGTTCTAAACACGGGAAAACGGTTTGCGTCAAAGACACAAGACAGGTGGGTCACTTGTTGGTGTTACTGAACTTTTTTGGATCCCACACCTGCCAACAGACCGCAGCAATGCCCCGTCTGCGTCTCAGTCCTAAACCGGTAGGTGTGGAGCGCAAAAAGTTAGGTAACGTCCCATCCTGTGTCTCCGACGAAATCCAATGAACTTTATAACCTGTCCAGCAATTTAAAGGTCAAAATGGGAGAGAAAGCTTAATATCCTGCACACTTGGAGACAGGGTTCATTTTGGATCCTAGGGGACAGTCGAAATCCTGGGAGAAGCTGTGGAGGTTGGAGATAGGTCCATTGACGCGGAGCGGGTTGACAGAGTGCCCGCCAGTTTGTGAGGCGCCGAGGCGGGTGTACCGACTGCACCACATATTCCCGAACGAGATCCAGAACATCTGCTTGGGCGTGTATTTCTCGAAGCCAGGTAAGCTCGGCTCCAGTGGACGCCCCTCGCTCCATGCATGCAGTCCGTCGTACGAAACTTTCACCCCTATATTATCTGCGATGTTCTCGTTCAGCGATGCCTTTCCGCTCATCTGCGCCAAGAAAAACATTTATGCAGACCCGAGTAGAGTAGAGTGCCTATATAGGGAGAGTATGGACGTGTCGAAAATTTTGAGGTTAGGTGATGGAGCTCTTAGACCCCAAAAGGGTAGGCAATCTATGAATTCAAATTATCCAGAGTGATTTATAATCACAATTGTTGGGAAATGTCGTTGGTAAAGCACGTATTTGACTTGGTTTTTGCATAAACTTACTCATTTTTTTGGAGGAAATGCTTACTTATGGATTTTCTTGTCCATTTTCGTTTGATATTGGAGTCTAAAGATTGACAGTGACATTTTTCGTTTTCAAAGGTTACCTACTTTTTTGGGCCCTAAGAGCTACATATTTCGAGTTGTCCATACTCGCCCTATATATGTACTCTAGAGTAGAGTCTCTTTATACAGAGAGTTAAAACATCTCAATTTTCAGCTATCCACTATACCTCCACCAATAGGTACTATCCACGGCAAAACTTTGGGCAACGGTCAACACTGGTCGGCTAATGACGCGGCCTATTTCCGGTCATTGACCCTTACATAAAGTGGGCGCTTGATTGTCTAGCTATGTATGCTCCATGGGGCATTTAGTAACCAGAGCTAGATTCCTGAGGGGAATAGAGTTTGAAACCACCAGATAACTTGTCACTAGATTTACAGGGGAGTATATAGTTCCAGACATTACCCAACCCCTTACCAATAGTTTCTTTTTCTGCGAGAACTGAGAAACTGATAAACATATCCATTGACACTGATACATTGAAGTTTTGATTTATATTCATGGAGCGATCAACTTCTACGAATCGTGAAAATCAAAATTTCAGAATTCAACGAAAAGGAAGTGAAACTTTGCAAAACCGGAACTTTTATAGCTGGAATAAAGTTCGACACTGCTCATTAGCCGCCGATTCAACTGTTCGCGTCCCGACTATTTTATTGAGTCCAGCAGCTCAAACGTCTGAACGAACGGTCGCACAGCGTCCAGCGGGATGACCATATTTTTCTTTACATTTCATTGCAATCCTTCGATCAAACGCATATCAAATACATCAATCCGGATTGGGGACTTTGTAAAATTACTTAGATTTAATGGGTTGCAGTTGACACTGATATTCAAGGGAGACTCTTAGGTGGTAATAAATTCACAGAGGAGAGAGAGCATGATTCTGACTTAAGGTAAATTGTGAAACCACTTTAGACTAGAGTCCCTTTATACTGAGAGTCAAGACAACACCCCTCATGGAGTCACAAACGGGAATAAAGATTACAGAAATTGAACGTTTTTCGTAATCTTTGATCGGCCCATTCTCAAACTACTTTCTCCGTTCCTTCTCTCATTCCGTTTGTTCCTTGCCGAACCCGTAATTCCCTGGTCCATTCCAGATTATAATCTTTGCAATCGGTGAAAATGTAATCTTTATTCCCGTTTGTGACATTGCGAAGGCCTAAAATACGGGAACCAATCAGAAATGGATTCACATTGTCCTGACTCTCAGAATAAAGGGACTCTACTTTAGACTACGTCAGTGGCCAATGTTAAGAATTTCCAACTCTGTTTATGTTTAAGTAATTTCATTCTTAAACGCCCCTTGAGAGCATTGGCAAAATCTTTGTGAATATCTTAGAGAAAATGCAAAAATAAACTGTTAAAATATCCGATTTGGGAAACCTTTTTCGTTTATTTTTTCGTGAAAATGCCGTCTTGCTCCTTTACAAGTTCTTAAATACTCTCATTGGTAAGTTTCTCACGCCCCTCCCTCTCTCATGTGTATCAAACAACTAACTTAAACTAATTGTATGTTTCTGAGTCCTGTGGCAACATTTTGGATTCTCTCGGATGCTTCTTCTCGTTCTAAAACTCATCAGATACAGGACTAAGGGGAATGCAGCCTCTTCTATCTTTTTCTCTCATAAACTTAGTAAAGTTATAGACAGATAACCCGTTGCAGTAAGGCGAAGTTTAAGGTACATTTTTTAAACCTCGAATCGGGTATCGTCAGCTGACTGTTTCTCCCTATTCCTCCATGTTACAAGAAAAAAAAAAAAAAAACAAACGCAGATTGATCAGGAACATTGTTGATCCAACACCCTAAGTATGAATCTACTTTGGTCGATGAACACATTTTATGAGGAATCAGTTGTCGCTACATTACCTGCAGTCCTTGGTAGCTGTAGTTACTATACTGTCTCACTAAGCACTCGGTGATCTGTTTGTAATTTGCCAGACTTTGTTGCGTCCACCAATCTCTCTTGTTTCCTTCTTCGTCATGAAATCTGCCCTAAAAAAAGAAAATCACATCAATTTAAGAGAAACTCAAGAAAACCAACTTAGAAAACTTAAGAGATGCAAAGTACTTACAAAAGATGAATGATAAGTAATGCCTGCTTGCAGATATCTCGGAATGAACATAAGAAAAATCAAATAATTGCTGCCAGAAGTAAAAGCTCAGAAACTACCATTTTGACCCAAAGAGTTTCCACACAAAGTGGCAGCCATGCAAATGTCTTTGATTTCTATCTGTACATGGAGATATCGACTGGATACAGAGTTGGACTCTTCTCATCACGTAAAGGTTCTCTTCCAATACGGCTTTAACTTTGAAATATTTTCTTGTCTAGTTTCAGCGAAAGTATAAATCACAGTATTTTTCGTAAAATTTCACGGAACTAATAATGCTCAAATCGCAAATCCCGTGCGTCACTCTCTTGCGTGCTCTATTGACGAGTTTCCAAAGGTAATTTTTTTCTTGGTAAAAACTTTATAATTATTGAAAACACAAAACACAGCGTCATTACTTTCAGGCTAAATGCATGCCCCATTTCATGTCCAATGAGCATCCCAAGAGAACCATAATTCACATACTTAGGGAGATCAGGGTCGCTGTATGGATATAAAGCCATCGGTGGATATATGGCTGAAAAAGAAACAAAAAACTAAGATTACTTTTCACATAGAATAATAAAGCACATGCAAGTATTGACAAATTAATTCGCAGTTGGGAAGAAAAATAATAAATCCATTTCATGCTGGATCAAAAAACTTCAATTCCATGATGAATCCAACCTAATGGGTGGGACTAGGCTGATTTATGGGACAATCAGCAGTGATACGTAATTGCTCTCTTTTTTTAATGGGCCTGTTGCAAACTTTTGCTAGAGCAAAACTAAGAGTTGTTTCTTATAGATAATGCCTCAAAAATCACGATGAGCGCATCGGCAAACTCTGAAATGCACTCATAACTTCACAAACTGCGTAAGAAATTTGCGGTTTTTTGAGCTTCCCGCTTCAAAAACGATACTACGGCGCAGGTGAACATTTTGTAAGAGGAGTCGTTCCATTGTCGGCAATAATCATCATAGCCGACGCCAATCCGCCAAAACACGTTTGATGGGACGAGATAACACCTGAACTGGATTAGACCAGATAACAATCGGTGTGTTAACGTTCATATTTTCCACGCCCGAATTGATTGACCTTGAACTCTCTTTGAATTACGCGCGGAACTGCGTGCAAGCGTCGGCCATGATGAATATCGCCGACGATGGAGCGACTCCTCTAACAAAATGTTCACCTATGCCGTAGTATCGTTTTTGAAGCGGGAAGCTTAAAAAAACGCAAATTTCTTACGCAGATTGTGAAGTTATGAGTGCATTTCAGACTTTGCCGATGCGCTCATCGTGATTTTTGAGGCATTATCTATAAGAAACAACTCTTATTTTTGCTCTAGCAAAAGTTTGCAACAGGCCCATTATGCAAATAAGAACGAGGTGTCTGCCCGCATCTGATCAGTGATACCAATGTTGGTGACGTATATAGTCTGTATATACAAGATCTGTGATGTTCGTTAAGTTTATCGTAAATCGTAAAGTTTACTTATTCTCTGGGCGACTTTCGTATTTGAGTTAGCCTTTCATAGTTTCATTTTTTCTCCCATATATTTTTAACTTTAGAGTGAAAGATCTTGTTGATAATTGCATTGACAAAGAAGCGCACTACAGCTTTTTCATTCAAATTCAGTAATTTTACCGGTCTTGTGATGCTAAACGAAAACTTTACCGTATAATCCAGTCGCTAACTATATTCATCAGTGGATTTCAGGATGTAATAGAAATTAAGTGTCTACAGAAAATACATGTACAAAGACCAATCACTACAAGCGTCTTTAAAAAATAGAGAACTTTTGCCTGATCCAATTAATTAAAGGAATTAAAAAAAAAACAATCCCATTTTTAATTTTATTCTCTCTTTTTTGTTTGCATTATATACTGTGCGTTTGAGAAGCACGTTACTTAGCTGTCCCCATTGATTTGAAAATAAAAATTGAAAAGATTGCAAAAACATTAGCCTCCTTGTACTGCTGGAATTATGAACTGATTGCGGATATTGAAACTCAAATTTCACGGCACTAATTTCAAAAGATCTCACCGTATTTTTAAAAATTTCTATGAAATGATGTTGCTGCTAAATTTCTATTAATGCTTGGATCAGGAACAGACAGTAAAAATCGCAGAGCGCTAGCCACGCATTCTTTTCCAGGATGGATATGAGAGGACCAAGTTCATTTCTTGGATAAACTGGAATGCAAAAAGAAAAGGAAAGGTCAAGTGAGAATTCCAATTGTTGGGAGAACTACAGAAACAATTTGTCTCAACATTCTCCCATTTTCTTCCAAGAATGCACCGCATACGAATATACTGCTGAGGCTCTGCGGCGTGGCGTACTTAGCGATACATCGATTGATCTTCCATTTAAACCTACGGATAAGGATCGATAAGCAGGGTGTTCGCAACGAACATCTTAATAATCGATTTTTTACCATAGCTTTGAATGGGAAGGTATCGATAATCGATTATTCACGTCTTTCGATTCGGATAGGATACCTTCCTCAGGAAAGAGATTTTAACGCATCTGATGAGTTATTGTTCTTGTATCATTTTCGCAGACTCTTCTGCTGACCAGAAATTCTAAAATGAATATAGCAAGCTACTGAATTTCATGTCTGCAATAGTATGATTTCCGCCGGCGGAATCGAAAGAGTAGTAAAATGACTGAATTTGAATGAAAATGGAGGTTTGCCTTTTCTTATCAATACTAGATCCTTGATGATTGTTATGGCCCCTCACACCTAAATGAAATAATATGGGACAAAAAATTATAATTTAAACTGCTAAAGTTGGTTTCAAGGCTATTTTCAGTCCTTATTACGGTTAATAGCGGTTAGGAATCAGAAGTAAATAAAAAGAAGGAAGCAGCGTAGTTGGGTCATAAAATGATTGTAAAAATGCAGAGCTGGTGAAGAAGTCAAATGATGTGCGATACACATATACATAGTGCTTCAGTTCTGATCAATTTTATGTATATGCAACAGTTGAATCGTGAAAATTACTCCCTCTTACCGAATGTGTTAGTGGCAGATCTGTAATGGGCATTTGGAATGATGGGAAATATCTTATTTTCCCAATGAAATCTATCGTAAGTTTGATTGTAACGGGAGAATAAGCGTTCGCGTGAACCTTGGTAGCGCACGTAGGATAAAAGAAAATTGTCCACGTCCCAATCATAATACGGCTGAAAAAAATAAATGAACAAATAAAATTAATTATAAATGGTCGCTATTGTTGGCCAAAATTGGAGCTGATAAAGAGGAAATAATAAGTTTAAAACCAAACCAAAGAAAAACTCATGCTTTCATAATGGATTTGACTGATAATCAATACATTTAGATATTTAGTTTTGATTACACGCAGTCATTGGGATCGGCTATATTGTAGATAAATCGACATCACGAGAAAATAGCTTACATACAAAGGCTGTCCCAAAAATAAGTGGACTGATGCTGTAATTTCCGAACTGATCATCGCAGCGATCTTTTCTTGGTTGCGTTTTAAAGATCAACTTAATACCTATCGATTAAGACCAAGACCATCAAAATCGGTCAAAAATTGACCGAGTTATGACGTTTTCCGTGAGAGGAGTAAAAATTCAGCCTACCGTTTTTTGAAGGAAATTTATTCTTACCGAGAGTTACAAGTTTCAAGCTTCGTCTTCGCTACTTGCTAACAATGATGAATTTTTCGATTCCTTTTCGAAGTATTGTCCGTGAGACTTGATGCACAATCTCATGCGTTCTTGCCATTTTTCGGTCATTGTTTTATGGAAATCTTCGATCTGAAGGGTGCTGAAGAACTTCTCGACTGCGGTCTTGATTTCTGCCTTCGACTCAAACTTGCGGCCTTGCAATCCCTTCTTGAGCAGGGGGAAGAGCCAAAAATCGCATGGTGCGAGGTCGGGGCTGTATGGTGGATGGCGGATACTTTCAATACCATTTTTTGCAAAGAATTCTTTGGTGTAATTTGACGTATGAGGCCGAGAATTATCCTGGTGGAAAAGCCAAACAGCTTTCAAATGCGGCCGCTTCTGCGCAACATGCTTCCGCAGCTCGGCCAAAACAGTAGTGAGCACTGTCCACTGTTCTTCCTTGCTCGACGAAATGCTGGTAAATCATGCCTTTTGAGTCAAAGAAAGCAATAAGCATGACGTTACATGCAGATTTTTGTTGCCGGACTTTCTTTTGTTTGGGGGATGTCGTAACTCTCGGTAAGAATAAAGAGGGTTATTCATATAGGCGAAAAATGTACCCAGCCCGGAATGTACGAAACTTTGTGAGCTGATAGTACTAGTTGAGAGAGGCTTATCCCTAGCTCCGTTTTTGCAGGAACCCCAGGGAAACAGCGTTGCCATTTTTTAAAGTCGTAACCTTCAAACACCCATAACTTTCGCAGAAATGCAGTTACAGAGCTCGTATTTATACCAAAAGATGCAAANAAGAATAAATTTCCTTCAAAAAACGGCAGGCTGAATTTTTACTCCTCTCACGGAAAACGTCATAACTCGGTCAATTTTTGACCGATTTTGATGATCTTGGTCTTAATCGATAGGTATTGAGTTAATCTTTAAAACGCAACCAAGAAAAGATCGCTGCAATGATCAGTTCGGAAATTAGAGCATCAGTCCACTTATTTTTGGGACAGCCTTTGTACTTACTGAGAGAGAGAGTATATTTAAAAAAAATCGCGAGGACACGTATTGTAATATTTGATCCTAGTATGGGGACATCATTAAAACCCCCAAAATATCATTCGGTTAAAAAAAGCCGGTGGAATCATTTAACATGTTGTATTTGAACTGAGAACTTTCCCTTTAACTTCCTCAAAAAGGTTGATAATAGGTTGACGAAGAGAGGCAAAAACCTCTATTGAATTCTCAGGGCCTAGCAAGACTTTCCACTTGATTCTTTTATGGGTTCCTGCATGACTTGCTGCCGTATAAGCGATAAATTTACTGTAAAAGTCGGCCATGACGGGTGGTTTTCGATTGATTTACTCAAAGTTTCAGAAAGGTCTCCTCTAAAACACTCCATATGGTTAAAAAAAGGTCAGAACCAATCCACGCGATAACATGAATATTCTTCGGGCACCCACTTTCAAAGCACGGAACCTTAGGGACGTCGTCTCTCTGTCATGGATCCATGAATGACTTACCTCATCATACAGAGAATCGATTAGGCTCTCATCCAGAAACTCCTTCTGGTAAATGAGCATTGCATTCAGGGAATCAACTTTCGCTGCTGCCTTTGACCTGAAATCATGATAATCATGACAGCTTCTTCGTTTCAACCAATGCGTCTCGGAAGGCATTGAACCGATTTTCCCTTTAAGAACTTAAAAAGCTCGATAAAATCGAACCTAATCTTACGCAAAGAATAATCCAAACATCTTTTTTTCTCTCAAAACATCAAAAAACTCCATTGATTTGTTACGCTTGTCACGAGTAGACTACTAAATAGGGTACACAATTAGGTAGGTACCATGCATAATACATTTTTTACCGCGGAGATGAATGAAGCTTTACACTTTCTATTGACACGGGAAGAAGAAAACGCATCCGGCTTCCTCTGTGGGAGACTAGTGAGTTGTTGTAATTATATTAAAATTTAATTTTTCGGCCGGACTCGATAAAATTTGTACTTTTGGAAATTTTGCTTTCGTGGACCAAGATCCTACTTAGCACTGATGGTTGAAACTTAATTCGAGTTTTTCGGCACCTTTGTAACTCCCTCTTTGAATGTTTACACATGAACTCTGTTGATGGTTTAAACTAGAGTACCTTTATGAACAGCGAGAGTATGAGCAGATCGCTTCATGGAGGGCTTAGGGCCTAAAAGTGCAGCCACCCCCCACCCATCAAACCAACTTCTAACGCACAAAATTTCATTGTCATTCTGTAGATTCCAATTCTAACCAAGATGGCTAAGAATGTACATAAATGAGCGTTCTTCTACAAAAATGAGTAAATTTATGGAAAAACTAAGTCAAATACGTGCTTTATGAACGATGGTTTGTAACAATTGCATTCGTAAAACGCTCAGGATAATTGAAATTCAAAGGTTGACTGCATTTCTGGGCCCTAACTTTATTCGCGGAGGCATCGGTGAAGGCCTGGTGGGTTTTCGGAGTTTCACATCTGTCTGTACTCTCGCTATACAGGTACTCTAGTTGAAACAAATGAAAGAAAAATCAGGAGAAAGAAAAAAATAAATTTAAAGTTGAACTTCTTTTTATCGGGCTGCATTTTGTTTGAAGATTACCTTTCTCCCGATCACTTGTTATCCGATTTTTAGACGATAGCTATTTCGATGTTAATCATCATCATCAGGTCACTTCGACTTCGATGTGGTAAACACTAAAAGTCACATCGTATATTATTAAAATTTACTAAAATTTTTTATTTTGATTTTAGTAAATTTTAGTAAACTTTAATAATATACGATGTCACTTTTAGTGTTTACCAAATCGAAGTCGAAGTGACCTGATGATGATGATTAACATCGAAATAGCTATCGTCTAAAAATCGGATAACAAGTGATCGGGAGAAAGGTAATATCATCAAAGAAAAAAATAAACAAAATTACTTGGTTTTTTCATCCAGCCACGGACTCTTCATGATAGTCGCGTGCAATGCTCTCCTGATGTAATCAGCCATATCATCAGCTTCTTCTTTTAGTCGGGCCGATGTCTGCATTTTGTAATAGATATGGTTGAGACCTCCCAAAAATCTAAGACAAAAGTGAGTAAACGCAACTTTTGACGAACGCTTGCGCAAAATTCAACTTCTACATATATATTTAAAGTAAACGATTTCTACAGTGAAAATAAATCTGTCAGAGAGAAAACCACACCTCCTGCCATTTATTTTTATTAGTTGGATTATATTTTGCAATAAGGAACCACTATTTCTGGCTCATTTTAGAAACAACATATTTGCCATTGATTTCCTTGGGAAAAAACGTGCTTTTATGGAAGAGCTAGAGATTGTGGTTCCTTATTGCGAAATGTAATCCAGTTATTCATGAGGTGTAAAATAGATTTCAAAATCAAAGATGGTCCACAGAACGTGTCAAAGTCAATAGGCTAAAAGTCAAATCAAGCATTTTATCAAATGACTCGGCATGGAGTCAAATTTTGAAATTTAACGAAACTTCGAATGTTGTTACAAAGAACCCTTGAATTTTTAATGTCCTGAAAGTAACCATTCTTCAAAGTAAAGACTCCTATTGTATTTTCTTTTGTAAAATGGTTTTCATACATTCTCATCTGTCAAAGCTGTGAAAACCTTTCCTTTAAAAATGCTACATAATGTGAGATGAAAGCTCCTTTAAAGGCTATAAATCATTACAGCAACGCCAAAATAATCCATAGTGCATATTTTTAAAAATTAATACCTGTCTTTAGAGGCAAAAAATTAATTTGTAAGAAATTATCAGACAACTTAGAATTTGACTCTGATTGAGAGTATTTGACAAAATACTTGCTTTGATTATTTGCAGCATTTTTGAAGGAAGGGTTTTCACGACTTTGACAGTAAAAAATGTACAAGAACTATTTTTAAAAGAATAATAGAATGATAGTTTGCATTAAGATGAATGATTCTTCTTAAAATGCTGAAAATTCGAGGGCTCTTCAAAAAAACATTCGAAACTTCGTAGAGTTTCAAAATTTGACTTTTTGCCTAGGTATTCGATAAAATGGCTGCGACTTATGTTTCGATGATTACAGTTTTTAAACCTACAAAATTATTGGACTGTTATAGTGTTTTTTCCTTCTTATTAATGAGGGTAAAACCAAAAATGTTTAGAAACATGAAATTGCCCACTGTAGGTTGTTAGTGAGCCATTAATTCACTTTTAAACACTCTTCTAAACGCTAGCAATTTGTTTTCACTCTTTGCCACTTTGCCGCAAATATTTTTTTCATAATTAAGGAAAAAATTTCGGTTTTTTGTTTTGTTTTGCTTTAACCTTAAAAGAGGAACAAAAATTTGAAACGCCACAATCCAGATTAGTTCGCGTTTTTGCAGGTTTCAATATTGATATGACCTTGAAACTTGATAAAATTATATTGGCTTATTATAGACGTCAAATTCCCGATCAGTCCGATATGAAACATTTTTTCATGGATCTAGGGATCTTCAATTGAAAATATGGTAAAACTAATCTCTTTCCGAAGTGGAGCCAATGGCAAAATATTAAGTGAAATAGTTTTCGCGGATGTGAATTGTACCGTAAATATTGTTCCATGTCTTGAAGAAAGTTTCTTTTCGTTGATACATATGCGTTACTATTTTGTACCTTTTACTTACATTTCACCAGTCTTTTCTGCGCAAAACTGAATTCGTTTAGCTATATTATAATGGGGTTCCACAATTTTCAATAGACTCCTGGCTCCTTCAGGCAAATATAGTAATAAAGATCTCAACGAACGGTACACCATATAATTGTGGAAAGTTCTGCAATTTTAAAAGAGTCACATATTATACTCACATAATTTTATTTTAAAGTTAAGACACCTAGTCCTATCAAAATTATATTCGAGCGAGCAAAAGCAAAGTTTTTCTGTTATAAATAAACTAGCAACGCCCTTTAGATTGCGTTCGGAAGAAATTCAATGCGGTTATACATGACGCCGCACTCTACAATACAAGTGCGCAGCCACTACGAGGACATTAATAAAAAAAAAACCCTTGATGTATATGTTCCGAACGAAAAGAGGGGGAGAGATAGGGAGAGAGAGAGAGAGAGAGGAGAGAGAGAGAAAAAAAATGTGTCAATTTTACTCTCAGCTTTTCCAGTCAATTTCGAAAATCTTCAGAGGGTTTCGCGAGAAAACTTAAATTTGCTTAAGTCCGAAGGCGTAACTGGATTATAATCCTATACAAGGTCTGGTCTCTTTAAACATGATCCTCAGATGAATCCTCAAACATAACTTCACGCACAACTGGTCTAGAGGATTTGTAATATCCGCCACAAGCAGTTGTTACAGGGGGCTTCCCCTAGAAAATGTTGAAAACTTTGCTGCATTTTGATACATTTGTCACCGCATGTGGCAACATGGTCTGGCGGAGAAATTCAGCGCAAATAATTATTCTTTGCGAAATAGAGGTTGAGGTTTCATGGGGTCAAATCGTTCTCTAAAAGTCTCATTAGGCTTTGATGTCTTGAATTTTAACAATCATGATTTAGAACTAAATCAGAATTATTCGTGGCAAAGCTTGGAAAAATAAAATGATAATTTTTAAAATGACTTCATGAAATTTGGTTAAAATGGGTATACTTTCATTTTGGAGGTGTGCCGATTTCAGCTCTTCCTGTCATAGTGAAATCACTCTAAGGCTTCTGTGTCCCGCTTTATAAACTTGTTCAATATTTCAATTTTATTCATCCTTTCTTCAGCTAATTTTAATTTTTTTCCGCTTCTTTTTTTATTGGGTGAGCGAAAGTTTCGAACTTGATATGCGCCAAACATCGATTTACGAGCAAACTTTCAGACATGGCATCCATGTCAGCATTTCAACAACGGGAAAGATAATTTAAATTGTACTTTTCCGCAATCGCTTGCATGAAGGAAAACTATTTCCCGTTCGTATATAAGCTTTAAATACGTCCATCAGGCATTAATTTCATTTTGTTGTTTTAGAATTCATAATTCTGACGTTTTTAAAGTCAAAATTTGTACAGTTACTCACCTAATTTCGTTTTGTAATTCATCTTTTATACAATACATATCGACGGTGTAAGTCGGCAATCACATAAATCGTTTGCGGTGTCTGAAAATCTCCGCCTCTATGTTGTTTTTTTAAAGGAGAACAAATTGGCATCATTCCTAGAAGTTTTTGCTGACTTTTCTTTGCACAGGGAAGAAAAATCGAGGCAGTTTTAAAGAATTGCCGTTGAGTAGTTTTCCGTTTCAAAAATAAAATATGACAGGAAGTCTGCGATGTCGCAAACCGAGTTACGTGATTGCCGACTAACACCGTCGATATGCGCTTCACGTTGTCGACCAGCGACCGCACTGTGTTAGGCGCAACGCATGAAGTATTCGTGCACTCTTGTAGGCGCTAAGCGAACCGGCGATCGCACTGTGCGTTAGACGTGATGCGTGAAGTATTTCCGCAGTCTTGTAGGCGCTAATATGCGACAGGCGGCCGCTCAGCCCGCCTTTTTTCGAGATAGTGGCTTTATATCGGACAGCTGATTTTGGTAAACTTGTGTTATGTTGTTTTAGTGGCCTATTGCAACACGTCTCCACAAAGAAACCTTCTATACACTCATTTTCCCAGAGAAATACTAGATTGACCGGACTATTTGTACTGTCCGTAAAATATTTTCTCTGATAACATTTACAGTTCTTAAGGTCAAGTGACATATCAAGTGCCAAGTGACAATAACATAGAGGCGGAGATTTTCAGACACCGCAAACGAGTTATGTGATTGCCGACTTACACCGTCGATGTATGGAAAGTTAGGTAGTATATCGATGAAAGGTTTGAGTCAATAACCATGTTGTCAGAATAAGTCCATCGTGGAAATTCACATCGGCACACAGAAAATTGACAATAATTTTCTGAACAAATGCCGGCCGCATGCAGTTATGCATTTGTCTTTTATTTTAATTCATTTGTTTTTTTAGATAAATTCTCTTGGTGAGAATGAGATTTTTCATGGCACCATTGCTGCCCGGTTTTTTGCCACGACTTTTGAATTTTAGCCTTAAATACCAACATATCTTTGTCATTACCTTTTATCAACTTCGCTCATGATATGTTTTAGGCTTCTCGTATATTCGGGAAGTGTATTCAAAATCGGCTCATCAGGCGCCAGATTTAAATGTGGGGGGAAGAGGGCCTCAAGTGGGAAAATGTCAAGACCAAGGTTCCGATAATGCACCACGTACTTGGTTGTCGGCGGCTTCTTGCAACCATCGAGTCTGGCTATCTGAAAGGAAGCACTCCATTACCAGTATACACGATCAGAGTGTAACGTTGCATATTTTACGACAAAGTAATTGTGCTTAACGATCACGGAAAAAAAACGTTGCATATTTTACGATAGTGTAATTGTGCTTAAGGTGATTCCATGGAGGCCATTTTTGGTGTCAGAACGACGTGCGATATATCGCATCGATTTGTTCCATAATTTCAGCTACTTGTCATTTTTTTCGAATTTTGAGATCGCACTTCTGTTGTCATGAGACTTAAGAACTCATGTACCAAATTTGACAAAGAAATTCAACGTATTAAAGGCGTGGTTTTTTTAGAGGAAAAATATAGCATTCGAGTGCAGTTTCGATATCAGTATCGAATGCGATATATTCTCTCTACAAAAACCACGCCTTTATTACGTTGAATTTCTTTGTCAAATTTGGTACATAAGTTCTTAAGTCTCATGACAACAGAAATGCGATCTCAAAATTCGAAAAAAATGACAAGTAGCTGAAATTATGGAACAAATCGATGCGATATATCGCACGTCGCTCTGACACAAAAATGACCTCCATCGAATCACCTTAACGATTACGGAAAAATAGAAGTGTATGGGGTTTTCCCCTAAAATTGTCGTGCAGTGTTTTTAACAGTGTTTACAAGTGTTTTTCATGTGTTATTCGTAGATATGCGAGTTTAAATCGCTGATGCTGTATAAAAGAAATGTTTGTCAAATTTCAGTTTCATTTCAATGTTACGATGGGTCGCCATCTTGTTTATTTATTTACGGCCGTGAGAGAATCATGAAGCCTAAAAACTCGTTGACCAATCCAAAAGCGGTACAGTTTTCCTGTAGTTTAAAGATACAAATGACCATACTCTGTCTATAAAGGTACTCTAACTCTCCCTATTAAGGTACTCTAGATGGGTCCAAAAAGAGCCCTTATCGGTATACCTCTTCTAAAGAAAGATGGATAATTGGATGATGACTTACGCGGAATAACGCACATTCAAATCTGACAACGTCACTCATTTGAATCTCTGCATCAGTTCTATTGGCGCCAAAGTAGACTGCAAATTCAACTGCAAATGCCAAAGGAATCGGAGCCGTTCCATTGTGAGAGCACGCCTGCATATGCCTCGCCATATGCTTCTGCACTTTGTCTTGGTCGTCACCAAAGCACCATGGATTTTGCAACTGCAAACAATTGACTTGTGGGCAACTTATCAGACAAAACCTGAATTGGACCGAGTTTGACAGAAAGGAACCAAGCCACATCAGCTCTTGCCTTAAACTGGGCAGTAATATTTTTTACGAGAGAACGTTTGTGCGGATTCCTTTGAAATTTTCAGAACCGTTTTCATGTAAAAAATTAAATTTGGCAATAGCTGATGTGGCTTGGTTCCTTTCTGTTTAACGCGGTCCAGTTGTTCTATAACCAAGTAGAACATTTTTCAACAATGATCCTTCAGGACAATTGCATTTTCTTCCATTCTCTTAAAAAATTACACTTATAATGGACCAGTAGACGAGGTACGAATTGAAGCATTCTGGTACATATCGATGGTGTAAGTCGGCAAACACATAACTCGGTTTGCGACGTCGCAAACTTCCTGTCATACTTTATTTTTTAAACAGAAAACTAACCGACGGAAATTCTTTGAAACTGCCGTGATTTTTCCTCACTGTGCGAAGAAAATTCTGCAAAAACTTCAAGGAGTGATGTCAATTTGTTCTCCTTTAAAAAAATCACATAGTGGCGGAGATTTTCAGACACCGCAAACGAGTTATGTGATTGCCGACTTACACCGTCGATATTTCTCAACCAAAATTTCAAGTATAAAACACAATTCGCGCGACAAAAGATAATGATATCAACTCCGTAATTAAAGATATTAACGTTTTTTTTTTCATTGATTACGGCGATAACTTTGGACTCCCCTCCCCGCTCACAAGAAAAACAGCGGTCTACTTGAATGAAATTGTGCATAACAACGGCTTTGGCGGACCTCGTGATCGAGCAATATTCCTTCCCTGCCCTGTGTCGTTCAAAATTTTCACAACATGCAACTGCTGAGGCAAAGCAACGAAATTGAGGTTTCCATACTTTCACACCTCTGAGAATGTTACAATAATGTTTAGTGTGCGATTTGACTCACGTAGGCTTTTGATTTCTTCATGAGCAGAGGGTTTGAATTTACGCATCGAAAAACGAGAAATATCTAAGTTTAGGAAATATTTTCTGTAAAATTCGTTACGCGAATATATTCTACGTGAAATTTTGATTAGGAAACAGTAATCAGGATGCTTCAATTCACACCTTGTCTACTGGTCCATTGTCTTACTTTTTTATCTTCGCGTTAAAGTCTCCAAGTAGACGAATCCATGCGTGCGTGTGACGTCGAATTTACGCATCAAAAAACGTTAAATATTTTGTTTTTGAGTTAGGTTTAGAAAATTCAACTGCGCCAAATCATGCTCTACTGCTCTCGGAGAAATATTGATTTGGAAACATATCAGAATGCTTTGATTCGCACCTTTTCTACTGGTCCATAATTATTCCAGTGCCGGTATACTATATCAATAAGGGAATATTTTATATCCGAGCATCGGCAAAAGCTCATACGGTAAACCAACTTCAGCCCGTGTGGATTTGCTATAATTCCAACGAATTCCCCAATTTGTTGGATAAAATATGAGAAAATGAACTTTTATTTTGCGTGGTCGAACGCAATGCGTTGTAGCTTTGATTATTTCGCAGATACTTTTCGCCCAGAACTCGAACCGCTCGTAAAGTAGGTACACGTTTAACGTACGATACGTTTTGGACGAATTTGGCAGATATTAATGTCAAGATTACTGAAAGTATATACGGTTGACGGGATGAGCCAAAATCATCTTCAAACATTTTGTACAAATGAAAAAATTGATAATTTTTAGGTGACGTGCCACCTCGAAATATCCAGTGTTTCGATTACGCCTCTTAGGAACACAGAGCGCATCATACGAGCTTATTGCGTGATCGTTCAGAAACCCTGTGTGTTTTAAGAAACTCGCTTTACAACGGTATGAGTTTTTGGACAGTGAAACATATTTCACCGATGCAAAATTCTCATATAATAAAAATACTCACACGTAATACAGTCTGCTTTACATTCCCCTCCACTCGATTCAGTGTCAAAAAAACCAAGTTTTGTGTGGAGAGTCCTGCTGCACTCATAGCCTTGAAAATATCTGGAATCGATATCACCGAGTGGTTGCCTAGAACTGGCCAACCCTTCAATCTGGCGATCAACTCCATCGCGGGGCCCACTCCTTGTTCGTTGATCTTCCCTGGACAATCAAACGGTTCATGCTCAACAAGTTGATTAAAAACATCATATTTCAAGTGACTCTGTGCATTTTTTTTTTTGCGCCTTTAACCAAGACCTCATAAATACTTTTCGAGTCAATCAGCGATGTTCAGAGACAAAGAGAAAGCCTTTATTCTACCGTGCTAAGGATAAACGCCGTATGAGCCTGCAGGCGTTGCCAAATTCCCTCTGGCAAATCCCTAATTTTCAGGAAATTTTTTGAATATTTTCCTGCCAATTTCTCAGATAATTTTTTTTTTTTATAATTTGATCTAAAGTGTCTGAAAATTTCAAGGAGAAACATTCATACTTTTTCTCACAAATAAACATTTTATCGAAGAAAATTTGGCAACTTTCGAATGTTCATACGGAGTTCTTCCTTAGCACGACAGCATTGGTATTTTGGTAATGGTGAGAGCTTTTACTTCCGGGACTCCAACATTCGTGTCATTAGTTTCATGCCGATCAAACGACAATTTTTGAGACACCGCATATAGGAGACTGTGATAACACGCAGACTTTCTGTCATACTGCATTTTTTAAATGGGAAAAGACTTGATGTCGGTGCTTAAAAACTTCCTTGATTTTTCCTCTCTGTGAGAAAAAAAATTAAGGAATAGTGCTGATTCGTTCTTCATAATTAAAATAAAACAGAAGCGAACATTTTAGAGCAACACAGACGAGATACATAGTTTGGAAGTTTCACCGTCGCGCAGTTAAAGGAACTGATAGAGGAGGTCGGACATGAAATTTTCGGCTTAAATTTCAAATTTTTATGTTTTTCTCGTCACAAATTCAGTTTCAAAGGGTGTCTCTGAAAGGGAATTCACGAAAAAACCAATGATACCACTTTTAACTTTTGTGTTGCATATTTCGGAAAATATAAGCTTTCAAAGTTTCCAGGTCTTGTCCAACTTCCCTATTGGCTCGGTCCACTGTGCGTCGGTATATCGCCTAAAAGAAGAACACTCGCGCATTTTAGACAGAAAGGAGTGAATCCACCATAGCTCTTTCAACTCCGAGTGATATGAACCTAACGTTATTTCAACACTGAAATAACGAGGAGTAGTGCAATGAAATCTTGAATGTTTACCAGTGGCGTGGCGTGCTTTGCGATGTATCGATTGTTATTTCATTTAAACCTATGGAAAATGATCGATAAACAGGGTGTTCGCAGTGAACACCTTAATAATCGATTCTTTACCATAAGTTTAAATGGCATAACAATCGATATATCGCAATTCACGCCACGCCACTGATGTTTACTCACTCTCGTCGCGGCATGAATTGAAACAGTTCCTCATCTTAGTGTAAAATGTTGGTTCGGGTCTCCGGCTTGCTGGTGGACCATAGTCATCGTATTGGAAATTGCAAAGCAGCTCGAAAACGTTCATCTTATCACGATTTAATTTGTTGTCAGCGACGTCCCTTAAAGTGTAAACGGAGGAGCCGTACGGTATTGCAAGTTCTCGTTCGAAGTTACCGCACGCAAATTCGTAGAAGTCATCGCAGGGATTCGCTGACTCGTTCATGTAGAGTTTCATTTGGGCAGCTGAAAGGAGCGAAATCAAAACTCCATTAGGGACGTGTAGTTTTCTAAACTTGAAGCGGAGAAATTCTCCCAAAATAATCAAGTTGAAGTGAGCGGACGGATCAGAGAAAATAAAATATATAAAGTTACCGTACCGAGATTTCATCAACACTTTACAAAAACACTGTCAAAGCGATTTCCTTTGAACTTGGTAAATTTGAAGCTAAGTACCACCGGAACATGCCTAAAGAAATAAAAAAAATGCTGCTGCAGCCCAAAAAAGAGAAAGGTTGTTTCTCCCTATAGTAATGCATTGGGGCTGTACATATACGAGGTTGTTTACACACCCCGCGTGCTGAACGGGTTCAATCTTGTCGCGTGACGTCACAGCATTATTGACGAAAATTCAGATTTCAGGGGGTATTTTTTTCAAGAAATTTTGGGGTAAATAAGTGCAGTGGGTACTTTTCGACAGAAAACTTGAATTTTTGGTCAGATTTTCAAAACTCCAGAGTCAAGATGGCGACCGTGGCCAAAGTGGTGAAGATTTTGTCTTCTCAATATTATTATTATTTTGAAAGTTAATAGGTATGAGGGGTGGCTCGCAAAGCGAGTCGCAAGTTCATCGTGAAGCGAGGATCCGGGAGTCTAGGGGCACTCCCCGGCTAGGCGTGAAAGCTCGCACAGCGAGCTAATTCCGCCTAGTATACAGGGTTATTCAAAAATCACGTACCACTGGCCATAACTATAGTTCTAATTAAGATATCGATTTGCGGTTTGCGACATTTTTTCTCATATTAAGAGGGAAGCTTTTTAGGTACTTTCCAGTTTTTGACCCCCTCAGAGGGAGGGGGCGGGGTGCAACTCAAAAATTTCAAATGGCCAACCCCCTCGTGGCCAGTGGTGCGTGACTTTTGAATAACCCTACATTATAAAGACCCCGCACTGCTATCTTTCCTGCGGAGTAAAATTTACCTTTGGAATAGTCAACGCTCGATTCGCCTGACGCTTCGTGAAAATTTATTGAAGAGATACTAATGTTTGAAAAGGTGAAATCGAATCTCAGCAGATGAAATGAAGGCTGAATATTTAAAAATCGTCAATAAGAGCATTTAAAAAAAATTGTGAAATTCCTCTCCTCTAGATGTTTCGTTTTTACACGGCGCCGACGTCCAATTTGATACGATCGGTGCTCACGAATAAGGAATAAAATCATTAACTAATTTTTAAAAAACAAAATGGCAGAATGTACCTTTGCGAATGCAGACGTCAGCTGTACACGTTTTCACTTCAGGTGATGCTGACCTCGCACCTCTGAGCGACCCAGCAAATCCGCTCAGTAAATCAGCGAAGTCTTTTATCAATGTATTAGATGGCTGCCATGTCATGGTCACTAATTAAAATAAGAGGAAAAATTGAAATGAATTATTTTCCAATATTTGGACCAATTTTTTTTCCAAACGCAGTTCAAATATCATCCAACAAACTCTCTGGGAAAAAGGAGTCTTTGTCAGCGGTAGCCTTAATTCTCAAAGTGACAGGAGAGGGATCAAATTATTAAAGCTTTTTAGGTGATACTTGACACCCCTCTCTCCCTCTCCTAATATTTCAAAACTGCTCCGTTTTCATGAATAAAAACTCGATTAAAAAAGAGACTTCTGGCTCGATTAAGGGTAAACCAGAAGGCAAAGGGAAGACTACGTTATGGAAACGCTACAGGCAGAGAGGGCGTTTAAGACTGCATTACGTAACACTAAAACGGGCGCTTGGCGCCGAGTTATCGGAATTCTATGATGAAAAATCCAGTGGCGTGGCGTGAATTACGATGTATCGATTGTTATGCCATTTAAACCTATTGTAAAGAATCGATTATTAAGGTGTTCGCTGCGAACACCCTGTTTATCGATCCTTTTCTATAGGTTTAAATGGAATAACAATCGATATATCGCAAAGCACGCCACGCCACTGGAAAAATCAACGTGAGCTTCCAATTATCCATGTATAATTCATCATAAAGAGCAAATAAGAGGGAGGCTTTAAAGTGTTATGAAATGTTTCATTGGGTGCAGACTTCTTTAATGTGTACGTAACGAGGGTGAATGGAGGAGGGAAACATACCCTATTTTCAGTGTTACGTACATCTCATGAACGGCCTCTGTCGTTTAAGTACAACTTACCATTTAGGAATCCGATAGCGCCTTGCAAGTCTGTGGCCATTAAAGCCAGTAGGAAAGTCGCTTTGATCCCATGCCTGAGATTCATCGCACGAAATGAGCTCCTTGAAAAAAACACATCGATGTTCATGATTGTCTTGACCAGGAAAATTGCATGAGGTCACTATAGAATTGGTGACAAAGCTTGTTCGTTACATTCTCAGGTTTCTTCATTTTTCTTTTTTTTATAACAGAGCTATTAAAATTGATCCAATGTAATTCTGTGCGATCTTGGCAGGGAAGATGGAAGAAATTATATGTGGGATAAGACCGCAACTATTATACAGTGGCGTGGCGTGAATGATCGAGTATCGATACTTCTCCATACATTCTACCGATACTTCTCTCACTTTCTCCAAGGTGTTCGTTGCGAACACCTTGTTAATCGATTTTTTCCATAGGTTTAAATGGGAGATCGATCGATATATCGAAAAGCACGCCACGCCACTGAACTATTATGGGAGCCTGCGAGGACGTCCGTGGTTGAACCCCGAAGAATTTGTGATTTTTTTGTATCAATCACGTAAGGTATGATGGAAGTTACAAGGGAAAAATTACCAAAAAAAATTTCTCCTCCGGTGGCCTTAATTTTTCTTTTTTTTTTCGGCTGAAAATTCCTAGTTTTGTGGATGGTTTTTGTGAGTTGGAAGTAGCTAAGCCGAATCACCTTACGTAGCGGGTCCTGGGTAACACTGTGGGAGTTGCTTGAAAACCATGTTATCACATCATTACTAAGGAGGCTATATTTGATGGTAATTCATTAGTAAGCAACGTTTTAATTCGAAGTTTTGACAAGTTTTGTCTAAATTTATTTCCGGGCAAATTCTTGGAATACCGTGAAAAATCAAATTATGGACGCTTGATGTGATGCTGTTGCGTCATGTCAGAACTCTCAGCAGAGTTCAATTTATTTTTTCAAAGTGAAAAGAGGCTGAATGAACTGTGCTGTGTCAATTTTCATAACTTTTTAAATATTTTTGGACTTCTGGCGAAAATACCTGAGAGGCCATAAAATTAGGCATTTTTATTTGAACAATAAAAAATTAAGGCCACAGACATCAATAATTGAAACTACCGCTTTTATACCAGGAGCACCCATATATAAGACGACTAGTTCCATTTAACTCTAAGTCTTGAATAATTTAAGCAAGGGCAGCGAGAAAATAAAAATTAGCAAAGCCACCGTAACCTTCATGAATAAAAGAGATAATCTACGGCTGCAAAAATTTTCAAACAAAAATTATTTCACGATTACTTGATTTTACCCTTAGTTATTAAGCAAAGCTCACTAAGGTGACTTCTTCGAAGTATTCTATTAAAATATTTTGAACTCACGTGCTTAGTAATTAATCCGATTGTTTGAGCAATAATTCGGAGACCACAATATTTCTTATTAATTTTTTAAAACAAGCACCACTGCCAATCTTTCAAAAAACCGCAGCAAAGTCAACCAACTACGAAGCATAGTTCAGGATTATGCGAATCGTTATTCAGTTTATGATCATCTGTTTTTAACTGCAGCGAATTACGTATCATCCTCATTGCGTCTTTTGGATGCACCGAGGGTCATAAAGTTGACTCGGTAATTAAGTTTCCAATCAATACTTTGACAGGAATTAATAGATGAATCCTAGCAAGAAAAGGATTCCGTTTCATGCAAAGCTGCCACTCTGATTTGTCACTTCTAAACACAAAAAACTTATCTATTCAACTTACCCAGAGGCACGTGGATTGACCTCTGGTCAAAAAATTTTTCGGGTTTTAAGAAATTATTCCTTAAATAATGATCCAGATTTTGGTGATGAGGTCAAGTGAAAGATGTTTATAAAGACGTTATTTGTATAAAAGTACGCTGGGGAAACACTGCTGCCCCTTAGAAATGTTAAAGTGAATCATTGAATTAATTTAAAAAACTTATTATGAATTAAAGGTTTGGATAGAATAATAAAATTGATTTGAAAATCGCTAGGTGGGGTCTAGCATACTTAACTGAGAGTCAAAATATGTGGACAATATGAACTAAATTTTGCAACGAGGAACTACAAATATTTTCTAACTCATCCAAAATAGCACCTTTTGGCAAGTAGAATCAATTGGCTTAAGAAACGCTGTCTCTAAAATTAGCCAGATATAGTTCTTTCCTATTGCCAGATGAAGTCCATGTAAGATACAGATCCTCGTAAAAATAACTATTGCTCCACATAGGATCATTTCCATCTCGAAAAAAGGCGGGCTGGGCGGCCGCTTGTCGCATATTAGCGCCAACAAGACTGCAGAAATACTTCACACATTGCGCCTAATGCACAGCGCAGTCACCGGTTCGCGTAGCGCCTACAAGAGTGCACGAATACTTCACGCATTGCGCCTAATGCACAGCGCAGTCGCCGGTTCGCCTAGCGCCTACAAGAGTGTACGAATACTTCACGCATCGCGCCTAATACAGTGCGATCGCTGGTCGGCATGGAACGCATAGGGGCGGGCAATTCTACGAAAACCGGCCAATATTTGACCTCTAAAAAACCAAAAATTCAACTTGATTATTGTGGATCGAGGGTTCGCTTTCCCAGTCAAGTATAGTATTAGGCTTAAAAATGTAATACGGGTACCTGTTTCTATCAGCCCCCTCCTTCCTTTTTACACACAAAGTATCCTATGCTTTGTGACGGTCGTGACATGCAGTGACGGCCAGAACAAATTTAAACAAACACGGTGGGTACTCTCAACAGCAATGAAGAACGATCTCAAAAGTTGTTACATGTGCAATTGGTGGTAAGGACTATATGAAGTGGACACAAAGATTTTTTCAGAATATCACAAGCTTCAAAAAATAAAAAGCGTAACGGTCGTGACACACAAAAAGGTTCAATGGAGTTAATTTACGTTTTAAATCCTTCCATCAGAATATTCTTAATTCTGGCAGTAACTGCTGTACAAACATATTTTGTTGTGAAAATTTCACTCAACGGGATGGAACGTTTTGTAGCGATTTTGACTGCCTCCGGAGGCCGTTTAGACGTACAAAAAAATCTGTCACGGTTGTGACGTCGGAACTTCATGACAAAAGCATTTTACGAAATATTTCGGGTGAAAAACGCATTTTTTTCAAAATTAAATGCAATATTTATTCAACAACGAGTATTTTTGATGTAATTGGTACAAAAATTGAAAAAGTTATTAGACCAAAAAAAAGTTATGAGAGAAGTACGGGTAAGTAAGGGGGGAGGGAGTGAGCATGGGAGTGCTCCTAGAAATTCTAAGCCGGGTCAAATTAACCCGACTATCTCTTCTTGGGGAGTTATGGTGCCTGTACATACATAGGTCTACAAATACATTCTTAAAAAAGAATCAGACGTCAAATTGAATAAAAAGAGAAAAAAATAGAGTTTCAACACAGATAAAGGTTGGAGAGACGTATATTTAGACTTCGTTTTAAAACGTTTCCATCGAATCTGAGCAAAACCTCATTGGCAGCATAGAGCGAAACATATCGAGTTCAGCCTTAAAAATGCACATTTCAATTTGATCAGAGAATTAAGGTCTGTCGATCATAATTGGCAATTAATCAGTCCACAAATGAGGATGAACAAGATTCTTGCTTAAAGAGCAGTTACATCGCTTCTAATGTTTTTTTTTTCTTCTTCTTCATGAGAACCAAATATTTGCTAATTTTCCGAAACATCGACTGTATACACTACCTAAATCATGCTCAAAATCAGAGGAGGCTTATGAGTAGTAGGATCTCTGTGGCCGCACACCGCTTTGTGTCCGCAGATATGATCTCATAAACCTAGCCATAAACCGAGGGACACACATTAGACTCTGAGTTAATGATATCGGAGCGCCTTCTCATGATCTTGGCTCTCAAGTTTGTATTTTTGGGCGAATTTACACGCGCTCGACATAAGTTGATATGTTTGACTCGAATCACGTTTCCTTGCTATTCTAAAAAATTTGAGCTTCCGTCGCAAGTTTTCTCTCCATTGACTCAGACAAAAGTTTGAATAAGGGAAAAGAGAGGCACAATATAATTATTAACTGAAAGAGATTCGGCTCACTTAGATCTAAGCTTCGGCTGCGGGTAAGAAAAATACCTGCGAATTAAGTTAGAAATACTCTTGCTAATAGGTCAGATCTTAGACGTTTCATCCCTCTAATGGCACCTCATCGCCCAAGAGGTTGTTGACGATGAACGTTTCCACAGGAATTCACTTCATTAGATCTACCTCTGGTTTAAAAAATGTTGATCATGATTACCTTTAGTGCTCAATGAGAGAAAAATATATACTTTATAATTCTAAAGGCTAAGATAAAAATACCAGCTATTAAATATTGTTTAAGCCGTATTGTTTGTGTGGTAAGCCGTTCAAAGTGTAGCACTTTGCGTCTTTGGCGTGGTAAGTTCGTTGTGCCATTTTCGCAGACTTAAGATCATTCCACAGCCACACTTAAAACGCCTTCAATTTTGCGGTGAGCAATCTTTCTTACACTCGTGTTACGAAGCCTCGCTTTTATCATAACTACTTCGTTTTCATGCTTGATTACGGTGGCTTTGTCAAATTCTCTTCGAATCAATCGTTCATAGATTTCCGTGATGTATTAAATGTTTAAAATAACAAGCTTCTACGTTTTTGTTTCGAGCGTAAAGTATAAGTTGTTATCTTTATTTGGAACATAGTGACAAATAATGATTTAATGACATCAAATTAATTTCATTTTTTTTTATTAACAACACAGTAATCTCATAATTCATGACAAATTTCAAAAGATTTTTCTTTTAATAACACTGACAAAAGGCAAACTATAGAACTAGTTAACATTCACCGGGATTATTAAGGATTTTCTACCGGTATTTTCTGAAATACCAGAATTATTACAAACGTAAAATTGGTAGGTAATATACATATAAATACTAATGAAAAACACACAATTAAATTAGTAGGTAACCCTAGTGACTAGAACAATTTCCATAAAAGTCAATATACAATAAACATGAAATTTTTTTGACTGGTTACATAAGAAGCTAGTCGAATTAAAAAAACATGTTTTAATTTTCGAAAGAAATATTTAAAACAATGTTGAACAACCGGGAAAACTTATGTGATACAAAAGGAAACAAATATTATCTACGTCTCTAGTCTGCAGAAAAGGGTACCAAATTTAAAACAACATTAAGTAATGATATGATACGGAAATTTCTTAAAGATTTGATTGCGTTCAGCTCAAAAGTTAGTCACCCTTTGTTTAATGATGACAATTCGGAAAAAACGAACCCGAGTAAAACTTAGGATAGTCGTCTAGCTCGGAACGTAGTATCTATGACTTTTTATGGGGGAAAATCGGTATTAAATGCAGTGCAACAAATCTCTTAAAAAACTACTCACATTTTCGATCATTAATAGGCCAGTGTAAATTTTCAAAATTTATCTTTGATAGGAACCCAATATGTTCTCATCATTGGAGTTAAAGGAGATGCCTCAAGTTAAATTACTGACATGCCTTAATTTCTTTCTTTTTTGCCAAGTCACGGAGTTTAGAGTACTGAAACTGAGGTTTAAATACGTCTGCAACACCTAAGAGCAGTTGATTGATCTATGGAAGTTTATCCGCTTATTTTAGAGAGTGAACATGCTGAGATCAAATTCGAAACCGTTTCATTTACACCTCAAATATTGCATCAATGACTCTCATCTCTGCAAGTACAAAGCAAAAGTTTATTGCAAGGAATTTTGTTTAAAAATTCCATACATGTAAACTTTACAAAATAATCACGCATAAAGCTAACACTAGAAATGTAGGTAACAAATGCGCTTAACAAATCAAAAAGGTACTATCCCCAAACAAAAAAATGAAAAAATTCTAACTTAAACTAGAATGACGGTTTCAGTCACTGAGATCGTGTTCCTTTCAAAACGTAAAATTAGATAAAATACAATAATAAGGGCTCGTGCTTATACAATTCAGGGGGAACAATAGTTTTTATTCCCCGGCTAAAATATTTTCTACTCAAACAATTCCGTTTTCTAAAGAAATATACACTTTCTCGCCGGAAGGAAACTTGACTTTTTCGTACCCATTTTCCTCATCCGTGAGGCGTACTTTAAATTGATGCTTAGCAGGATTTCCAAAAAATCCGAAAATGAAAATTTGGGATTTGAAGATTGTCATCATGTTTAAAAACAACTTTGACCTTAGATCTACTTGTTTCCATATATTTTTGGCAGATTTGATCGAATGATGAACAATAAAAAGGCTCTGGGTGGTATGGGTCGGTAAATCGAAAGTGACGCAACGTGACGGGCCAATTTTTGAAAATCACTCACTTGGAGGTTTCATTTTAATTCTTGAAATCAAGTTTCAAACAAAAATGCGCGTCGATTATGGTTGTCTTGTTTGATCAACAGTTTGCCGCAAAGATGTGTCAAATGAGAGTGTGACGCAGCACATACAATGGTGCATTCGGGCATACTGCCCCCGAGGACGTAAAACTACTTCTATTGCCTACAGTGACGTTCAATGTCAGTATTCAGAGGGACCCGAGAGGCTGAAATAGCGAAGGTTACATGAGGTCCGTAATAACACACTGATGCCATGTTTTTGGTTATGACGTTTTTCTTGGGTCTGAACCACCATTGGTATTTGCAGTAGTATGCAAGTATGTACAAGATTTATTTCGCAAGTTTTCATTTGCGCGACACACTTCATCCAACCTACCGTTGCGCATCAAGGACCTCAATTGAGGGGGGGGGGGAATACAGACATTTTACATGTCCATGTGTGTTACATGTCACTCAATGCATGTAAACTTGGTTGTCTAAGATTTGAAAATGTCTGAAATAGAGTGAGTTTCCCAACTTGAATATTTTAATACATTTTAAGTCCTTTCTTTGGAATTCAGATTTTTTTATTTTACTTTTTTGTTTCTGACGGTTAATGCGACCAGGGAATTTTTCAACTGCGTCAAAAATCCGAATTTTTTTTACGAGACCAGGCAAGTATGGAGCCGCTTGACATTCGAACACTATCGATTGCACTTGAATCGGTGTTTTAATCGCTGACACCCGTCGCGCGTCGCGAGGAACTTGAGCGCGCGCGGTCCAAACCTTGATTACAGTCGCCGCGCGAGCGTTGCAGTCAGCCAATGTTGCCGTTGTGTGTGTAATTACGCATTTATTTGTAGTTACTTAGGCACGATGCATAATTGCACCATGGGGGATTTAACCCCTTTATTAGTGATTTTAGGTTAAATACGTAAGGATTGCGTAAAATGCGTAATTTTAAAATCTCCCAACGACAGCACTGCTGCCGTGCTGAGGAAAAACGCTGTATAAACCTTCAGGCGTTGCCAAATTTACTTTGATAAAACGCAAATTTCCTTGTAAACTTTTGAATATTTTCCTGTAATTTCTCGGATAATTTTGTTCGCGATTTCACTTAAGGTTCCTGAAATTTTCAAAGGGAAATATTCATTACTTGCCTCAAAAATAAACATTTTATCAAAGTAAATTTGGCATCTTTCGAATGATCATACGGCGTGTTCCCTGGCAGGGCAGACTGCTCCAGTCACCATCCACCACCCTTGTCAGATTTTGCACACTATCCGAAAAAGGAACCTAAGTCCATAAAACTCAACGTTGAGTTGCTAATACCAGAGTATGTGCTGCTCAGAGCTGGCCCCGAATCGAATTTCGAGGGGTTGGTTCGATTCTTTCAGTCTTCAGATGCAACCCCGAGGCGTACGGATTCTCAGCGGAGGAGGTTCCGCGGAACGTTCAAGAGGGATGTTGAGATCGGGATCACTTGACGTAGGTTGAGATCCAGTCGACATACTCGGAGATCCGGGTGTAGAGGCCGGGAAGACGGGGCCTGGCGCATCCGATCCCGGTGGAAACGACGCCGATCACAATCGTCGAGCCGTCGTCCTGGGCCAACATCAAAGGCCCACCGCTGTCCGCCTGAAACCAAAAAATGTTCACACGTAAAACAAATGCTTATGTATCCTTTTGAAAACGAATTAGACGCGTCCCACACTTTCGTAGAGTACCTTTATAGACAGAGTATGGCAATCTCTGTTCCGGTTTTTCATTGGTCGCGTGAAAATAGGCTGACACGATGTTCTTAGGGCCGTAAATAAACAAACAAGATGGCCGTTATCAGCAAGCAAGATTGAGGTTATGCACATCTTTTACATCCTTCTGTGATAAAGGTGAAAGGCGATTTAACAATATTTTATGTGTTATTCGTAGGTATATGCTTGTTTAAGTTGTTACTGCCGTAGAATTGAAATTTTTGTCAAATTTAGCTTCTTATCAATGTTACGGCGAGCCGCCATCTTGTTTGTTTATTTACGGCCCTAGGAGCATCATGAAGCCTAAAAACTCGTTGACCAATCAAAAAGCGGAACAGTTTTCCTGTAGTAAAAAGATACGAATGGCCATACTCTGTCTATAAAGGTACAATAACTTTCGGGAGAAAAGACCAGAACATAACATAATTTTCATTAATACATCCACCAGACCAGACTCTTTGTCTTTGCACATCGGAAATCACACGAGTATTTATGTTACAGATTTCTTATCGCATTTAATTTTGTCGAAAGACGAATGGTCGTCGTTTTTTTCCAAGTTCCATCTTATATTCATCGAGATCTTCCTTTAGATATTTCGCCCGTAGATCTCAAAATTAGTTTCCCCAAAGGAATTCAACAAAGGACGACTAATAAAGTAGGTTAAACGAAACCCTAAAAATTATGAAATGATATATTATTTTTTTGAAATCTCGAGGGCTGGCAATGTTGTAATACATTAAAATAATATACATTACTCGGAAAATGATGGACCATGTCACGATAAAAATCAATAATGATTTTCTTCATCAGCACAATAGGCAACGCTGGAATTAAGTTGATATGTAGGAGAAACAATCAAAGCTTCAGTTAGTGTCGCATGTGACTGATAGACGAATTTCTTACAACGCCTAAATGCAACTATTCGGCCTTCATGGATGTGCAAGTTGCATACGCACGGATGAGACGGCGTTTTGACATTAAACACCAACCGCCTCACCAGCGCTGTGGCACTGTCAGTGGAGCGAGTCAATGAGATACATGATGTCATACATGATGTGGAAATATTATTATTAAATTCTTCAATTTTATTTTGTTTGAATCATAGAATAAAACTAATTGGGTAATGTTGGTCCAACTTATAGGTAACTAGTTTAAGAAATATCTTACACCCACGACGAACATCCTAATGCGAAGCAGAGAGAAAATGCTCAACCATAACACCCTCTTGCCCTCTCAATCTCAGTTTTCAGTCTTCCTACGTATAATGCACCATTCTCTTTTAAGAGCCTTTTCACGATGATCATTCTCAATCCTTAGAGAAATAGGTGGCAATTCTATGCGGGAAGATGTGATTCCGCGTTGTTTGGCGCGCGAGACGACATTGACGATGAAGCGCCTTTTATCTGGTGTGAAACGAACCTAGCCCCTCCTCAAAGGCGACACAAAAAGCGGGACGAACGCTTCCGCCCCAGCGAGAAAATAAATTAGCAGGGAAACAAAACTAAATTAAAAGATAAGCGCACGCTAAGTTGCCGGATTGCAGAGCTAATTCGTGGATTCCACGTATTTTCGCTCAGCTTTCTTGGCCCCGAGTAGCACACATTGCAAAACATTGCAATTACATGGTTAAATTATTAGTACTACATCAGAGTGTTTTGTGTGTTGCCTATCCACTGATTGAAGGAACACCTCTGATTGTTTATTTCAACAAAATCGAAATGAGTTCCAACTATTCATTACGTTGAAAATTGCATAGCTTTCTTACACATGGAGCTCATTTTGTTGATCATTTGAAATTGGCAATAATTGATCAAATGATGTAAAAATATTGGAATTTCATCGTAAAAAAATCGAAATTTCATTGAATAAATTACAAAGCGCACTGTGTTTTTGGGGCTCGATTTTGTAGCAAAAATCACCGAGCAAAATATTTGTGTTCTTGTGTTACGTTCGGTTAAAAAAGGAAGTGAAACATAAATTGTTTATAGTCTGGTATCCTATGTAACTCGTATCCCTCAGAATTTTCGTTAAAATTTTACAGGCATAACCAAGTATCTAAAAGTTTAATAGGTACATCGTTTATGACGGTTATCGACGAATATTGAAGATGCTCCGAAAAAGTTAGGCACTATTTGGACCGAATTCATCCCTTCATTCTTGGATTTTTTTTTTTACTTTTTTCATTTTTTTCTATTTTTATTTTTTCATTTTTTTATTTTATTTTTTTCTATTTTTATTTTTTCATTTTTTTATTTTATTTTTTTCTATTTTTATTTTTTCATTTTTTTATTTTATTTTTTTCTATTTTGTTTTATTTATGTTATTTTTTTCTTTTTCGGTGCAACTTAACAACTTTGGGGTAGTATGAACTGAACTCACCCAGCAAGAGTCCCTGCCTCCGCTCTCGTAGCCGGCGCACATTTGCGAGGTATGAATGGCCACCTTCTTCCCCTGGGACTTGTACCACTCCTGACATTTTCCGTTGTCAACCACCGAGACCTCCACTTTTTGCAGTATGTCGGCCCGCTTCCCTGGACGCGAAACAAACAAATTAGTCAGCCATAACTGAAATAAAGGCCACCGTTATGCTTCAAAAGAACCCTTCTCGATCCCTCAATTCATTGCTCCGATGTGAAGTCAAAGCCAGTGATGACACCTCGTGCACGGTAGAGTCCCTTTATACTGAGAGTCAAGACTATTCGGCTCATGGATGTCACAAACGGGAATAAAGATTACAGAAATTGAACGTTTTTCGTAATCTTTGATCGGCCCATTCTCAAATGCCTTTCTCCGTTCCTCCTCTCATCCCGTTTGTTCCTTGCCGAACCCGTAATTCCCTGGTCCATTCCAGATTATAATCTTTGCAATTGGTGAAAATGTAATCTTTATTCCCGTTTGTGACACTGTGGAGGCCTAAAATACGGGAACCAATCAGAAATGGATTCAAATTGTCTTGACTCTCAGTATAAAGGGACTCTAGTGCACGGGAGAAAAAGAATCGCTGCCCTTATTATTTTGTCATTATGGATCCCAGATCCTATCTACTTTTTTAATCGTGGTTACAATGTTACATGTGTGGTAACATTTTATCAGGTGCTAATAATAATAAAGACCCGGACGAGTTTGTGACTGGAACTAAAATAATCGCAAATACAAAAGTACATTGTAACTATATCAGCGGTGTAAACTTTATATAAGCCAGGCTCTGGCCATTTGCCGAACGTATAATTTTAAATTCAATGTCCAATTTTGTATATTTAATGTTGTGTGCTCTTCAAGATGAAATTATGAACTGGACACTGCTAATAAAGTGAGCTTCTACTATGGCAATTTTTCACTCTCCCAGTGGCCACTCCTACTTCTAAAATTCGATTTTGGAAAACTCTTTATGAGCTCAATGTAATCTGCATGACATTCCGATTGGGGAACATGTGTCGTGGTACTTGCATTCCAACCCAGTCTTATGGTCAATTTGAAAGTTACATCAGGGTCAGCTGATTTCCGTTAATTAGTGTTACATAAACAATCAGATTTACTATTATTCACATTTGTTCCATGACTAATTTTCTATACTAAGTATCATCTCAGCCCTTTTTCACAATTTTTTATGTGTCCAGCCAGAATACATTTTGAAAGAAATACTTCTATGTTTGGGTCCTTTATGGAGACACCTATCTGAGTAAAGAAAATCAGAGAGGGAAAGAATGAGGAGGGAAAGGAAGAGGCAAAATAGGAAGGAGAAAGGGACGAAGAGACGGAAGAAGGAAAACAAAATTAGAAATATTAGGTAAAGAGAAAAATAAAAAGGGGAGAATAAAGAGGAGGAGAGAGAAGAGAGGATACAAGAGGGAGGAAAAAAGGACCGCGAAAAGAGAGAGAGTATAATAAAACGAGGCAAAGGAGGGAAAATAAGAGTAGAAAGAAGAAAAGCAAGAGAGGGAAGACAAAAAGTTAGGAGAGGAACATAAAAGAGAGTAAGAGGAAAAAGAGATGGAGTAAAGAGGTTGTGAATGAAAAAAGAAATAAAATAGGAGTAAAAACTGGAAAAAGGAGGAAGGAGAAGAAAAGGAAGTGAGAAGAGAGGAAAAAGAAGAGAAGAAGAAAGGAAGGAAGAATAATATGAAGAAAACGTGGAAAAAGAGGAGAGAGGAGGAGAAAGAAGGGAAGAAGGAGAGAGGATAGGAGGAAGAGGAAAAAGATAAGTCAGCAAGGAGAGGAAGCAGAAGTTGAGAAAAATGCCAGAGGAAAGAAGTGAGGCTGAAGACAAAGAAAACGATACAGAAGAAGACGAAGCAGCTCTTGTCTGCTCAGGAAGAATAATAGCACACGCATTGATTCTATAATGAACCTAAAACATGAATTCCTCATTGCAAAATGTAGCCCAATTTCTGATGAAATAATGAAAAGAATACCTTGAGAGAGGTTCTCGTTGGTCCAACCCCAGCCGGCAGCGACAGCCCTCTCTTGGCTGAAGCTAGACGAATGAGTAGGAGCCAGGCAAGCGGGGAGGGCTCTGCCGGTCCAGACGATGTCTTGTTCCAGCTCCAAAAGAGCGATATCGTTCTGGAACTTGGAACACTGATAATCGGGATGCATCACCACGCGCAAAACCCGAACGCTCATCGTCGCAGTTGCCGGGGTCGATAGGTTATGTTGACCTAGGCCCACCCGAAGGTGCCGCATGCCCGGCGTTGATAGCTCCCTGCAAAAACATACGAACGGACTTGTTAAGTACGCATAAACTAGAGAAAACGAATTATACTGTCGTTCTTTGGAAACACGACGTATAAACATTCAGGCGTTGCTGAAATTCCTTCGATAAAATACAAATTTTCTGGTAAACATATGAATATTTTTCTTCAAATCTTTCAGATAATTTTTCTCCGCAATTTCACATCAAGTTTTAAAAATTTTAAGGAAAATTATTTATATCTTTCCTCAAAAATAAACATTTTATTGAAGAAAATTTGACAACTCTCAAATGTTCATACGGCGTTCTTCCTTAGCACGGCGATATAGAGACTCCCGGCTAACGATCTAACAAGTGATTTTGATGGCAGTCATAACTTGATGACGATTTCCTGTCCAAAATTGCTGATGATGCCCCCTGAGATTTACCTCCTACAGAGTGTGATCCTAAGTACCCTAAATTTTACTAAACTCTCAAAATATATTCTTTTGTATTTCGTATCTTCAGTAGCGGCAATTCATTGTAATCTCTTGTAAGGATCCATTTACAGAGCTAAAATACTAAATTTAACTCGAGTTTCACAAAAATATCTATCTTCATAATGTTATGCTCACAAGGCTACCTTTGACCTCCTTTAATCAAGTGTTAATCGTGTAAGGACTTCTAAGTACTAGAGATGTTTAAGGAACGACTATGAATAGCACGCTTAGAGTCAGACGCGCTAGCCATCATCCCAACTTGACTGAATAAAGCTATTTTAAAGTATCAAAGAACCAAAAAAAGATACACGTAGGAGTTGAGAGTAGCACTTACTTGCAAAGGCAGTGAGCAGCGGTTAAAACCCAGCGTTTATTGATGAGGGTTCCTCCGCAGAAGTGACCGCCGCTCCGCTTCAGCGAAACCAACCACGGGAACTCGCCGGGGTCCGCGTTCATGCCTCCCACAATCCTCCCTCCCGCGTACCTCGTACGACCGCATGGTATGTCCGCCACTACCAACAAACATCACTTTCATCAGTAAAATGTAAACTTCAACTTATTTGAATCGTATATTTTGCAAAAACACGCCATCTCATCTTACTCTATAAAATGGACGTATTTCTACCAAACAGACCTAAGAGGAGGTGAGAAATATGGGGTGTGCTTGTCGAAGCTGCATAAGAAGCAATGTAAAAGTGGGCGTGATTCCTTTTGCAGAATTGGAAAAGCGGGATATTACATTCTATCAAAGAGACCTATGTGCCAACTGAATGCGGGAGTCATGAGCCGCGGGCATGGCAAGAGAGCGTTGTGGACAGGGCTCATGAGTTAAAGACTCCCTCCAACGACCTCCCGTTGTGCCGGCGCTCCTTCGTTGCCGCTGACGTCACTGGCGCTTTATTATTCTCATTCACTCTTACGCAAAGAGAACTAACGAGCACACCACATATTTCTCACTTGCACATAGGTCTGTTTGGTAGAAATACGTCCAAATGATATCATGGAAGTCACGCATGACGTATGACATCTAAGGCGCGAAGCGCCTCGGGGGGCTGGACCGCGTAGCGGTTAGGGGGTGTACCTATTCATTTTTTTGCATAATAATGGCTCTCTGACTGAACCCGTTTAACGCATATCACCTAGATTACATTTTGCAGGAAGGAGCTAATATTTCTGGCTCATTTAAAAACTCACTTATCTGAATAGGAGAACCAATGACACGTGCGTTACTCTAATCTGAGCCGAGAAAAAAGGGTTGTATTGCACAACGTGGTCCAGCAGAGGAGAAGAGTTCACTTGACCATGTAATCCCTTTTGGTAAGGTGCGTTCCATTTAATCAAAACCGAACGAAAAGCTGTTTCTTGTGATATGCTCCTGTACATTGCCCCTCGAAAAAACACCAGACAGGGTGAAAATTTGACTTGGTTCTATAATAAGGAATTACAATTTCTGCCACATCCATCAGATCATCTATATTTGCATGAGAAAAGCGCATGTTATGTTTCTAAAATTAGCCGGAAATAGTGGTTTCCAAGGTAGTCCAAATTGTCAAAATATAGGTAGGATTCCTTACTAGGATTTCATGGAAAACTCGTTAAATGTATTGAAAATTTCAAGAAGTAACTCATATGTGCAAAATGAACGTTTAAAGTACATTCAATCAATCCAAACTCCCCGCGCATCAAAATGAATGTAGGTCAAATTGGCCGTCAAAAACAAGCGTATTTACACGCGGCAAAGGATTATAGTGCTCAACTTTGGCAACAAGTTTATGTATTCTCCTTTAAATGAACCAGCTGCCATAGTACAAATATAAGCATTCTGATACGTGTCTCCTGATCAATATTTTACATAAAGCACGATTCGCGCAACGAAAATTACTGACATTAACTCCTAACTAATATATTTATTGTTTCTTGCCGCGTAAATTCAAACTTCCCGCTCTTGAAAAAACTGAAGTCAAATCGCGCACTCCACGTTACCGTAAGTCACTGCGGTATGAGAATATAGCAATCTCAATCTTGGTGATTCGGTTCAGCGTTTCCACTTCGTTAACACTTTAATCAACACAAGGCGGGAAAAAACGTTGCTTCATTGAGGAACCTGTCAAAACCATTATTACATACGATTTGAATTAAGTATGATTTTTTTTTATTTTCTTTTCTGAGCGAGGAATTCAAACTTTCTGTGGCCAATGTAAACTAAAACCGTTACTGTGTTAGTTAGGAGTCAATTATTTTAATTGCCCTCTTGCGAATCGTGTTCTACGCGAACTTTTGATTTGAAAACTTGCATCAGAGTGATTACACTCGCACTTTGTCTGGTGGTCCACTAACACAAAAGCCAACCCTATGTTAAAATCCGAGGGTGTCACTGTCACTAAAATCAGGAACACTTTAAATCCACTTCGAATAATCCATGAGGTTGACTCGTGTCGAGCACTTCACTTGGGGAGACGCATCGGGAAATTGTCAAAAACTCCATCTGAAAACGAGAAACTGATGTAAACTCACAATTGGTTGTGGCAATGACGCTGGCGAGACAAGCTAATAAGCACGCGAAGGGGAACCACATGACGGGAGAGGATGAGGCCATGGTAATGACTGATGAGCCGTTCATGAGGGTATTTATATGCCACTTATTCTTCAGGGTCAGCTTTGTTTGTAAATAAACGCACATATTCAGTTACCAGTACTGCACCGCATCAACACTCACTAAGAGCCGTAACCACAGACTATATAGTCGATCCCTGAACAGCTCCTTCCCTCAGGAAGCCCCAAACCCTAGCCAAAGTTCGAAACCACGTATCTCCATTACGAGGTTTCCAAAACGCTCAAACAAGCCAACTTTATGACTTGATATTTATACAGAACATTCTGCTGACAGAAAAGAAAAATTTAGACATTTTTAAGACATTTACATTGATTAGTAAAGTTTTCCAAAGGCAAAAAAATAGGTATGTCAGGAAGTTTGCAACGCTGCGAACAGTGATACGTGGTTTTGCACTTTGGCAATCGATATAGATGACAAAGTGATGAAAAGAGTGTGACGAAAGTAGATCTCTTACGTGGCATCATATAAAAGACACGACGAATATCGGGTATAATTCAACAACCTAACTTTAGAAATAGACCCTTCCAAGTGATCCATTGCTTAAAACATTCATGGGAAAAAATTCTATGATTTCAGCAAACTTTATGGTACGAACCTACCTTAATTTGTTTAAAACTGGCAATTTTTTTATTGTATTTATAACTTTCAAGTTTCAACAGTGGCAAATCATCTTAATCCCTCGTGAGGATGTACATTCAAAGTTAAACTGTTGAATTTCACTATCACAAGTTTTTAAAATATTCCTTAAAGTGATCCTTAATCTCCCTTCATTACCTTGTAAACTATATGGGACCGTCTAAGAAAAGAAGCTGCTTATCGAACGCTAATGACCATCTCCTACCGATTTTCATCACTCAAGTCCTTAATCCTGGTTCTCAGGTAAAACTTTAAACGTTTCTGCCGTTTGCTGTATGCACATTATGAAATCACTCCTCTCCAATGCTGCTGCGCGAAGGAAAAATGCCGTATGAGCATTCAAGCTTTGCCATATTCTTTTCACTAAAAAACTAATTTTCTCGGAAAATTCTGAATATTTTTCCTCTAATTTTTCAGACAATTTTGTTCGCAATTTCATTTAAAATCTCCAACAATTTCAGGGAAAAATAGGCACAACTTTCTTCAAAAACACATGTTTTACTCGAGGAGATTTGGCAACTCTCGAATGTTCATACGGCGTTCTTCCCCAGCACGGCAGAATGAAACTTGCAAGTGAATGATTAATTTTCCTATTGTACGTATTCTCATTATCAACCATAGAGACTTGAATAGAAAAGCGGAGCTCCAGCTTCTCACATAATGACTGCAAGGATCAACAATCACAAAAACGTCTTAAAACGTTCAGATACTTCACGCACATCTGCGCAGTTAAAATATTTGTATCACACGAAATAGTGATACAGATTAAAGAAGCAAGGGCAACATGTATCTTCCCGATCGCGAACGATGAAAACATTAAATCATAAAAATGCCTTCAAAAGTTGAGATACTTCAAGCACATCCGCGGAGTTAATATATTTGTATCACCCGAAGAGTTTAAATATATTAAGGTAGCAAAAACTACTATAATTTCATGGCGATTTCTTATTCTGTGAAGTTAGACCACCACATCGCTTTCAAAAATACGTGGTACTTCACGCACACACGTAGAGTTAAAATATTTGTATCCAGTTCGTAGAAGTTGTGAATCGACAAAGAGAAGTCCACGGAAAGCAGGCGGATTTTTTTTTTTATTTTTGCAACTATTTATGATTCCTTTCAGCTGGAATTTCCTCGTCAATTTTCTCATGAAATTCTTTCTTGTCCCTTCAACCTTAAATATTTGAACGGAATCGAATGACTCACTTCTACAATCTCAATATTTAGCATGGAATAATTCACTCGTTACTACGGATGCAGACAAAATCGTAAAATCCTAACTTTTCCAGAACCAATATTAGCTGATTACCTATGGCGATTGTAAATGGCTAATCAAAATAATTTGAAGTCAAAATTGAATCCAAATACTCAAATTCATGAGATTCTGACCATTTCCTGATTTTTTGTCCGTTTGGCGTTTCCTTATCATTGCTCGAAGCCCTTTAAAAGCACTCTAATCTATTTGAGTAGATTAGAGTACTTTTAACGGGATTTTACTCCCATTTGCTTTCATTAGATTGGAAAAGTCAATCTAGCATGCACAAAAATTCTTTTAATTACATAAAGCTTAAATCGAGTGCCACGAGAGTATTGCACAATACAGGAGCGATGCCACCTCGCCGGACACAGTGGTACGAGTCAATGGGAGATGTCGAACATTCTATGGAAACTTCGAGATCTGAAAATTAGGGGTTTAAAAGTAGTTCAATTGATTATTTTCCAATTATTCTTCTAGGAGTTATCCCTTAAAACTTATAATTTAACGCAATAAACTTAAATTTTGCAGTCTTTAATAAACCATTTCGAATCCTCAGTCTCTGAATGACTAGTTCTACTGTGCGGCCGTGCATGAATTAACAACCTCATCACTTGTGTGTGGGCATGAGTGTCAGTTTTTTAGAATAATATCTGTAGTACAGCATGCTCAAGAAGAGCGTCGTATGTGCACTCTGAATCTGATGTTGCCGGATCGTTCTCCAGTATTACCAGGGGCGATTTTGCAAGTTGGCAACACTGTCAATCCTCTACTTAAATCCATGTAAAACATCAATTTGAAGTCAGGCGGGATTTCCCGCCAAGAATCGATTATTTTACATACATTTAAATGGAGGAAAAACAGTGTTGATACCGTTTAAGAATCGCCACCGAGTGTTCCCAAAAAAGAGCAGTAAGAAGATAAATGTTGTTTTGAAACAAATGTACCTCGTATTGACTGACAATGAGTGGAAAATTGTATTCATCGAACCCTCCTGTCAATACTTCAAAAACAGTCAAAAGTCATCCGGCACACTTTCAGAAACTGTTTGGATGATTCACAATCGACGAATTTCACCTTCGACTATGATTTTAGGCGAGATAGCACACAGCAGTACGCGCTTTATGTTCTGTACGCTTGGGCGGTTTTGTTTTCAGTATTTTTGGTTTGAATCTAAACCTAAAATAAAAAAGAATAGTCTTCAAAAAAATGGTTTTCCAAGGCTGAAAATGCCCAAGCTTTTTTCTAAATTACTTAAAATATTTTTTAAATTACTTCTTGAAAATTAATTTCATGAAGATTAGAATAAATCGTTATCAGAACAATTTTGTTTATCGGTGAGCTATTATGGTGCTCTGCTTTGAACCTGTTTCCCTTTAAATGGCGTTCTTTGTCACATCAGTGGTTGCAAGGAGTGCATTATTAATAACACACGTGGCAACGTGAGGGTGTTGTACAAAAGCAGTTCGTGGATTGATGAATGAAGCTACTCATGGCGCGCGCTACATAATCAAGAACCCGCATGGAATTGGGAAAAAGATCCACCAAACATAATAGCCAATCTAATTCGGAAGAGAATGGACAATACTCACCAGCCACTGTTGCCATTTACGGGGATTGTAATCTTTTTCCCTCTTAGGGAAAATTCAAACTCATATAATTTTGCGGCACGGATAATTCGGTGCATTTTTGCAACAATATAGCCCACGCTTGCATCTCTGTCAGGAGCAAAAAGTCAAGGAAATAGGATCGGGTTAGTCCCGTTTTTTATTTTCTTACGAAATCTATTGTGTAACGAATATTTCTTGCACGTAACTTCATCCACGAAAATAATGCTGTGAGGAGTCTCGAAATGTAGCGATTGTAACAGGTAATTTATTTTTTGCAGTATAATACTTATCGGGGATGGTGGAAGGACATACATCTATGATATTGACCTACATTTTTTTCTTCTGAAGTTTAACCCTAAAGTCGCCGAAAGGTCAAATTAACCGTGAACTCAATTTAAAATGTGGGCCAAGACCGGATTTCGTGCCGTCGAGGGCTGAAATTTTACGATTTCTTCTGTCCTTCAGATTCCAAGAAAGGTGTGCGATCGGAAATGTTCTTCTTCTCTTACCAAGAACTTTGGTAAAATGGACGTTGCAANTGCAAATTGTTTTGTCGTTCTCGCCACGAGGGTGGGCATTTTAGCAAAAAAAGCAAATTGCAGAAATCGCAAACCATTTTTTGCCATTTTAGCAAATAATTTTTAAATATTACAAAAATATTTATAAAATATTTTTAACATAATATTAAACAAATATTTTTAAACTAATATTTCTAAAATAATTTTAAAATATTTTGTAAATATATTTTACAAACTGTTTTAAAAGTAATTACATAAATATATTTTGTAAATATATTCAAAACGTTTTTATAAATATATTGTTACAATATTGTCATGAAATATTTTAGCAATATTGTCAACATATTTCTGCAGTGTATTTAAGGAAATATTTACATGACAATATTGCTGCAATATTGCTGCAATATTTCGTGTTGGGCGGGAAGTACCTTCGCAAGTTCAGTGAAATTTTATATTTTGCCATGAGATTTAATTTCGTACAACAAATAGGTAATCATTTGGGCAGTGATACCCATATTTCAATTTTGAACTTTTCGGTACAGTGAACGGTTGTCCTACATAGATATCAGCATTGTTCTCGCTTTGGGAGGTACAGCCAAGTACTGGGTTTTTTTTTTATTTTTACCATTTTTACTGTTTTATCCAGCAGAGGAAGGCTGAGTGTTCAGCCGCAATGTCTTGGTAGTATTTTACTAGAAAATTAGTCTTGTTATCCGCTGTGTGATTTGTTTTAATATATTATTGCATATATTTTGTCACGGGCTGCGGAGCATCAATCATATCGCATGTCCGACCTAAGGGTCAGAATATATTGATTTCATTGCTGTTAGGAATCATCAATCTATAATTATCTGGTTATTTCTTGATGGTTGTGTCAATTAATCTTATGTTGGACCTTAGTGGGTACATTGCTATGGCATGAGAATGTAAATCCAACGGTCTTTTTTGTATCAAGCCCAATTATCCTCCTAGAATACTTACATGGGGAAAGTATGGTCACTTATATCCTGTTTTTGATTGGGCGTTTACGGTAGGCTTTCATGACGCTCCAACGGCCCTAAGTAAACAAACAAGACATCGGCTTCACGCAATCGTTGGATTACTCCGATGAAAATTTGTTAAAACTTTCATGATGTATACACATCGAGGAAGTGAGTTGATTCCAGATTTTAATTACATCATTATTCATGAGACTCCTTTAATATACGCATTGATCAAGAAATCTATTTCTGGATCAATGCGTGTTAACCCTCTACAGGGTTCGATACGGCACATGTAGAGTATTTTCTTGCAAGGAGGCAGGCATACATTTTCTAAGCCTATCAACTAATACAATTGTTTGTTTACTAACAACCGTAAGACCTCAGATACAATATATTTTAGATGCCTTGCACTAAAAGTCTAAACAATGTAATTAGGTGGGGCAAACGTTGAATACGGAGGTCAACAGTACTTTAGCCTAATGGTGATTGATGAATCTCTTGTTGGGTGTGGAATCTGCACAATTATGACTGGTAAATGTCAAGGTGCGCACTTCCCTGGACGAGTTTTTGAGAATCAAAGCTAGGATTTGGAACCAATCTACCGACAGGACCAAGGAACCAATGGGTATTTAGGAACCAATTGCTCAACTTTTTGGTCATCGGTATAATTCTTTGACTCCCGAAAGTAGCTTTCTTAGGGGACACCGTTGCGGGGTCTTTAAAACATTATCTCCGGTAAGTGCCATGTAAAAGCTTGAAATTCGTGGGCCAATCGAAAGGCGGCATTGCCGATTCTGTGCTGAAAAAATACATTTGGCCATACTCCTTCCTACATGAGTAGTCTTACCCGACCCCTCTCGGAAAAATGAGAGGGTCCTCTTTCTGAGAACCGAGCCGGGCCGATGATGAACTAAGAAAGCCAATGACTGCTGCGAAGGGCACGTCGGTGATAAGAGCGGTTCCTGCAGCCAGCGGCGCCGGCCGTGCCACCAGGTATGCGGTCATACTTCCCTGAGTGTCTGGTCTGGTCCAAAGTGTCCAAAAGTGGCCTC